CATGTAACATTACTGTGAATTGTATTGCCGTGGAGCTCTGTGACACACGCATTCATGTAACATTACTGTGAATTGTATTGCCGTGGAGCTCTGTGACACACACATTCATGTAACATTACTGTGAATTGTATTGCCGTGGAGCTCTGTGATACACGCATTCATGTAACATTACTGTGAATTGTATTGTGTGGAGCTCTGTGATACACGCATTCATGTAACATTACTGTGAATTGTATTGCCGTGGAGCTCTGTGACACACACATTCATGTAACATTACTGTGAATTGTATTGCCGTGGAGCTCTGTGATACACGCATTCATGTAACATTACTGTGAATTGTATTGTGTGGAGCTCTGTGATACACGCATACATGTAACATTACTGTGAATTGTATTGCCGTGGAGCTCTGTGATACACGCATGCATGTAACATTACTGTGAATTGTATTGCCGTGGAGCTCTGTGATACACGCATTCATGTAACATTACTGTGAATTGTATTGCCGTGGAGCTCTGTGACACACGCATTCATGTAACATTACTGTGAATTGTATTGCCGTGGAGCTCTGTGATACACGCATTCATGTAACATTACTGTGAATTGTATTGTGTGGAGCTCTGTGACACACGCATGCATGTAACATTACTGTGAATTGTATTGTGTGGAGCTCTGTGGATGTAACATTACTGTGAATTGTACAGCTCTGTGATACATTCATGTAACATTACTGTGAATTGTATTGCCGTGGAGCTCTGTGATACACGTTGCTAATGGAAAGTATTCCTTTAAATTTCCTCCTTGCACAATGTGAATGCTATGTACTGCTGGGGTAGCACTCTATGGCAGCCAATCAATATGGCTAATTTATAAAATGGTGGGGCTGGAGACCCTTAATCCAAATTGTTAAAGGCAGCGTCACCCAGCGTGTTGGCGCTATATAAATAATAATAATAATAATAATAATAATAATGTGTAGGGCTGGCCAAGCATCATGGGAGTTATAGTTCACAAACAGCTGGCCATGAGTGCAAAGTACATAATGCCACTCCCATGGCACACTCCTATCACTCTCAGCCGCCATTGGAAGGGAGATGCCGTATCCATGGTAACAGTCTTGTGATCCCCGGGCTCTAGTTCTGTCCAGTCCGGGGAGCAGGGAGGGAACCTGGCAGCCTCCTCGGGGAAACACCCGCTGCACAGGCCGCGCCCAAGGCTCCTACTGGAGAAAACATTTCGTCTTCTTCTTCTTCTTCTTAGTTTGGAAGGAGCTCAGTGAGTGAACACCATGACTGGTGAGTGAGGGAGGGGATGGGGGGATAACACTGCCAGGGGTTATTATATTATACTGGGGGGCAGTTAACCCTAACACTGCCAGGGGTTATTAATTAATATTGGGGGCAGTTAACCCTAACACTGCCAGGGGTTATTATATTATACTGGGGGGCAGTTAACCCTAACACTGCCAGGGGCTATTAATTAATATTGGGGGGCAGTTAACCCTAACACTGCCAGGGGTTATTAATTAATATTGGGGGGCAGTTAACCCTAACACTGCCAGGGGTTATTATATTATACTGGGGGGCAGTTAACCCTAACACTGCCAGGGGTTATTATATTATACTGGGGGGCAGTTAACCATAACACTGCCAGGGGTTATTATATTATACTGGGGGGCAGTTAACCCTAACACTGCCAGGGGTTATTATATTATACTGGGGGGCAGTTAACCATAACACTGCCAGGGGTTATTATATTATACTGGGGGCAGTTAACCCTAACACTGCCAGGGGTTATTATATTATTATATTGGGGGGCAGTTAACCCTAACACTGCCAGGGGTTATTATATTATACTGGGGGCAGTTAACCATAACACTGCCAGGGGTTATTATATTATACTGGGGGGCAGTTAACCCTAACACTGCCAGGGGTTATTATATTATACTGGGGGGCAGTTAACCCTAACACTGCCAGGGGTTATTATATTATACTGGGGGGCAGTTAACCCTAACACTGCCAGGGGTTATTATATTATACTGGGGGGCAGTTAACCATAACACTGCCAGGGGTTATTATATTATACTGGGGGCAGTTAACCCTAACACTGCCAGGGGTTATTATATTGGGGGGCAGTTAACCCTAACACTGCCAGGGGTTATTATATTATACTGGGGGCAGTTAACCATAACACTGCCAGGGGTTATTATATTATACTGGGGGCAGTTAACCCTAACACTGCCAGGGGTTATTATATTATTATACTGGGGGGCAGTTAACCCTAACACTGCCAGGGGTTATTATTTTATATTGGGGGGCAGTTAACACTAACACTGCCAGGGGTTATTATTTTATACTGTCTCATATTAGGGGAGATAACCTGCTACAGGGGATAATGTTATTTATTGGCTCATAGTGGGGAGGGCTGTTTAATATGAAAGAGCTTGTTATAGAAGTGTTATGGAGAGAGATTGGGGAGGGCTGGGTGATGTATGTAAAGGTGGAGGTTATTGTGAGGGTAATTAAATGCATAAATAATTTATATATAAGTTCTGTTCCTGCATGCATTGGAATATTGTCTGATATAAACTACTGTCACATAGGGGAATATGTCCCAAGCGAATGGGAATATTCCAACGCCGTCTGTTTTATTGAAAAATGGGTTAAACAGGTTTTAATGCAATTAATGAGACCATTCACTCTTCAATAATAGGCCAGTATTCTCATTGTTAAAGAATGAAATGTCTGTAGATGGGTTTATTGTTGGAAATAACTCTTTATAAAGTGCCACAGAGTATCTGCATCAATTATTACATGACTGCTACTGCCCAGTCCTACCCATTCACAGGTGTCAGAGATCAGGAATTCAATGTTAATTTACAATTTTACACCAAATAACCAACTGAATACACACCCAGCTATGAAAATATCTCCCGCTGCTGAGGCCTGACACCTGAGATTCACTTTATATTTTCATATATTAGTAAATAACTGAATGTTTTGGATTGAAAGCTGTTTAGGCTGGGCACGTTTCACCCAAGGTTCCAGTATGTCAATCATGTCTTGTTCGAATTTTGTGTCTGTCTTGTTTACCTATTGTACAGCGCTGTGGAATATGGTAGTGCTATATGAATGTAATTGACTATTTGGTGGGTTTCAATCTGTTTCTGGGCACCATAAAAGGGTTATGATATTTGAGGTATTGGGCACCTTGCAAGCCCTGTCATTTGGATGAATAGACCCAGGGTTCCCCAAATATTCCAAATGTAAAATAAAACAGTTTTATCGTAACGGTTCATGATTATTGATGTTTTATATAGCGCCAACATATTCTGCAGCGCTTTACAATATTGTAGACTTTAACAATTAATGAGAAAAACTATCAAAGATTTGGATCTTAATGAAAGTTCACTAAGGACCCTGCTCGAACAAGTCCACGTAGATTTTCTGTATATTTAAGGGGTAAATCACTCCCATCATTATTTACACAAGGGAGCTCTCCCCTTTATTAACCATATATTACAGCGCACGCCCTGCTATTAAACACGCATCCTCCCATTACAGAGCAGAACCTGTATGTACAGGCACAGCACACTACTGCGATTAGGTGCTGCAGCACTTATTGGGGCTTATTCTATATCTCCCATGTCCAGTTACTGTTCTCGTATTTAACATTTATTTATTGTTTTTGTCTCTGAAATAACTTTTATCAAGGTTTTCATATCCGACCATTTAAAATGAGTCTTTCCTGTTTATATAAATCTGGGAACACACCTTCAAGGCTTCAATGGGGGTTGTGTGCTAATCGCCAAATAAAAAACTGATTTACCTAATTTAAATCATTGTTCAATGTCTAAATGTTTTATATATTGATCAGGACATGCAGCAGATGATGATGTTGTTGTTGTTGAGATGTCTGTTTTATTTATGCTCAAATTTTTTGTTTTTTTACTGAATTTTCAAAACAATATTACAAAGTAAAAGAAACACTCATGTTGATCCATGCTCAAGATCTGGTCTGGGGCTGTTTTTATTTCTCCCCAGAATTATTGATAAATCTTCTTTTCCGAGGGTACGTGATGGGCTTCTCTTTCATTAGAGAGTATGCCATGTAAGTGGATTCTGCCGGTGGTTCTGGAAGATTTGTTTATGAAACGGCACCGTAATTTGGCACCCAGATAGATCCCAAGCCGGCAGAGTATAACGAGGATCAGGTGCCACTCCTTTAATAACATGAAAAAATGCATGGATACCGCAGACAGAGCTGGGTATATCACGTGTCCCACCATTGGTACTGCTGCGGGTTGAGAAATGCATGTCACTCCCCATTACCCGTCATAATTCATCTGTTCACCTATTGTACAGCGCTGCGGAATTTGTTGGCGTTTTATAAATAATAACTTCCATAATCCACAAGCAATGCAGGGAATGGCATCTACCTGTAGCTAGAGGAGAGGATTTGTGTTTTAATACAGTGATTTTCTTGTTCAGAACACTTGTCACATGTCTTCCCAGCGGCTTATTGAGGGTAAGATAATTCCCTAAGGGGCCTCAGTGAGGAATGTTCTATCTCCATAGCCGATATAAAACTGAGCAGAAATTGGCCTTGTCATGATGATTCTCCAGCAGTTTGCTTGGGGTGTGTGTGTTTATCAAGAATTTTTATTAAGAATTGGTGGCTTTGATTTGCCCTTAACATATCTGTTTCTTGAAATCCGCCTTTCTGTTGACTCTGGAAGAACCTGCATCCCCATTCATTATACTCTGTGCCAACATTTAAAGTGTTTCCAGTTTATCCCAGCCAGTTTCCACTCCTTTTGTAAAGAGAAGCTCTGATGGCGGTTACCTACACAAAGCACAATTAGTCATCTAAATTTTGGTTAAGGAAGCTCGCGTGGTGGGTGTGACGGACCGCCTGGCACCCCGACCGGGTGCCTCCGTCATCAATTCTCCTAGTGCTCACCGAGGACTCCAAGCACTCCACCAGACACCATAAGAACAGTAGACCCCACAAACCGCCGCAGTTTGGCTGGGGTCTCGTTGTCCTCCACCCACCCTGGACCCAAGACCAGGATCCAGCTTCCAGTGCATGAACCTCTCCTACTCCAGAGAGTATATCAGGGACAGCTCTCATAAGAGCTAGTGATTAGAATCCACGGGAGTATAAGGAGTATAGCAATCCCCAGAGTAAATATAGCTGTCCCCTCCACACATGAGACTAGGCTCTATGTTGAGGGTGAAGATAAACTGATTTTAATGGTGCCACACTTGGCCTTATAGGGCAATCCCCATGCAAGGGGTATGCCCACATGGACCTGATGGTAGACTGATTTACAATGTCACAGACCAATAACAATAAGGTTACAAGGCACGACACTCCCACACACAGCACACAATCCCTCCTCTCTGCCTGGGAGATAGAGTCAGATACTGTATTAACTGAATTATGTCTAGGCAGAAAAAACACATATTATTATAAAACCCCCAAAGTACGCCCAAAACACAAAATATCCCCACAAATGTTACATCCACTGATAGCCCCGATCTGGGTGACCAACATATCCCAAAATCACCCAGATCAGTTCAGGAATTATATGGAAGCCATTTATTTGACCAACTGCAGGCATGGTCCCATGCCAAAAACAGTTCCAGAGAATCAGGGCTTGCGGTCGGTCTAGTTCGGTAGTTTGAAAACGAACAAACTCCCGAACAGAGTCAATAGTCTTACCCTGGAGCTTGTTCCATTCATCCAGACGAATGATCTCACTGAACAGTGCCCTTCTAAGTTGTATAGAATTGAACGCAGGCGGTGATGGAAGTCCAGCGTTGTTCAGGAGTTTCTGTTTCCGATTTTTAGTTCCATGAGATTCATGCCCAAACACCGCTGCCTGTGCTCATGCGAACAAGATGGCCGCCACCTCGTGGTTGTCCATAGGAATTGCGGCCACCCAGACGAATATTTAGAACACGTCAATGAGAACGTTCCAAGTTGTTGATAGATGTTAACAAGCTCCAGTGTGGTCTCTGGTTCGTGCGGTTGTTCGAGAGTATAACTGTATAACCCCTCATATTACACAGCCTAGCAGCGGCCGTATTGAGTCTGATCTGACTATCCTTTAACTTATTATACTCTGTATCCCCCCTCATATTACACAGCCTAGCAGCGGCCGTATTGAGTCTGATCTGACTATCCTTTAACTTATTATACTCTGTATCCCCCCTCATATTACACAGCCTAGCAGCGGCCATATTGAGTCTGATCTGACTATCCTTTCACTTATTATACTCTGTATACCCCCCTCATATTACACAGCCTAGCAGCGGCCATATTGAGTCTGATCTGACTATCCTTTAACTTATTATACTCTGTATCCCCCCTCATATTACACAGCCTAGCAGCGGCCGTATGGAGTGTGATCTGACTATCCTTTAACCTATTATACTCTGTATAACCCCCTCATATTACACAGCCTAGCAGCGGCCGTATTGCGTCTGATCTGACTATCCTTTAACCTATTATACTCTGTATAACCCCTCATATTACACAGCCTAGCAGCGGCCGTATGGAGTGTGATCTGACTATCCTTTAACCTATTATACTCTGTATCCCCCCTCATATTACACAGCCTAGCAGCGGCCATATTGAGTCTGATCTGACTATCCTTTAACCTATTATACTCTGTATCCCCCCCTCATATTACACAGCCTAGCAGCGGCCGTATGGAGTCTGATCTGACTATCCTTTAACTTATTATACTCTGTATCCCCCCTCATATTACACAGCCTAGCAGCGGCCGTATGGAGTCTGATCTGACTATCCTTTAACCTATTATACTCTGTATACCCCCTCATATTACACAGCCTAGCAGCGGCCATATTGAGTCTGATCTGACTATCCTTTAACTTATTATACTCTGTATCCCCCCTCATATTACACAGCCTAGCAGCGGCCGTATGGAGTCTGATCTGACTATCCTTTAACCTATTATACTCTGTATACCCCCTCATATTACACAGCCTAGCAGCGGCCATATTGAGTCTGATCGGACTATCCTTTAACCTATTATACTCTGTATCCCCCCTCATATTACACAGCCTAGCAGCGGCCATATTGAGTCTGATCTGACTATCCTTTAACCTATTATACTCTGTATCCCCCCTCATATTACACAGCCTAGCAGCGGCCGTATTGAGTCTGATCTGACTATCCTTTAACCTATTATACTCTGTATACCCCCCTCATATTACACAGCCTAGCAGCGGCCATATTGAGTCTGATCTGACTATCCTTTAACCTATTATACTTTGTATAACCCCCTCATATTACTATATATTTCTATCCATAACATAGGCACCCAGATCACTTGAGCTCAATGAAGTGGTCTGGGTGCGAGGTCCCCCTAGTTTTAACCCTGCAGCTGAAAACATGTTTCAGAGAAACAAGCAGGGTTAATCCAGCCTCTAGTTGCGCTGGATTAAATCGCCCTTATCTGACGCTGGACATCCTCACGGAGTCCAGCGTCAGATAAGATCCCCATAGGGAAGCACTGAGTAATGCTTTTCTATGGGCGGGTTTGAATGTGCGCCTGCCTCTGGCTGCGCATGCGCATTCTGCTCCACTTGGAAGCTGACGTCGATGGAGGAGGAGAGGTCATCAGTGCCAAGGGAGCCCGGTGAGGGAGCGGAATGCGGGGCACTCCAAGAGCCTATAGTGCCAGGAAAACGGGTTTGTTTTCCTGGGACTATAGGATCCCTTTAAATGTTTTTGTATTGTGGAGTAGAGGTACGCTTAGCACCATGTTTTAGATTTCAGGCAGCTGATCATTTAATAGATCGGATCCTAACACAGCTGCTTGTATGTTTGGGAGAGCGTGGTGTAATATACTTGTTTAGTGCTTGGTGAGAATGTTATTTGATTCACGGGCTCACCTCTGAATGCTGTATGTTAAGAGCAATAATCTGGGGTTATTATTTCTAAAGTGAAGCAATCGGTAGGATAATCTTCCATGGTGACTGCTGCCCCATAGAGAGGCAGAGGAATGTTGGTGCTGATATCTCCTTCATAGATGCCTTGTATAGACTGTGTAGACAAAATTATCGAGACACACCTTTTAATTACTGAATTCAGGTGTTTCAATCTGACTTATTGCTACAGGTGTATAAAACCAAGCACCTCGCCAGCAGTCTGTATTTACATACATATGTGAAAAAATGGGTCGAAGAGGTCAGTGAGTTCAAGCGTAGTACTCTCATTAGACGCCACCTTTGCAATAAGTATGTTTGTAAAATTTCATTCCGGCAAGATATTCGACAGTCAACTGTAAGTGGCATTATTGGAAAGTGGAATCGTTTAGAAACCGCAGCAACTTGGCCACAAAGCAGAAGATCCAGTAAAGTCACAGAGGGGGGTCACCGAGTGCTGAGACGCATGGTGTATAAAAATCACCAACGCTCTGCTGATTCCATAGCTGATGAGTTCCAAACTTCCACTGGCATTAATATCGGCACAAAAACTGTGCAACGGGAGCTTCGTGGAATCGGTTTCCATGGCCGAGCAGCTGCATGCACCTTAGAAGCACCTACATTAAAAAACACAACATACTTTTTTTAATGTAAGTTTATATATGATCTCACCCCCTTTTCCCCGTCAGCCGCTCCTCCTCTTCTTAGATTATCCATCCAGACTATCCATGGTTCAGTCTCCAGCCCAATAATGAAATTATAAAAAGGAACCAATTGTGAGGACTTTCAGTTACTGTAGTCTGTATGAGGAAGTGAGAGCCACTAAGAGACACACTGACTGACAGATGTAAACATCGCAGGGTTCTTACACCAATACTACATCGAGATACCAGGATTTTGGTGCTTTGTGTGTCCCTATAAAAACTGAAAGACCGTAATCAAACACATACTCCTGATTGTCACTCAGATGGTGTAAATCTCCAGGGGCTGATAGTTCAACCAATCCTTTCCGCTCCATTAATTTCAACAATTGAGGAGAAGGAAAGAGTATAACATTAATTAATATATACAATTTATCTTACATTATCAGCAGCTGCCAAGTGACTTAACTGGCCGACTAACTTGATGTTTATTATTATTATTATTATTATTATTATATATAGAAGTACTTGCCTAGCAGTAGTGTGACAGGAGAACTGGCCACAATTAGTAAATCGCTGGAACTCGAATGGGGACGAATTTCACGCTGTAATAATGCCAGTTATTTGTATTGTTTATCATGTCATGCTGCGTAACACGTTCTGTTAACTGCTAACCCCTCGTTTTCCATGTTCGTCTTGATTCCAGGTAAAAGGGCGCTTGTGGTCCTGGCCCACCAGGAGAAGACATCATTTAGCTATGCCATGAAGGAAGCGACTCTGGAAGCTCTGAAGAAGAAAGGCTGGCAGGTCACTGTGTCCGATCTTTACGCCATGAAATTTAACCCTGTGTTGTCACGGGATGACATTCTAGGTAACTCAGACTTCAGTCTGTGCTCTCAGAATACCGCTACGGCTGTCATGATTGTTATAAAGGTAGCAAGATGATAAAGAACAAGATTTTGTTTTACAGAACATGCACTATGCATATCTCACTAGTGTCCCTATTGAAGAGGACAGTCCTTATTTTGAGCCCAAATCCCTCTGTCCCTCTCTTCTATCCTATTATCGCTCTTTTCTAGGAGCTCAATATTAATGATCTGTCTCCGTGTATAGCAGAGCTCCACAGCGATAATACTCCCAGTAATGTGTCTGCGTGTATAACAGAGCTCCACAGCAATAATACTCCCAGTAATGTGTCTGAGTGTATAACAGAGCTCCACAGCAATAATACTCCCAGTAATGTGTCTGAGTGTATAGCAGAGCTCCACAGCAATAATACTCCCAGTAATGTGTCTGAGTGTATAACAGAGCTCCACAGCAATAATACTCCCAGTAATGTGTCTTTACACTACAATAAACATGTTTAGAATTCAGTCTGTGGAAATAAGATAACATTGTTAGTTTTATGAATTGTGTTTTGCTGTAAATGGAGATTGCCAACTTGGTATAATATCATAACAGTCGTGGACAAGACAATAAGAGGAGAAGATGATATAATGCTGTAGGGGCTTATTGACTAAACTCAGAATTTTACAGGATCGAAATCACAGTGGCAAAATTTAGGCTAAAGTTGTGAGTTTACAGCAGAGTTTGAGAATTTTGGAGAACAGCTGATTGAGTCTGAATATTCCCATTCAGATCTTCATTTACTACAATGAATCGATTAGTATCACACCCCTATATAGTGAATATGTAGTAATTTTATACCAAAATAGCAGTTTAGTGGATTCTTCTAAATATTTCTCAGGTTTATAGACTGTAAGCTTAATGTTAGCTCTGCCAGTCTGTATTAGAGGCTCCGTGTGTTTCACGTCTTTTACATGATCTGAAACAGGAATTCAATCATTCCTCATTGCCCTTCCCTGGAAGCTTGACTTTGTGTAATTCCGAGATATGTACCTGTGCTATACATAAAGTGCTCCTATATACCATGTATATTCATGTACTCCAGTGGGAACATATCTATGACCAGATAAGAGGTCTTGCCCCCAAACATGCATTGATCATGTGATCTGTTTCAGTACTTGTGTATTAGATCACCAGCTGCCATGGAATACAGTGGCAAGGGTTTAACAGAGTGCTATTCTTACACCAACTCTTCAGCTCATTCCAAAGCAATGGTTTCACTTTAACCCTTACAGAACCAATGACTGTCACCATACCAATCTAGTACAAGAGACCCCGTATCACAAGGTCCATTAATATTTTTGTTGCAATCTCCAGGGGATCAGAAATGGTGGTAAATATGTCTCATCCATACTCTGTGATATTATCTGTTTTTATCTCTCAGGAGATCCCGAAGATCCCAATAACTTCAAGTATTCCCCTGAAGCATCGAAGGCTTGGAAAGAAGGACGTCTTAGCAAAGACATAGTAGAAGAGCAGAAGAAACTGGAAGCTGCTGATTTGGTCATATTCCAGGTAACCGTCGATATTTAGGTATTAACCTAACCTTGAGTTATAACAAATGAAATCCAAATAGAAAAACAGAGGCACAAAATAGCAGATCTGGAAAAATTCTCTAACTGGGCCATGGTCACAACTTCCTTTTCCCGTTAGATTTAGTTCGTGAATAACCTTGATTGTGTGTTTGGGTACCTGCCCATGTAGGTCACTTGTGTGATGCCCCAGGTATCTGTGGGTAAGTGGTACTCCACTCATTGCTACACACTGCACTGGGATCCTGTGACATGTCCGGTCATGTTCTACAAACTGCACTGGGCTATGACCGGTCATGTTCTACAAACTGCACTGGGATCCTGTGACATGTCCGGTCATGTTCTACAAACTGCACTGGGATCCTGTGACATGACCGGTCATGTTCTACAAACTGCACTGGGATCCTGTGACATGTCCGGTCATGTTCTACAAACTGCACTGGGATCCTGTCACATGACCGGTCATGTTCTATACTGCACTGGGATCCTGTGACATGTCCGGTCATGTTCTACAAACTGCACTGGGATCCTGTCACATGACCGGTCATGTTCTACAAACTGCACTGGGATCCTGTGACATGACCGGTCATGTTCTACAAACTGCACTGGGATCCTGTCACATGTCTGGTCATGTTCTACAAACTGCACTGGGATCCTGTCACATGTCCGGTCATGTTCTACAAACTGCACTGGGATCCTGTGACATGACCGGTCATGTTCTACAAACTGCACTGGGATCCTGTGACATGTCAGGTCATGTTCTACAAACTGCACTGGGATCCTGTGACATGACCGGTCATGTTGTACAAACTGCACTGGGATATGATCAGTCATGTTCTACAAACTGCACTGGGATCCTGTGACATGTCCGGTCATGTTCTACAAAATGCACTGGGATATGACCGGTCATTTTCTACAAACTGCACTGGGATCCTGTGACATGTCTGGTCATGTTCTACAAACTGCACGGGGATCCTGTGACATGACCGGTCATGTTCTACAAACTGCACTGGGATCCTGTCACATGACCGGTCATGTTCTACAAACTGCACTGGGATCCTGTCACATGACCGGTCATGTTCTACAAACTGCACTGGGATCCTGTCACATGACCGGTCATGTTCTACAAACTGCACTGGGATCCTGTGACATGTCCGGTCATGATCTACAAACTGCACTGGGATCCTGTGACATGTCCGGTCATGTTCTACAAACTGCACTGGGATCCTGTCACATGACCGGTCATGTTCTACAAACTGCACTGGGATCTTGTGACATGTCTGGTCATGTGCTACAAACTGGACTAGAATTTTGTGATATTAAGTCATGTTCTCTTTCCGCAGTTTCCGGTGTATTGGTTTGGACTTCCTGCTATTCTGAAGGGCTGGTTTGATCGTGTTTTAACCCAGGGATTTGCTTACAGCATGCAAGGCATGTATGATACTGGGAATTTTAAGGTGAGCAGAACTTTTACTATAATTCGTTCATTCAGTATTCTTGAAACCGTTTTTGTTCATGTAAATGGTTTAGAGCTCAGTCTATTAAACATAAAGGGGAAAGAGAATTAGTTGGAACCAATAGGACATTTCTGTCTTGTCACTAAAGTCACCCATACCATCTCCGCTTTAATGCTGGGTGCAGTGTCCCTGTCCTTTTAACACTGCAATGTAAAACATTGGATTTAAAAAAAAAATAAAAAAAAAATAGAAACTGCAGTGTTTACATTGAAAGGTTAAGTCCATCTCCAGTGGCTGTTATGGACTGAGTTAAATTTGGACATGTGCTACAGAAGTCCCATATAAAAAGCTTTCATTCAATGCTTACCTATGTGAAAAGTTGAAATGTGAGTGTGTGTGCTCATTTATGAAGAACGTTGGATTGGCCTATTCCTATTTCATAATGTTGCAGGAGGAAGAGAGGTGATCAGCAATGAGGGAGCCTCGGCATGAACAAGCTAAGGGGACACTATAGTCACCAGAACAACTACAGCTTATTGTATTTGTTCTGGTGAGTAGAATCATTCCCTTCAGGCTTTTTGCAGTAAACTGTTTGTTTCAGAGAACGTGCAGTGTTTACATTACAGCCTAGTGATAACTCCACTGGCCACTCCTCAGATGGCTGCTAGAGCTGCTTCCTGGGGCAGTGCTGCAGTGTGACTGACATTCAGTGTCTCTGTCCTCTGCATGCAGACACTGAACTTTCCTCATAGAGATGCATTGATTGGCCAGGGCTGTGTTTGACTTGTGTTGGCTCTGCCCCGATTTGCCTCCTGGACAAGTTCCAACAATTCTGTGAGAAAGCATTGTGATTGGCTCAGAGAACCACTTCTAATGATGTCAGCCAAGCAGGCAGATCAGAGGCAGCAGCTGCAGACTTGAATACAAGTAAATGAATGTGTAGGGCACCACCTAATGGTCAAACTAAATATTGCGGCAGTTCTCTTTACCCCATTATTTATTAAACTCCAACCTTGTCTGCAGCACTGCACAATAGTATGGGTTAGAAACCGGCGGGTGTACTGTGAGACAATGTGTATAAATATTAATGGAGATACAGACTGGGTTGATAACTGTCATTGCAAACTGATCTGTCTCTAGGAATTAAAAAGAACCATTTGTTGTGGTGGGAGGGATTTATATTCAACTGTAAACGAGGTAGATTACAAATTTACTGCTCTCCAGTTAATTGCAGGTAACACATCACTGGCAGATGAGGTAGCAGACCATATACAGGTTTATTCACTAAAGGGAGAATTTTAAAGAGAACTTCAAATTTAAGGGCAGAGTAGCCAAACTGAAAGCATATCCGACTTAGAGGATTTTTACAGTTTGGCTACTTTGACCTTAAATGCGAAATTCACTTTGAATTTGTGTTCAGTACATGCAAAGCTGCTCATTCCAGTGTGAGACATATTCCTCTCGAGACTAAACCAAATACAAATGGTGTACAATGTTAAAATGGGAAATCAGCAGGAACATTCTATTGGTTTCCATGGTGATTGTATCAGCTGTGAAGCATTCCGCAGGAACATTCCATTGGTTTCCATGGTGACTGTTTCAGCTGTAGCGCAATCAGCAGGAACAGTCTATTGGTTTCCATGGTGATTGCTTTAGCTGTACAGCAATCAGCAGGAGCATTCCATTGTTTTTCGTGGTGATTGTATCAGCTGTGAAGCATTCCGCAGGAACATTCCATTGGTTTCCATGGTGACTGTTTCAGCTGTAGCGCAATCAGCAGGAACAGTCTATTGGTTTCCATGGTGATTGCTTTAGCTGTAAAGCATTCCGCAGGAACATTCCATCAGTTTCCATGGTGATCACACCACTTTTTTTGTTTGTGTTACTTCAAATATTTGCTTGTTTTCTTCCTAAAACAGAATAAGAAAGCAATTTTGTCCTTCACCACTGGCGGCTTGGAATCCATGTATACTCCTGCTGGTATCAATGGCGACATTAATGTCATTCTGTGGCCCATACAGGTAAGAGAGGTACAGGAGACAATGTCCTGTTGTACAATAATTACATAGTATGTAAATGAGTTCCTGGCATTTGCTGAATAAAAAGTGTATATTTTGAGTTTAGTAAGCCATGGGTTCCAATGCAATATTCTGGGACAGACGGTTTTTCACTTAAAGGACCACTCTAGGCACCCAGACCACTTCAGCTTAATGAAGTGGTCTGGGTGCCAGGTCCCTCTAGGATTAACCCCTTTTTTTATAAACATCGTTTCAGAGAAACTGCTATGTTTATAATAGGGTTAATCCAGCCTCCAAATCCTCTAGTGGCTGTCTCATTGACAGCTGCTAGAGGCGCTTGTGTGCTTCTCACTGTGAAAATCACAGTGAGAGCACGCAAGCGTCCATAGGAAAGCACTGAGTAATGCTTTCCTATGAGACTGGCTGAATGCGCGTGCAGCTCCTGCCGCGCATGCACATTCAGCCGAAGAGGAGGATCGGAGGCGGAGAGCTCCCCGCCCGGTGCTGGAATAAAGGTAAGTTTAACCCATTTCCTCACCATCCAGCCCGGTGGGTGGGGGCACCCTCAGGGCACTCTAGTGCCAGGAAAACAAGTGTGTTTTCCTGGCACTATAGTGGTCCTTTAAGTCAGAATTCAAGGTGAATTTCAAATTTAAGATCCAAACAAGCAAATTGGAAGAATTCTCTAAGTCAGCAATGCTTTTAGTGTGGCTACTCTGACCTTTTACATTAAAAACTCACCTTTAGTTAATAACCCTGTGGATGTCATAGAGCCATATCTATAATAATTCAGACATTGAGATGCTTCATCTCATCAGTCAAATGGACTGTATAAAAAGCAGCTGGTGTAAGAGTAACGGTCATCTGAACCTAGCTAACCTCCGTGCACCAATTTACATACAGTCCAAATACTTAAAGCGGTAGTCTGGCAATATAAGTACTGCAGCTTTGTGTATTATTACAATTCTGTATTATCACAGCTCATTATAGTAGTCATGTTGCAAATAGCCTCAATTCCCATTAAAAAAATGTATTTTTGGATACGGTTTGATTAAAATCTAGGGCTCTCCCTAGAATTCATTTGCTCCTGAATACAATAATAATTTGTACTATCATTACTTGGTCTAAGCTGGACGGCAGTGATAACATGATGCTTTGTAAGGGAACGGTAGCACACCAGATGCATCATGGGAAATGTAGTGCAGAAACATGGATGACAGGGTTCGCCTTCACAAGCTTAGGTGAAGTATTAGATAGAAGTTTGAGAAGTACTGTGGTAGATAGGCGTTCACTATAGAAATTAAATGTTGGAAGGGAAAAAAAGTGCCAACAGCAACCCCACTTTCATAAATAAATGTCCAATTTAAACATGCTAATTTGCTGGGGTGTCTCAAGCAACACGAGGGTTGAAATGGCCTGTTTTTTTGTGTTGTTGCACAATCTGTTTTTTAACACTGATTACATATGGCAGCTTTCTGTACCGCAGTGACCGCCTTGCTCTGAGGTTCAGCCAGTTTACATTAATCTTTTGTATGTTCTTTGCAGCAAGGCGTCCTCCACTTCTGTGGCTTCCAGGTTCTAGAGCCACAGATCTCTTACAGCATCGCACATACTCCTCCTGAGAAGCGCTCTATGATTCTGGAGGCCTGGCAGGAGCGCTTGGGCAAGGCCTGGGAGGAGAAGCCCATCAGCTTTGTACCCAATGAGAATTTCAACCTGAGCTTTCCAGGTGGTTTTGTACTTAAAAAGGAAGTTCTGGAGAAGGAATCTGACAACAAGTATGGACTGACTGTGGGGCAGCACCTGGGTAAACCTCTGCCCTGTGATAATCAGGTGAAAGGGGGCAGCACCAGGCTCTGAGTGCGTTTTACTGACCTATGTACTACCTGTACAATAAATGCCAGTGTTTCTCAGTAATCAATACTTTGCATTTTTTATTGGAACTTTCATGAAACTTTATGTGCAGTCTCATACTGGCCACTTGGGCAAAATGAGGCAGTGAGATTACTGTGGGCTCACTGTTTTGGTGCTTTGTGTCCCTTTAAACGGGCTAAACCTGGATGTTACATTGGTACACTACTAAAATGACTTCCATCATTGCCACACACTGATTAATATTTACCATTAACAAGGTTATCCACTAAACCATGAAGGAACCAGGGAATTTAAAAAAGATTATTTTTTTTTGTTTTATTTGTTTCTATAATAACCTGACTTGAAAATCAGTGAGAACATAAAGAGAGAACAATCCAGACTCCAGGGGCGCAGCCCTTTTGAGTGTTTACAAGTAATACAAAAGTGGTATATTCACAGTATCCCACCGGTTGTATGGCCCGCCTCTCATGCTTGTGGTTCCCCTTGGGTGGAACCAGGGAACTTAACTTGCAATTGAAAAAGGCTTTGTCTCTTTTCCTAGTTTGGTTATTTTGGCTTCATATTTGTTATTTCCTGGTTTAGTGGCGAATATATTATTATTATTATTATTATTATTATTATTATAAAACTACCCAGCAAGCAGTTCACAAACTGTTTCTGTTCCACTGGAAGGTGGTACGGATCAGGCCGGCCCTCCGTGTTGTATCTACAGGGCTGGAGGGATATTAACGCAGATATTCTGGATTTGCTCAACTGGGAAATTCAAATTTAAGCCACATGGCCTCATTGGAAATATTCAACCTTTCAGCTATCTTGGCTTTAAATTGGCAAATTGGCAATTCCTGGCAGTCCTGTTTAGTGAATACATGGTTTATGGTGTTTATCAATTAAACATTGATTTAAAAAAAAAAAAAAAATTTGTGAGTTTCAGAAACACCTGAAAAACTAAGTTAATATCAGCAAATTGGAAATTTTTTTTTTTTTGGACTACATTTTCAATTCTTTTAAATTTACCACAATACATGATTCAGGGAATAACCCGTTTCTTACTTTCTGTTTGCTCTATTTTTACACGTTTTGAAATTGCTGGAGAATACACTTTCTCTGGATACATGGAGGAGCCTGCCAGCAGAGGTGGTAGAAAATACATCGGACTAGTACAGTTACTGTCCTAACCAAGAAACAAAATCTAGAATACAGATAGCATGTGCATTTAGAGTCGTACATAAACTGCCCATCGATTTGCTGTCAAAATCTGTTTCAGTGAGGGAAACGCCAATTGCACACTGGGAAATAGGTTTCAGGAAAAACAAAGCAAATCATTAAATGCAACATAACTGGCAAACCAATAGAACACACAAACGAAAACTTTCAAAGTTGTATTTAATGATTGGAACGGTTTACAGAAATATAATTGCAAAGAGTATACAAATGTCCCAATAGAAGCAAAATATCTTTGTTTAATATATAACACGTTATTACAAGTTTGCTAAAAACGATAAAACAACGATGCCCCTAAACAGAACAAGCTCTGTATATAAAAGCCATCATCGCCCCCTACAGTCAGAGCTATGCACTGCACAACTCAGAAAAAGAATGGAAGAAGGCTCATCCAGTAAATTCCAGAATCTGCTCCATAGGAAAGGGTACGGATGCTGACACCCCCAGGAAAGAGACCTTATATAACCTTATGCTGGCCATGTGACTCATTTTGGATATAAAGAATAAAAAACTAAATTCACATCACAGATGTGAACAGGAGCCAAGGAAATGTAATGTAATAAAGGGAAATAAAGCACAGTAGTCGGGTCCCACACAGGCCCGTGTGACTTATTTCTGTAGAATGTTTTGTTTGGAGTGGAATCTGACTTGTCTGAAGCATACACTGTGTGGCATTAATGCCATTGTTACATACCACCAGTAGCAAGCAGATAGAATATTGTGTGCATGACAAACAATCTGCATACAACTAGTAGGGAACGTAGAATGCAGCCTCGTGAAGATTTGCAGACGTTTGGTTTAATCACTTAGCTGGGAATTGGGGTGAATAGAAAGTCTAACATTCTGGGCCAAATAAGCTTTTTGGTTTTAGCAGAAAATGTTCAGTTTAATGAATAACATTGTTTTCCCCTTTATGGAAATTAAAGAGAAATCGTTAAATATTCAGATATGACAAAGAACTACCCTCATTAATACCTAAAACCACTATAAATGGACTAAAGTGAGTGCAAATCATGTGCGGTGATGATTCTAGCCCCACATAGTGAGTAATAAGGGGATGGTAAAAAAATAAAGATCTCTCCATTAAAGCTATGTGTATTCTGTGTGCCTTTCCACAATATGAAATTCACACTTATTATTCCACAGCCAGATGTGCAAGCATTGCTCTAAGAATGCAAGTCTGCATATCCTCAGTAAACATTATCAGCTCAATACAAACCCTAACTTCCTTAATAAAAGGAACCGATACTCAGATGTCCCAATAGAGGAGTATTATCAGTCTTTTCTACCTAAAATTCATTCTACACTTTCATTTGAGCTTTAGGCTTTTTTTGTCTGCAGATTTAACCACGTTGTTTGAGCCTTTTCCATCCTTTTATCTTCCAGTGGAAGTCATTCAAACCCAAATAATGGTGTTTTGACAATTAAAATACAGTTTGGTCCCTTAATGGCTGTGCTTTTCCTGCGGCACCATATCATAGCCTAATTAGAAGCTGTGTGATGCAGACAATATATACCCATGGGATGAACTCTGCGCAAATGGTCAGCACAGAGCTATACACAATATCTAATGGTTCTCAATCCGGTATTCAGGGGACATGGAAGTGACCAAACCTTTATAACGGAGATTAAAAGCAACAACTTGATTGGAATTAATTGGGTTTGGCCTCACTAACATATCTTATTTATTTAATGGAAAGGCACTAATATACATAGTAATATAGGCAGAAGAAAGTCTATCAAGTTCAGCCTTTCACAAATCAGCTTTACTGCTGCTGATAAAAGGATATCCAGGTTAGCATGAGATATAGCCTGGTGCACCCTGCAGTGGTAACCGTCATTTATAATACTAACTGGCGTTTCAGCAGACATCATTGAACAGGACTGATTGTCAGCATTGAAGATCTCACAGAAGGCAGAGTGGCTGCTGCACGAGGACTGCCCTGCTGTTGTATTACAAGTAAAAAATGGGTGTTTTAGTTGTAATTTAAAATCTGGCAGCTTTGAATGTGATGGGGTAAAGGAACTAATCAAATTTGAAAAATGAGATATTTTTATAGTTTCAGTGTTTCGTTAATGTTCATACATCACGCTTATACACATAATAAAAAGCAATATTTCAGTCTGAGTGTTCCTTAACAGCTGCATTTCAAATGGATTAGAATGATTGTAGACAATCACTGCTCCTATTCCAAAGCTAACAACGGGGTGCTCTAGAGACTGCATAAACAAATTAGTTAATGGGTTTAGGAAGTTTACACAAATGGCACAATTAAAGCAAGTGCAACTGTGACTGTGAGTGCGATAGCTCAGTGTGAGCAAGGTTTCACTGGATCCATTTCCTTGCACTTAGCATCTTTTAAAAGCTTTATGACTGCAGTTTGCGAATTTAGTTGAACGCCACAACCTTCCATAGTTCTATCTAGGTGTTCAGTACTTTCTTCCCAGGGCATGGCGGGAATACTTTTGGGCAGACAACTGTAATACCTCCTGCCTGTGACAAGTGAATGTGCTTTAATACAGCGTCTTCCATCAATCAGGCATAAAAGTGATGGGTTCTAAGAAGGTCAAAGCCGGTTAAGATAAACTCTATGATATGGGCTTTTGTGTCCCAAAATGCTTGGTCAACATTTAAACAGCAGTGCATTCTGGGTAAGAAACATGGCAATTCACTTGGGAAGCACAAACTGTGCTGATGTTGGGCCCCAGAGGTTTAAGGTCACTGGTAGGACCCCTGAACACAGGTTCGAGAAGCATGCTGTGTACAGCTTGACATTTTATGATTAAGGCATTCGCTGACTTGTTTTTGCATTTTGTTACATGTACTTTATATTCTGAATGAATAAGCTTTCCAAAAAGTAACAGCATTATAAAATACACTTCTTTAAAATTGTTACATAAGAGTTAGAAAAGCTGTGCCGTATTTTCAAAATGTTAATAACAAACCAACCACGGACTTGTCTCTAAATGATTTGTACGCACACGTGAGGATTTTAACCAGCTAGAGGCATGATTAATCATAATAAACCATGTAAGTCTCCTCTTCGCACACGCATAGCAACCTACCATAACCATCATGGGCTATGGACTTAGAGGGATGACATTTCTTAAGTAAAAAGCTGATAACTTCACATAAATAATGAATACACATAAGGTGACAGTAACTGAGTGTTAGGAAATGATAGGCTGAATTACAAACCACCTCTGCTAGGTTTTGCTTCTCTAACTGTGAGTGCCAATTTGACTAAATGATTACACATTGCTGGAAAATTCAGAGACACAAACTAAGCGTAAAAGGGATAACACAGCCCTTTCTCCCAACCAAACAAACATCGCTGTACCTTCACACAGGAGCCACAGTGACAAACAGACAAAACCTGCCACAGGTGTGTGCAAAAGAATATTTTATGTATAATATTTTATAGAAAATAATTTTATTTATATGTGTATACACACACACACACACACACACATTTTATTATATTTATATATACACACACACACACACACACACACACCTTCCCCTCCGACATACTTACAATTTCTGCTAAAGACTTCTTCAGTACATATAGCAACTAAGTTTTTTTTTCTCTCTAAATACAAAATATAGCTTTCAAAAACCCCCATTAAAACAAAACAAAACAGTTTGATAAAAGCCATCAAAAAACTTGAATGACTGAAAATAGTATTCAAAATTAAAATGACCTTGAAAGGTCTCTTTCTGAAAAAGTTCCCTTCATATTGGCATTGAACCCGCACTATTGACAAGTCAGAATCTCCTCTCGGAGATCATTAAACACGCACACAGACAAAAATGAGAGGGGAAAATTAGAAAAGGATGTGTTTACATAATTAGACAGGGAGACAGGGCTTAACAGCACAAATATCTACATGGCTCAAATATCAAAGAAAGACACAAGTCCTCCAAATACAGGTAAGTACAGCATTAGTTGTCTAGAATGGGGACTCTCGCTGATCCACATTTAGAGGAACACTATAGTTTCATGAATACAAACATGTATTCCTGACACTATAGTGCTGGTGTGGCTGTTTAGGTGAGTGGCCCTTCTCCAATCGCACTGAAAAGGTGATTTTACTCACTTTTTCTCCATCACTGTGCTGATCTTGCTGCGGTTGGCCCACCTCCACAGCAAAATGCCGCTGAGGCAATCAGCATCTTCTCAGAGATACATTGAATCAATGCATCTCTATGGGGAACATTCAGTGACTCCAAGCAGGGCATGGAAACACACATTGTGCAGCACTGACACAGCAGGCACCTCTAGTGGACGTCTGAGTGTCTGTCCCTAGAGATATTACTAGTCAGCAATGTAAACTGCCTTTTCTCTGTGAGTTTACATTAAAAAGCCTGCGAAGACTGGCTATAGACACTAGAGGCACGCATTAAGCTGTTCTGGTTCAGGTGACCATTGTGTTCCTTTAAGAAGGATATAGATGGATAATTCTTTGCTTTTTTAATGCAAAAAAGTAATTTGAACGTATACATCTCATTCAAACAGACACGCCATATTCCCAGTCTGGACATTATCTCATCGAAAGTTAAAAATTGCACATACACCGTTTGAATTAAAAAGAAAAGCTTTTCAATGTGATTTAAAAAAAAAAAAAAATAATAATTCTCAAAAGCTGGGTATTCTTGAAGCAAAAAAAAAAACAAAAAAACAAAAAACCTTTTAATGCAGATATGGAAGTGCTGGGCTTTCAGCTGCCCGGAACAAGGACCTTGGCCGTTGAGAAAGAATGTTAAGTTGGATTAAAAATCTTCAGAAGATACTTCGCTGAGAAGATTTTCATGTTTAATACACTGTGTATCTGCAGATTTCCATTGTATACAAGATGATTTAAAACTAGACATGATGTGCCAGATAAGACCTCCTGAAGGCCATAGGAGTGAGCAATGTAGCCACAAAATGCCACCCACCGATGGCTCGTTGACTCGTCTGCCAATAAGGAGGCTGTAGGACCAAGCAGCATTAAGAAATCTTTACAGAGCAAGCCTCATTGTCAGCAGAGTCTTTCTGAAATGCATCTCCATGATAAAGTCCATATGACATGAGAGAAGACATTCCGGGGGAAAGTTGTGGCCCACTGCCAATCGATCTAGCTCGCTCTTGTTGGATAAGTCATCAGCACTTGTTCTCATGTACTGTGCAAATTTTATATCATCCAGACCACAACCTGTGGTGAGACCAGCCCTCACTAATCACAGCTTCTCTAATAGACTATAAATATATCCTTTCAGGGAGAAATAGAGGGGAAAAAATATATATATTTTATATACAAATATATACACACACACATAAAAACGAACTATGGTGGACATGGACCTAATAAAAGGTAAACATTGCAACCAATGCAGATACAGAGAGCACTAAGAGTTGAGCTCCCAGCAGTTCTCTCGATTCCCACTGCTTTGTAGAGTATGACAGTCTATCGGCCTGTTGGCCTTGGTCACTAAATACTGAAGGAGGATATGAACAAACCAGGGAACACAGCACTACAAGCAGACTACTTGGACCGTGGCTGATATACAGAATAATCCAGTTTTACAACATCCTTTCCCAGGGCACCTGAAATATACAGAATATTTGTTTTCATTGTGAGATAATAAAAAGCCATAGCACGTGCACAACATAGAAAGCTTACACAATGTTATCCAGAAGGGTCTGTAAAAGGCCCTCCTCTTTGTCTATTATTAATATATTCCATTCTACAATGCTACAGCCCTGTGGATGAACTAATTAAGATCTCTGTACTAGAAAAATCTACATATGTGTCAGGCCCTGTATTTTAGACTTTATTGAGAGTAAAAAGCCAGTTTAAATTGTGCAGAGAAATGAAGAGATAAAATGAATGGTCCACGTGGTTTGTAATGTGCTGATCTACCAGTGAAATTCAGCCAATAAGATTAGACCTGTGATCACTTAAAGGACCACTCTAGGCACCCAGACCACTTCAGCTTAATGAAGTGGTCTGGGTGCCAGGTCCTTCTAGGGTTAACCCATTTTTTCATAATTATAGCAGTTTCAGAGAAACTGCTATAATTATGAATGGGTTAAGCCTTCCCCCTAATCCTCTAGTGGCCGTCTCATTGACAGCCACTAGAGGCGCTTGCGTGCTTCTCACTGTGAAAATCACAGTGAGAGCACGCCAGCGTCCATAGGAAAGCATTGTAAATGCTTTCCTATGAGACCGGCTGAATGCGCGCGCAGCTCTTGCCGCGCGTGCGCATTCAGCCGGCGGGGCGTAACGGAGGCGGAGAGGAGGAGGAGAGCTCTCCGCCCAGCGCTGGAAAAAGGTAAGTTTTTACCCCTTTCCTCTCCCCAGAGCCAGGCGGGAGGGGGACCCTGAGGGTGGGGGCACCCTCAGGGCACTATAGTGCCAGGAAAACGAGTATGTTTTCCTGGCACTATAGTGGTCCTTTAACATAGGTACGCAATGAGTAATCCTGAGAGGAAAAGAAAATTAAAGTATTGATCTTCTTAAAGTGTCTCATCTTAAAGTGGCTATGTCACCTTCTGGGGTCTTTGTATATGTTACAAAGACCATTGACTGTGACTGCTCCATTAGCAGTGCGGTGGTCTGAGGGTGCAGGGCAAGGTAGGTTTAACTTACTGGAACTTGTCCCTCATAGCCACCGCCATCTTGATCTAGTGCATCCACTTCAGCTCCTAACACTTCACCTGCATGCATTACATCATTGAGGTCTATGGAGTCTCCTACTGGAACCTTCATAGACATAGCCTTTTACAATCAGTTGTTAATTGTGATGGCTGGGTGCTTGATAGTGGCAACTCCATCTTCATCAAGCACAGAAAAAATCTAAAAGACAAAGTAGACCATACTTTGTCTTATGATATCTTCTGACTGGGTTGGGACTTTATTGAACTTCCAAAGCATGTGATGTTGCACTCGTTGGCTGAGAGTGTCAGAGTGTACAGCTGTGCTTGCTCAGTGACAGGAGCTTCCAGAACCAGGAGAGTGACAGCACGATCATACTGTAACAGCTCAAAATGTCAGAATTGCAAGCACAATACTCACCAACAAATCAGAAGGAACCTGACAAGTTATTCCCCTGGTTCTGCAGAGACACCAGCAAATCACTGATCTTCTCCATGTTTTGATCAGCCGTCATTGAAGAATTCTCAGACATCTGCTGAGAAAGAAGTGTGCTCACAGACTGCCCATCTCCTTGAGGCTGGCCCGACTGACCCAAGGCCATCATCTGCTCCGTCAAAGAGCCACTTGATTGAGGCATCATTTGGTTGCAATCTGAGGAATTAAAAGCATAATGAATGAGATATTTGTATATTACAATGCTCAGTTGTTGGCTTTTATACTGTAGACTGGGATTGTCCCTACTGGTTGTTTGTGAGCATCTCATAATTCCATTTTATGTTAATTGTGCAGGTGTTGGGTCTGGTATTTAGTCATTCTCTGGATAACACAACAGGTAGTAAGTATTACCTACTGACCACTCCACTGGTATCAACCAAGGTACAGAATGGGGACAGATGTGTTGGCAGGATGAATAAATTATCTGGTGTGCAGCTATAGCAATAACCACTGAGGGAGGTGTGCTCCTGTGCGGTCGGTGGGAGTGGGAGAGAGTTCAATAATGTTTCTTATTCTTTAATTCTACAACCATAATCAGTAAGATCCAACAAGAGGAAATCTGTGGCAAGGAGCTACATTTGGCAAAAAGATTTATAAAACTATGGAAACATTTATTTCAAATGTCTTATTTCAAGCTGTACCCCAGGTTTAGAGGATTGTATCCTATATTACAGTAACTGATCAGAAATCTGAGCAATTGTGGAAAAATTCAATATAACTCACTGTTCTGAATGCCATACAGAAACATCCCTGACGCCTGCGGTGATGACGCTTGCTGGTTTTGCATTTGACCCATAGCTCCGGCAGCGGAGTTGTGGAACATTGCGGCAGCCTGCTGCTGAGACGAGGATGTGTTGCCCTGGATCGGCTGTGTGTACATGCCTGCCTGCTGCATCTCCTGCTGGCTCATACTGCTCTGCAGCATTGAGGCAGAAGACATAAACATGGTCACCTGCTGCTCTGGAGAGGACGATGGCTGAACCAGCTGAAGCTGGGGAGAGTTGTGGTACATGGGGGATTGTTGCTGTTGCTCATGCTGGGAGGAAACAGGGCTCTGTCCTTGAAAATCCATGTTTTGGGAGTGAAACATGACTTGACTCTGCTGTTCTTGTGTGGTCATCTGCTCTTGACTGGTGCTGAAGAGCATGTTCTGCTGCTGTTCTTGGGAACCCATAGAGGCCATTGAATTCTGAGTGTTATAAAGCAAATTTTGAGCCTGCTCATGTTGCGAGGGGCTGCCCTGGATCCCCACCATGGAGTGAGCTGCCTGGAAGATGGAGGTTTGCTGGTTCTGTGTCTGGAACAGGTTTTGTTGGGACTGCTGTTCCTGAGAAATGATAGTATTCTGCATGTGAGATAGAGGGGTCTGCTGCTGGAAGGCTGTCTGCTGGTCTGTGTTCTGTCCAGGTTGAAGTGAAGGGAGGGGATTCTGACTTGCAAAAAATGACATCTGCTTGTCCTGAACAACTGCGCTATTCTGTAGGGAGTTCATTGCACTCTGAGAGAGGAACATGTTGGCCGAAGGCTGCTCCGGAGCTGAAGAGTTCTGGAGAACAGACATGGCGCTCTGCGGATGAAAAAGCTGAGGCTGCAGTTGATCTTGTGAGGCTAAAGAGTTCTGGTGCTGCACCATAGCGTTACTGGGGTGAAAGATCGAGCCCTGAGTATCCTGAGATATATTTTGGCTGTCACCAATAGTGTTCTGGGTGTGGTAAAGTGGAGCATGGGAATGAGGAGACTGCTGCAGAAAGCCACCTGACTGAATCGTCATCATATCACCAGCTTGTTGAAAAATGCCATTTCCCTGCTGCTGGTTCCCACTAGGCTGAACCCCAAGCATGTCTTCTGCTGGTGAAAAGAGATTTACTTGAGTCTGGTTTTCTCCACTATGTTGCATCTGAACCATATTTTGAAAGACGTCGTTCTGCATTTGTTCTGCCTGCGTCGATGTGTTCTCGCTGTTGGCAGAGCTGGAAGGCTGGAAGATACCAGGTGTTGAAGCCGATAACTGCTGCTGCAACTGCTGCTGTCCAGCGTTGCCTTCACTTGCGGAAATACCAGGATTAGAGAATAGATCACACTGCATCTGCATCTCTTCACTTGTGGAGAGCCCGCTGATCAAGTGTGATCCCTGCTGGTGTTGGTAAACTGAGGACTGGATGCCCCCGGCTCCAGAATTCTGCGTTTGGAAAAGTTCAGATTGAATTGGTCCAGGAGACTGATGCATTTCCATTACGAGGGCCGCGGTGGTCTCCATAGCCTGCTGCTGATTGGACAAGGAGTTTTCAGCCTGCTGTAGGAGATTATCAGTCCTTCCAGAAAGCACGGTTTTGGATAAAGAATGAACGGATTCTGGGGAACCAAAAATCCCAGGTCCTGAACTGTTCTGGATGGAACTGACCGGCTGAAATATCCCAGCATTCAGCTGCTCCTGTACTTGTCCTATTGAAGACGGTTCACTTTCGCTCCCTCCTTGGCCAGAGAAGAGCACGTGTGATAACTGTTGTACTAAATGAACCTCTGCATTGTTTCCAGTGACGTTTGGTTGAAAGCTGCTTTGCTGCAGCTGATGCATATTACTCTGTAACTGGTTGATGTTGTTTGGTGATGAGAAAATGCCTGGGGAGATTTGCTGCTGTATTGTCTGTGCTTGTTCTTGTAATGGCAGCTGTGGTGGTGGCTGTGTGGCCTCTGACATTTGGGTTATATTCTCTCCGGACTGGGATTCCATGGCTTGAAATGTTGTTGCTTGTTGCATGATGGAGTCATTGCTCGGACACTGGCTGGGAGGAGTCTGGAAGCTGTTTGTTGCTGCGATATCTTGAGTCTGGATGGTGGAAAGGGGTTCAGGGCTGAAGACCGGGATTGGGGTCTCTCGGTCAGTTTCAGATGGTAGATGTGTTACAGTAGGAGAAAACGAGGCGCTACTGGGCACAGGCTCCAAATTCTGCTGAGCTGGTGCAGTAATTTTTGATGTCTGTGGACAAACCAGAACAAAGATGATTAATATTAGCACCAAAGAGTATGTGTCTCTCTCTCTCTCTGAAACAACATCTAGTTTGGAATTTCCATGCTGCAAATTATATATTGGTGTGTCCTAAATAAATTCACTGCCATTTTTGTTTAAAAATACATGGAAACACATGACATAAGAAAAATACAACCATTTAAGTAAACAGATTGTTGGTAAATGATACAAAATGTAATTTTATTTATACAGGCATTTCACAAATGTAGAGGATGAATACTTACATAGTAGTCTAGGTTGAAAAAAGTCCATCAAGTTCAACCGTGAAGCCCATTCTTTTATGCTTTTGATCCAAAAGAAGGCCAAAAACAAAAACAAGCCCAAAAAAAACAACATCTAAATTGTAGCTATTTGCCACAAGGGAAAATATATCCTTCTTGACTACATAATGGCAATCAGATTTTTCCTTGGATCAACAACGTGTTTACATACATATCAATAATATCCTTAACCCCTTAACGACGCTTGCCGCAATTTTCTGTCAAGACAGACCTACCCTTAAGGACGCTTGTCAGAAAATTTCTGTCATTTACTAAAGTTAACGCCAGATCACCGCGACCGTGGCGTTAACGCTGTTGCTGGGTGCCTCAGCGTTTGATAAAGACCAGCAACAGCCAATAGTGCTGTCCCAGCACATATAATCGCTGTGACAGCCAGTCACAGTGATCACCGTTACCTCCACCTCTGTGTGTGTGTGTGGTGAAGTGGAGAGAGATGGTCCCTGAAAGACACAAAAGTGTTTTAAAGTATCAAAACCCCCTTCACCAGTGTGCCAGAAATGAAACAGTTGCTAAACCATGCTAATGGGCATTATAAAAAATGCCCAGCATTCGAATGTACTGGTCCAAAAACCTAGTATGCAATACCCCCATTTTCTCCCAGACCACGAGTAGGCCCAGATACGAATCAATGCTGCGTTTTTTGCACTTTAATGACAATTCAAAGTGCCACCCAAGAGATCATCCGCAGTATGATAAACTATATAAAATTTGCCCCCTAATTACCCATTTGAATAAAGAGTTTGGCACAACTTATACACCCCCAAAAAATATATGTATAGACGAGTCCCTCAAAGTACAAGGGTAGACTGGGGTTCAAGCAATACATCCCAGCCAAAAGATCCCGGTATGGCATCAAGCTATACAAGTTATGTGAAAGTGGCAGTGGGTATGTTTATCCCTTCGGAGTATATGAAGGTAAAGATAGTCACTGGGATCCCCCAGGTTGCCCTGATGTAGTTGGGACTAGCGGAAAAATAGTTTGGGATCCAATGAACCCGCTACTGAACAAGGGGTACCACCTCTACCTTGATAATTATTACAATAACATACCCCTCCAGAAAATGCTATATTGTTTTGAGACTGTGGTCTGCGGCGCTATCCGCAAGACACGCACTGGCTTCCCCAAGGCTCTGGCAGAGAAAACAATTAAAAAGGGGGAAACGGCTGCTCTCTGCCAGGACGAACTGCTGGCTCTGAAATACAGAGACGAAAAGGAGGTGTTTATCCTGACTACCATGCACAGTGAACACACGCGCAGGGTTGCAGTTCGTGGCAGACGGGAAACAAGACGGCTGTCTGTCTGCTTTAAAGGACCACTATAGTGCCAGGAAAACATACTCGTTTTCCTGGCACTATAGTGCCCTGAGGGTGCCCCCACCCTCAGGGACCCCGACCCCCGCCCGGCTCTGGAAGGGGGAAAGGGGTAAAAACTTACCTTTTTCCAGCGCTGGGCGGGGAGCTCTCCTCCTCCTGGGCTGAGCCGCGCGCACATTCAGCCGGTCACATAGGAAAGCATTCATAATGCTTTCCTATGGACGCTGGCGTGCTCTCACTGTGAAAATCACAGTGAGAAGCACGCAAGCACCTCTAGCGGCTGTCAATGAGACAGCCACTAGAGGATTAGGGGGAAGGCTTAACCCATTCATAAACATAGCAGTTTATCTGAAACTATGTTTATAAAAAAAATGGGTTAACCCTAGCTGGACCTGGCACCCAGACCACTTCATTAAGCTGAAGTGGTCTGGGTGCCTAGAGTGGTCCTTTAAGCAATACAATAAACACATGGGGGGAGTTGACTTGTCTGATCAACTGCTGCAGCAATATCTGATAATGAGAAAGACCAGGGCCTGGTATGAGAAAAAGGGCATTTATTTACTGCAAATGGCTACTCACAATGCATTCATCCTTTTCAGAAAGGCAAATCCTCAGCTGAAAGTAATTTTCTTACATTTCAGTTTCAGCTAATTTCTGTGCTGCTCACTGAGTGCCACAGTGGGGAGCCATCATCAGGGCCTAGCAGCAGAGGTATTTAGACAGGTCACTACTGCTTTTGGATCCCAACAACCCCCAAAAAAGACCCTCCAGAAAAGGTGCAGGTTGTGTTACCAGAGGGGCATTCGAACAGAGACCAGTTTTTATTGTCCTGATTGTCCCTCTCACAATTAATATTTTTGTTGTAGTTCTTCTATTATCTGACCGCTGACTTAATTTTTGTTTTAAATTTTTTTACTTGTATTTAGTTAATTGGGGTGGTTGATAGTTGAAAAAATTGGGGAGTTTAGTATGTATGCTAGGGGTAAAAATACAAATAAAAAAATCCACAAAAAAAATAAAATTTTTGTTAAAGTTCTTGTGTAAAAAGTTCAAAATGCTTAGGAAATTCAGTGCCCAAGAGGCTTAGAGAATTCTGACTACGGATTCAGAGGTGACAGACAGTGCCTCAGTTTGACCCATTAATATTTGCCTGATTCTACAGCAACTTGCTAAAATGCCCCAAAATAGGACATGGACCCAGCGTAAAAAATACAAGTTTGAAAAAAACCTGAATTGGCAGAGTCTCAACTTTGCACCTTCAACATCCACATATACCTGGGAAAGGTACACGCGGAAGTAATGCTGTACTCAGACGAAAAAGCTGAGCGACATATGAAGCGTTATACTGCCGTAGCACACCTAAGGATTGCAAACTATGCAGTAAAATCTCAAAGTGTCAAAAAGGCAGAGAAAATGCTTACTACTACTAGACTTGGTACTAACTAGCGAAAAAATTATCCCACGCCAAGGTTCTGTCAGGGTTTCTTTGCGGGTTTTTTTTTTTTAAATATATATTCTTTATTTTTATAGTGCACAGCGTAACAAACAGAATACATAGGCATTCCTCATGAGCATAATCAACAAGCATAAGGTGGAAACATAGTAAGAAATGGCATGAAATACTGTACCTTTTACATTTAGGGAAAAAAAACAAAATCTAACAAGTACAGCTAGCATGTCTAAATGTTTCTAGCTGGTAAGACATCTTGTCAGAAGGGAAACGCTGAATATTATGAGTGATAGGCATTTAAATTCTTAGGCTGGCTTTCTAGACATGATGATAAGAGCTGACGAGTAATGATGATTATGATCAAGGAAACAAGCTAGGCAACCACGATAGTACTGACTATGCCAGGCTTAGAAAAGTGGGGTGAGTTATTCTATATTCAGGCCAGTCATGAAATAGTATTTCTACTGGTACTGAACCCAAAGCTCAAGAACGTCGTGCCATATCCTATGCATAAAAACAAAATAAACAGCATAAAACAAAATGGAATCCGGGAACCTCTTAAAGAGGTGTCAAAGTCATACATTGGAGTGTCAAAGTCATACATTGGAGGTGTTGTTTTACTCAGAAGAGTTAGCAGAGTATAATTTTGAGTATTTGATCATGATGGAACATATCAAATATACATAATGCCCAGCACAAATGTAATGCTTAAAGGACCACTATAGGCATCCAGACCACTTCAGCTCAATGAAGTGGTCTGGCTGCCAGGTCCATCTAGGTTTAACCCTGCCTGCTGTAAACTGCTATGTTTACATATGGGTTAATGCAGCCTCTAGTGGCTTTTTCATTGATTTTCACAGTGAGAAGCATTGAGAATGCTTTCCTATGGACTGACTGAATGCGCGCGCGGCTCTTGCCGCTCATACGCATTCGGAGGATGATGTCGGAAGAGGGAGGAGAGTCCCCAGCGCCCGGTGCTGAAGAAAGGTAAGGGTTTAACCCTTTCCTCCCACTTCAGCCAGGTGGGGTCATGAGGGTAGGGGGGACCTAAAGACCCTATAGTGCCAGGAAAACTAGTTTGGCACTATAGTGGTCCTTTAAGTAAAAAATGCGAGAAATATTTTACCACAAACTGCCATATAACGGTAAAAAAATTACGACATCTTAAGGCACAATATATGCCATACGAGATACCCTGGAGTGTCTACTTTCACGAATGGAAGGTCTTTGTGTGGTCATTTGAACAACCAAACCAAACTACGATAATGCCCCAATATAAGACATAGGTCCATCCAATCCATCTTTGAATTTTCTAACTGTAGAAACTGAAATAGTCTTGCCTCTTACATGTCATTGTAGCTTCCCAGAACAGTAGCAAAGGCATACAATGGGGGTATTGTTGTACTCCGCAGATGAAGCTGAACACAATATAGGATTTTGACCAGGAATAGCACACAACAGCTTTACAAAATACACATTTAAAAAAATCTTGTTATATGTTTGTATGTCAAAAAACAGAAAAAACACAATTTTACTACAATATTTAGCAGAGATTGATGGTGAAACGGCTATGAAAAAAGTCAAAATACCCTTCGATAAATAGCCTGTGATGTCTACTTTATATAAATATATACCTTTGTGTAGCAATTTTGTTTTCTGTGACGACTATTAAACTTACAAGTCAAACATACCAACTTCTTAAATTGTTTCACATTGAAATTTTATATTACTCCTTGTATTTTGTGAAGCTGAAATCCTATACATATTATGCACTGGGTAAATCACGACACATAAATTAATTTTCAATAACTTTTTCCTAAGCTGGACATATTACTCACACACTAATTTTGCCAAAACTGTGAAAAGAAAAGGTGTTTTTAAAAAAAAAATTTTAATTTTTAAAAATATTTTTAATAATAAACTGCCCATTTTGTCCTTTAGAAAAACGGTATTTAATGTGTTAATGTAATAAATGAGAGATATTCAAATTGCAGTTGAACACAAACAGCAAAAAATGCAAAAATAGCTTGTGTCATTAAAGGTATGTTCAGCTTCTGAAGCTGCGTCCTTAAAGGGAATCTCTAGTGCCCCTCTTCCTCCCACGCCCCATCCCAAGTTGCTGAAGGGGTCAAAACACCTTCAGCGACTTACCAGAGTCAAGCGCTGATGTCCCTCCGCCAACGTCAGGAGACCTAATGCGCATGCGCGGCATTCATTATTATTCAATGTTTTACTATGGGCATTTCAGCGACGCTGGAGGTCCTCACATAGCGCTATGGAAGTACCATAGTTTAGCGTGTTAACTTACCTTCTTCTCTTTGACTATATCAATGTCAGCCAACGCAGTATGTTTCAGTTAATCGCCTTGCCTTTCAATATATGACATGGCTTACATTATCCTATTACTAAAAATGTGCAGTTCAATTACATGCCACAGTAATATGCCTTTTGAAATGCCTGTGTCTGCTGTTGTGGCATCACCAGCTTATCTGTCATACTTATGTACAACAAAAATGTAAAACAAAACAAAAAAAACAGTGCCCAAAATTGCACCGCGTACTCAAGGTGGGTGTGGCGGACCGCCTGGTACCCCGACTGGGTACCTCCGCCAATCACGCTTCCTAATAGACGCTGAGTACCAAAAGCACTGTAGCCTCCCTTAGCTTAGCTGGGATCTCGCCGTCCCTTCCTACACTGGACCAACACCTGGATCCAGCTCCCAGTGGGAAGATCTCTCCTCCAAGAGAGAATTGGAGTTTAGCCAGTAAAAGAGCAAGCTGTTCCCCCCCCCACACATGAGCCGAGGCATAATGCTGGGAGTAGTCTGTTTTATTCAGGGCCACACACAGCCTTTTATGCACAAGCCCATGTTTCCCACAAAAATCACAGGGTAATCCCTCCCCTGTGCCTGAGAGATAATTGAGTCAGGGACTGTACTAACCCAATTATCTCCAGGTACAGAAAACACACAATGTACAAACACCCCAAAAGTACCCCCCAAAATATATAAAAACCTCACAAAAGTCACATCCCCTGACAGCCCCGATCTGGGTGATCAACATATCCAAAAATCACCCTGATCGGTTCAGGGGTTTGGGTTTTTCATGGAAGTCACTTTTTTTGAACTTCAGTAACATAAAAATGAAAGAATTATCAAACGTAGTTTATATATGAACCGTGGAGCTTGTTTCCTTCATTCAGACGAACAATTCCACCGAACAGTGCTCTTCTAGGATTTACGGTGTTTGGGAGTTTCAGTGTCCGATTTTAGTTCCATGAACTCGATGACCAAACACTACTGCCTGCGTTCATGCGAACAAGATAGCCGCCACTTCGTGGTCGTCCATACGAATTGCGGCCACTCAGACGGACAATTAGAACACTGAGATGAGAACCGTTATAAGGTTTTAATAGGGTTTAACAAGCTCCCGGGTGGTCCATGGGACGTACATCTGTTCAGTTCCCGAACAGTATAAGGACATGGCACGAACAAAGTCTTTTAACATGGTTTTTGCAGGGCCCATAGTCTTTGGGCAGTAGGCTAGCCAGCAGGTCCCTCTAAAAACACGTGGCAGAGGCATTTCTGCCACAGTGGGGTCTTCCCATGGATTTGTAAAGAGGCAAAATTATATTTGGATCACTTGAATCAAAACTCTTTTTATAACACTCCGTCCTGATGCCATTACGGACAACACCTGTAACTAAAGAGCACATAACCATGCCTGCTAAAATGGCGGGAAGGCCTTACACCACAAAGCAGAGCCTGATACCAACTTGTACTGCAGAAAGCAGCCGCATGGAGAGCCCCCAGCAGAGGCTGGCGGCAATATTCCAGGATTTCTGGGCCCGACTGGAAAGGCACATGGCGACAGCCTCGCTGCAGACTAAAGATCAAGCACGAGGACAAAAGCCACTCTCGACAGGCCTCTCCTAACAAACAAACCCAAGCCAAAGAACAACAGGCGCTAGAGCCCTTCCCAATTGCCAGAGCACAGAGCCACATTTCAACTCCAGCGGCGGCAGGAGACCACACTCCAACACAGGCGGAGAGCTGCGCTCCAGCTATTGTTCCAGAAGAGAGCTACTCACCATCTGCAACGGCGACAGCATCTAGGGGCTACACAGGCCTGGACTTTCGACCATCAGCCTCTATGGCTGGGAAGATCACTGCACATACTCCTACCAGAGGCCCATGGTCTGGGGAGGAGACGACTGATGGTGGGATCATCTGCGACCTACAGCAAGCCAAGGACATGTCTGATTGTTGTATTCTCCTACACATGGACAATATCTCAGCGACTTTATACATAAACCGCATGGGCAGACATCAATGCGAACAGAGGACGCATGTCTCCAACCTGGGCCATTGCAAAGGGCAAACGCATGCCACCTTTTCAATGTTGACGAGAGTCCTTGATCACCTTGGCACAGCGGAGACCTAGGTGACGCTCACCTCGCCCCTACGGCAAAAGCAGAGGGGCTTCCCAGACCTATTTACTCCATCTCTGGACTTTCCATTGCTCCTTCCACCGTCTTCCATTTTACTGAAAAACCCACAAGATACCATCGGAGACTTTGGCAGCTCACATTCCACTTCAGAACCTTTGGTAGGTCACGAGGCGTCATATTACCCAGAACCAGTATCGAAATACACTCGGTTATGGTATGTAGATCTCTGTTCCCTGTGGGTTTGGCCAGTTGTTTTGGATTTTCACGTCAACAAACTCTCGGGGAAGCTCATACTACTTTCATGTTATGTGGTGGTGTCTACACCTCTTCGGCCTTCACAATCGAGCCAGCCTCTCTTTTTGTATACAGTACCTTTCATACCAGTTACAGCCACCACTTTAGCTGGATGGGTACATTGGCTATTGTTCATAGGGTTGTGGAGATTGGTTTTATCGGTCATTCGGGGCATGGATGCATCTCTGGCATCTCCAATTTTCTTCGTTTGATCGCAGGAAGAGACCTTCAGGGCATTTTACCTCATCAGACTCTTCACGCATCTTGTGTTCTTTCCACAGCGTTAAAAATGCAAAATATGAAGCCTCCTGTCATGTTGTAAAATTGTAGATTATGCTAACTTCGTGTACCTATAATTAATTTTAATAACGACAGGAGGCGAGCATTTTCCCTCCTTAGTTTTGTTTTCACTGTTTCCCATGTTCACAGTATCATATTTTGTAATTCCTATCTACTTCTGAATATTTATAGGATGTTTAATCTGGTTGATGTCCGCTTAATCTTTGTTGGTTTGTTACATGATGTTAGAAGTTTGTACGATATGTTACATTATAATTAAAAAATATATATAGTGGTATTGGACTTAAGGTGGACAACAGTTTGTTCCCATCACCTTTCATGTATTTCTGTTCTTTTCAGTGTGATCATCATTGGACAAGCTGGAATACATCACATTTCGGATCAAGTTTGAGTTCTACATGTTATTCGGGACTTTGGTTATGTTCCCTGATGTTGGTATAGACTGTTTTCGCATCAAAGAAAGAGGAAGTCATGTGTCTGTCAGGGCTTTATATATGGATATGATACCTGTTACTGGTTGGTTTAAAGTTTATTGATTGACTTGTGCTGCTAGAGGCATAAGCAAAGAAAGTTATGCAAAATACTTGCCTCCTGTCATTATTAAAGGATCACTATAGGGTCAGGAACACAAACGTGTATTCCTGACCCCATAGTGTTAAAACCACCATCTAGCCCCCCTGGGCCCCTCATGCCTCCACAAATATAGCAAAATCTTACTGTATTCAATGCCTGAAGCTGTAAATCTGCATGCTGTTTGACTCAGAAAAACAAGCAGTCTGCTGACATCATCAAAGGTGGTAGCCTGACCCAATCACAATGCTTCCCCATAGGATTGGCTGAGACTGACAAGGAGGCATATCAGGGGCAGAGCCAGCATTATTCAAACACAGCCCTGGCCAATCAGCATCTCCTCATAGAGATGAATTGAATCAATGAATATCTATGAGGAAAGTTCAGTGTCTGCATGCAGAGGGTGGAGACACTGAATGTTTGGATGCATTTTAGGCAGCCATGACCCAGGAAGGATCTCTAACAGCTATCTGAGGAGTGGCCAGTGAAGTTATCACTAGGCTGTAATATAAACACTGCATTTTCTCTGAAAAGACAGTGTTTACAGCAGAAAGCCTGAAGGGAATGATTCTACTCACCAGAACAAATTCAATAAGCTGTAGTTGTTATGGTGACTATAGTGTCCCTTTAAAATTAAGATTATAGGTACACTACGTTAGCATAATCTACAATTTTCTTACCGTTTGGGACCAGGGCTGTTTTTACATTTCTGCTTTGTTTGTGTTTAGCTGTAATTTTCCTCTTACTCATTTACTGTACCCACACATATTCTATACCTTTTTTCTCACCATTAAATGGTCTTTCTAAAGATACCTTTATTTTAATCATATTATATAATTTACTATAAAAAGAATTATAAAATATGATGAAAAAATGTAAAAAAAAAAAAGACATTTTCCCCCTAATTTTGACCCCCAAAAACTGTTACGCATCTACAACCGCCAAAAACACCCATGATAAATAGTTTCACAATTTTGTCCTGAGTTTAGAAATGCCCAATGTCAACATGTTCTTAGCTTTTTTTGGAAAGTTATAGGGCAATAAGTACAAGTAGCACTTTGATATTTCCAAACCATCCCCCCCCCCCCAAAAAAAAACATTAACGCAAGTTACATTGTAACACTGATATCTGTCAGGAATCCCTGAATAACCCTTCATATGTATATATTTTTTAAAAGAAGACAACCTAAGGTATTAAACTTGTATTAAAACTAAAAACAAAACAAAATAATTGGTGATTTTATTGACACACATAGCAATTTAAGAATATATGTACTGAGAACTTTAAGTGTTACTGCCAAAGAACAATATGTGTTCAGCAACATCTCCGGAGTACAGTGATACCACCCATGTATAGGTGTGTCAGTTTCTCTGAGGGCTAAAAGACCTTATTTGGAGGGTGCGAATTCCAGTTTTCCAACTTAGAATTTTCTCAGCTGGTCATTATGCACCCATGTCCTATTTGGGACATTTTTGAAGCCGGCCAATGTAATTTACCCCCATCAAACCATATATTTTTGAAAAGTAGACACCCTAGGGCAGGGGTAGGCAATTTTTAGCAGCACTGTGCTGATATAGGATTGTGATGTCCCGTAGCGTGCCGGTCCTATTTTTTTTTAAATTGAAGTGTGTATGTTGCCGTATTCTGCTTGTGTTATTTTTACTGTAACTGCTTTGTATTGTTGTATTTGTGCGTATTTGAGCTATATTGTATATGTTCATGAGTAGTTTATGGTATTGTGTATGATACATATGAATGTGGGCTGTGTATGGGGGCTGCTTGTGGAATTGTGTGTGTTGATGGATATGTCACATTGTGTGTTTGGTAGGGTGCGGGGGCTGTTTGGGGTATTGCATGTGAGAGGCTGCATGTGGGGTTGTGTGCATGTATGTGGATTGTTAGTGGTGTTGCGTTTAAGCGGATTGTGTGTATGTTTGTGTGTGGGCTGTCTGTATTATTTGTATGAGGGGAGGGTTATTCTGCATTTCTGTGTATATCTAGCAGTGTGGGTGGCTTCCCTGGGTTCCAGTGGGGACCAGGCCAGCCAGGTACAGGTCAAGGACAGTAGCTGCAACAGCAACTGCGAGCTGCTCTACTACTGTGTGGATTCCCATTCACAAGAGCTGGAATGAAGTGCTCTGAGATCACTTCCTCTACATGCTGCAATGCATAAATTGAGGATTGTCCTTCACCACCTCTTCGTATTAGCAGATATCTGAAGTTTTACTGGGACTGCGGATAGGCCAGAGCACGTTTGGCTCTAGCAGCCTTGAGTGCAGTGCATGGCACTAGTGCCGTAGGTTGCCTACCCCTGCCCTAGGGTATTTTAAATGGTGGTATTTTCACACTTTTCATGCACTAATTCTACATCCAGCCTTTGTCAACCTTTTGGGTAGTGATTTTTTTGTGTTATTTTTCTCTCACATTGTAATTTAGGCATGGATTCTTAGTTCCTGATATGTGTTACTGACAAAGAACCCCCCCAATATGTGTTTAGCAACATCTCCTGAGTACAACAGTGCCCCCAATGTACAGGTTTTATGGGTTTTTGCAGACATATAAGGGTCAAATGTAGGGCTTTCCCTTTTTCCATGTTTGCGCATTGAAATTTGCCAGATTGGTTTGCTGGGCCTATGTTGCCTTGGAGACCGTATAGCAGCCCAGGAATGAAAATTAACCCCATCGTGGCATACCATTTGTAAAAGTAGACAACCCACGGTATCCAAAATGGGGGAATGTCCAGTCTTTTGTAGTAGCCATTTAGTCACAAACACTGGCCAAAATTAGCATTTCTATTTGTTTTTTTTGCATTTTTCACACAAACTGCCATTTCACCGAAGATATTATCAGTATAATACATTTACTGCTCCAAAACACTCATATTTGTGTAGAGTAATGTCTCATGAGTACAACAGAACCCCTCAAGTACAGGTTTTATGGTGATTTGAAAAGTTACAGGGTTAAACATAAGATTTGCCAATTTCTGTTTTTGTAAATTACTATTTGCCAGATTGGCTATGTTGCCTTTGAGACGGTATGGCAGCCCAGAAATGAAAATTAACCTCACCATGACATAGCATTTGTAAAAGTAGACAACCCAGGGTATTCAAAATGGGGTATTATCCAGTCTTTTATAGTAGCTACTTAGCCACAAACGCTTGACAAAGTTTGCGTTCATATTTTTTTTTTGTTTTTTTTTAAAACAAAAGCTGCACTTTTACTGGGGATATCATCGTTGTGATACGTTTTTCTGTTTTAAACACTCATATTTGTGTTCAACAAAGTCTCCCGAGTATAACAATTCCCCCCATGTACGGGTTTGATAGTGTTTTTGAAAGTTACAGGATCAATATAGGGCTTAACCAATGAGTTTGCCAGATTGGTTTGCTGGGTCTATGTTGCCTATGGTAGCCCAGGAATGTGAATTAATCCCTTCATGGCATACCATTTTCAAATGTAGACAACCCATGCATGGTATTTAAAATTGGGTATTTCCAGTCTTTTGTAGTAGCCACTTAGTCACAAACGCTGGCCAAAGTTAGCGTTTTTATTTGTTTTTTGCATTTTCTTTTAAAAAAACCAAAAACTGCACTTTTACTGGTGGTGATATTGTCGTGATAAGTTTTACTTTTTAAAACGCTCATATCTGTGTTTAGTGAAGTCTCCCAAGTATAACAATACGCCCCATGTAAAGGTTGTATGGTGTTTGGAAAGTTACGGGGTTAAATATAGGGCTTGCCAATTAAATTCTCTGCACTATCTGCCTGGGTTGTCAAAAAGGACCATCAAATTATAATTAATAAAATAATTATGTAGTTAATAGTTAAATATATATGTAGAATATATATAATACGTGTGTGGGTGTATACACATAAACACTTGTATTTCCTATATATGTATAGTTATATAGCTGAAAAGAGACTTGCGTCCATCAAGTTCAGCCTTCCTCACATTTGTTTTTTGCTGTTGATCCAAAAGAAGGCAAAAGAAAAACCGTTTGAAGCACAATTTTGCAACAAGCTAGGAAAAAAATTCCTTCTTGACCCCAGAATGGCAGTCAGATTTATCCTTGGATCAAGCAGTTACAGTTGAAAGAAAAAGTATGTGAACCCTTTAGAATGATATGGATTTCTGCACAAATTGGTCATAAAATGTGATCTGATCATCATCTAAGTCACAACAATAGACAATCACAGTCTGCTTAAACTAATAACACTCAAAGAATGAAATGTTGCCATGTTTTTATTGAACACACCATGTAAACATTCACAGTGCAGGTGGAAAAAGTATGTGAACCCTTGGATTTAATAACTGGTTGAATCTCCTTTGGCAGCAATAACTTCAACCAAACGTTTCCTGTAGTTGCAGATCAGACGTGCACAACGGTCAGGAGTAATTCTTGACCATTCCTCTTTACAGAACTGTTTCAGTTCAGCAATATTCTTGGGATGTCTGGTGTGAATCGCTTTCTTGAGGTCATGCCACAGCATCTCAATCGGGTTGAGGTCAGGACTCTGACTGGGTCACTTCAGAAGGCGTATTTTCTTCTGTTTAAGCCATTCTGTTGTTGATTTACTTCTATGCTTTGGGTCATTGTCCTGTTGCAACACACATCTTCTGTTGAGCTTCAGCTGGTAGACAGATGGCCTTAAGTTCTCCTGCAAAATGTCTTGATAAACTTGGGAATTCATTTTTCCTTCGATGATAGCAATCCGTCCAGGCCCTGATGCAGCAAAGCAGCCCCAAACCATGATGCCTCACCACCATACTTCACAGTTGGGATGAGGTTTTGATGTTGGTGTGCTGTGCCTTTTTTTCGCCACACATATTGTTGTGTGTTTCTTCCAAACAACTCAACTTTGGTTTCATCTGTCCACAGAATATTTTGCCAGTACTGCTGTGGAACATCCAGGTGCTCTTGTGCAAACTGTAAACGTGCAGAAATGTTTTGTTTGGACAGCAGTGGCTTCCTCTGTGGTATCCTCCCATGAAATCCATTCTTGTTTAGTGTTTTACGTATTGTAGATTCGCTAACAGGGATGCTAGCATTTGCCAGTAACTTTTGAAAGTCTTTAGCTGACACTCTAGGATTCTTCTTCACCTCATTGAGCAGTCTGCGCTGTGCTCTTGCAGTCATCTTTACAGGACGGCCACTCCTAGGGAGAGTAGCAGCAGTGCTGAACTTTCTCCATTTATAGACAATTTGTCTTACTGTGGACTGATGAACAGCAAGGCTTTTGGAGATACTTTTATAGCCCTTTCCAGCTTCATGCAAGTCAACAATTCTTAATCGTAGGTCTTCCGAGAGCTCTTTTGTGCGAGGCATCATTGACATCAGGCAATGCTTCTTGTGAAAAGCAAACCCAGAACTGTAACCAACACCTCCAATCTCATCTCATTGATTGGACTCCAGTTGGCTGACATCTCACTCCAATTAGCTCTTGGAGATGTCATTAGTCTAGGGGTTCACATACTTTTTCCACCTGCACTGTGAATGTTTACATGGTGTGTTCAATACAAACATGGCAAAATGTAAAGTCCGGTTTGTATTGGCCCTGAATATATCTGTATAATGTTATCATATCCCCTCTCAGGCGACGTTTTTCTTAACTAAATAGGTTTAAATTTGTTAACCTTTCTTCATAGCTGATATGTTCCATTCCTTTTATTAATTTAGTAGCCCGCCTCTGCACTTTTTCTAGTGCCATAATATCCTTCTTTAGAACAGGTGCCCAAAATTGCACAGCATATTTAATATGTGGTCTTACCAGTGATTTATAAAGAGGCAAAATGATATTCGCTTCCATTAAGGGTATACGTTATAATATATTATAATTAAAGCATTTTATAATATATTATCCATATATAATTTCATTATAAGTGTATTTTGAAATATAGGTTTATATATCTGCATTATATATGTATTATATATGTATAATATATTATAAAATGCTTTAATTATTTTATAATATAATATATTATACATATATAATTGTTAGCTCTTTTGTTAACCCCCTTTCATCCTTATTCAGTCTGCCACTATTGGAAAGCATTGGATTGGCAAAAAAACTGCCATTTTGATGTCACAAAGGGGGCGGAGCCAGCACTGGCAGACCCGCGCTGCACTGGAATTAAGGGGAGTTTTACATTTCATAGTGGAGCTAAGGGGGTGGCAAGCTACCTACATGGTAGGATTAGTCCTATAGGGTCAGGAATACAGGTTTGTGTTCCTGACCCTATAGTGATCCTTTAACATGCTCATAATAAAAACAAAACAAAAGATTTGATAAAATTACATTCAGTTAAAAAAAAAAAAAAGTGGTCACAGAGTACTTACTGTGACCCAGTAGGATTTTAATTATTTTAAAGAGCAATTCTTGGACAACATACCAACAGCACCATCAGCAGGAATATTCCATAGGTTTCCATGGTGATTGATCCTGCTGATTTCTCTACAGCAGACATTTAGAACTTTGTCCCTGAATTGCTCTTTACACACATTGACCCAGTTTGTTCTGTACTGTTTATAAGGCAAAAGAGCTAAACCCACTTTGTACACAGGCGAAGATCTCTGCTCTGCTGTCAGGTCCATGGGGGCCACATCTTCATTCTTGATCAGACTGCCTGACTTAAGTGGAGAGCCTCGAGCACTAGGAATCAGATTCACCTGTTCCAGGTTATGGCCAGATGGGGTAACCACTGCAAGGAGAAGACAAATAGAAACTACAATGAGATACATACAAAGATTCTGATATAATAATGCAGCATCTAGCATCCATGAGCCAATAAGGTGATTTGTATTCATGGTTATTATGCTCAGCTATCATTCCATTATACCCACACACCCCAAAAGGTGACATCACATGATCATTACAACTGGAGATAACATTACTGATCAGCGTTCTATAGGACCTGACTCCGCCTGTGTGTGCTGCATGCACTTTGTCCAACATATTCCAGGTATGGACCAGATCCCACAAGGAAGCTAAACAGAACCATCACAGTAATTCTGTCTGGAATGGACTATATGGAAATCTGATGCATTAATCTTTCATTCCAGCTGCGTTCAGACTAAAAAAGTGTGATGTCAGACAGAAGTGGCATGGTAACAAGTCTGCTACATTTCAATGAGAAGTACAGCTCAGAAATGAAATAATCGCTGATCACAGAGGACAATTATGACTTGCTCCACAGCCAAGCCTATGACTTTATCCCGATTCTAAGAGAACCCTTCTATGGGTGAGAGGTTTGGACGGCAGTCAGGCAAGAAATCCTGAACAAAAACAGTAAACCGCATAATGTAGGAAGACACTAAGGCATGGACCTCTCATGTTCTCCATCTGTGCTCTGTCCTGACACCATGAGATCTGACTTTCCATTTTCCAATCATTGTGAGAGCACCTCTGATAAGGCGCATGCTGGGCACAGAAGGGCACTATATTAGCGCATGCTGGGCACAGAAGGGCACTATATTAGTACATTCTCAGCAGAAAGGCAATATACAGGAAATCTATGAAAACATAGAAATACCCTGGTAAATAAAGGGTTACTGGCCCGGTAGCTATCCTGGTAAATAAAAGGTTACTGGCCCGGTAGCTATCCTGGTAAATAAAGGGTTACTGGCCCGGAAAGCTATCCTGGTAAATAAAGGGTTACTGGCCCGGTAAGCTATCCTGGTAAATAAAGGGTTACTGGCCCGGTAAGCTATCCTGGTAAATAAAGGGTTACTGGCCCGGTAGCTATCCTGGTAAATAAAGGGTTACTGGCCCGGTAGCTACCCTGGTAAATAAAGGGTTATTGGCCCGGTAGCTACCCTGGTAAATAAAGGGTTATTGGCCCGGTAGCTATCCTGGTAAATAAAGGGTTACTGGCCCGGTGGCTATCCTGGGAAATAAAGGGTTACTGGCCCGGTAACTAGCCTGGTAAATAAAGGGTTACTGGCCCAGTGGCAAGCCTGGTAAATAAAGGGTTACTGGCCCGGAAGCTAGCCTGGGAAATAAAGGGTTACTAGCCTGGTAGCTATCCTGGTAAATAAAGGGTTACTGGCCCGGTAGCTAGCCTGGGAAATAAAGGGTTACTGGCCTGGTAGCTATCCTGGTAAATAAAGGTTTACTGGCCCGGTTGCTATCCTGGTAAATAAAGGTTTACTGGCCCGGTAGCCTGGTAGCTATCCTGGTAAATAAAGGGTTACTGGCCCGGTTGCTATCCTGGTAAATAAAGGTTTACTGGCCCGGTAGCTACCCTGGTAAATAAAGGGTTATTGGCCCGGTAGCTATCCTGGTAAATAAAGGGTTACTGGCCCGGTGGCTATCCTGGGAAATAAAGGGTTACTGGCCCGGTAACTAGCCTGGTAAATAAAGGGTTACTGGCCCAGTGGCAAGCCTGGTAAATAAAGGGTTACTGGCCCGGAAGCTAGCCTGGGAAATAAAGGGTTACTAGCCTGGTAGCTATCCTGGTAAATAAAGGGTTACTGGCCCGGTAGCTAGCCTGGGAAATAAAGGGTTACTGGCCTGGTAGCTATCCTGGTAAATAAAGGTTTACTGGCCCGGTTGCTATCCTGGTAAATAAAGGTTTACTGGCCCGGTAGCGATCCTGGTAAATAAAGGGTTACTGGCCTGGTAGCTAGCCTGGGAAATAAAGGGTTACTGGCCCGGTAGCTATTCCAGGTTTAATGTGAATGCAGAATCGCAAGCGCGTTCTATTTCAAGAAATTATGAGCTGAATTATTTTCTTGGCCAACCACAGACAGGAAAACAGGAACCTTTTCCGAGCCTCGCTGGGGTTTTAATGTAATGTAAAAAGAATTACAAATAGGAGATCCTTGGCAAATATTCCTGGTCTGTCTAGCTGTCCTAAGCGAGCTGTTTGCTTGCTGTCTGTGCAGAAATACCACAATGGGGAAACAGTGCTAATCTGCATCAACATGTCATGTACACTGTGAAAGCTTTACTAGTTATGGAAATTCCCACCACTGTTTGTGTATTTAAGAAATTAGTGGAAGTTATTTGCCCTCTTCATTCCCAGCCTCCCTTTTATTCAAGCGCACAAGTCAAATCCATTATATCCACCGCACACAAACCTGCATTCCATAGTCCCATCCTGTGAGAATGGCAAAGCATATCAGCCTACCAAAACAAGGGTCACATGCCGAGCCCAGAGGGCACAACATGTAAACAGCCATATTATGAAGGAGGTGCGGCATGTTCCCAGATGACCTTAGAGCCAGCATTTAATGAACAGTTTTTTTTTTTTTCTAAATGCGTGGATGTAATGGACATCCCAGATAGCACATTAATTATTGGGAAATCAGAGTGCTTTACTATCCCAATATACTAAGAGCAATAAAATAGAAGGTTCAGCGCACACATATCTATAAGCACGGATTAAATGTCTGACGGCAATTAAAGTAGCATTACCACCCATCACAACAAGATGGTGCCATGCTGATACCGCACAGCTTCCTTGTAGTATTATTAACGTGGATGGATAGCTGGACAGCTGGCTTCTATACCACACACCTCGCATTATCCTTGCCTTGCAATTTAGGATTTAGAACCATCACATAATATCTTGTGCAGAGACCTTGTCTTTAAAGTTTGGACAAAGCCTGGCAATTGTTAGAATGCAATCACATCGTGCCCAAACAGCCTCCCTCTGGTGGGACATAACAGAAACACAATCAACAAGTCAACTGGCTTGTCCACATAGCCAAACTACTGCAGGCTCATAAGAACCTCAGTAAACGTGTGAAGGGGCCATTTGGACAGTAATTTTATTGGAATCATGTGGCTTTTACCTAAATCCAGTGCACAGACCTCTAACGGAACCACAATTTAATACGTTAACAACAGACACCGTTGCAACAAGTCTCTGTTGAATCCCATTACCCTAGTACTGGCTGGGAATTAGCAGGTTCCAATTGCTAGCATCAGTGATGGCTAATGTTTCTGCCCCTATTGACTCTACATCATTGTAAAATATGGAATGCCAAGCTTAGTCATAACTCAGCTAGGGACCATACACAAGCATGATGCAGAGAAAGGCACCTTAGCAGCATCTCACACGCTCAATACTCAATACCAAAAGGAAGGGTAAAAATCAAAGAAAATTACTACCTTTCATAGTGTCTTCAAAAGTACAAGACTGTGTTGGACTCGGTATTTCATTCTTTACCAGAACATTAACAGGGGTGGCTGCCAATGGAAGAACAGAGGATGTTAAGGGAGCATGTTAAAGGAACAGTGCATTAACATATCATATCAATTAAATGATCATATACCAATATGTTTTTTTGGCAGGAACATGAACAGCAAAAAGCAGATAATGTTTACCAGGGGCAACCATAGGAAGTTCTCTAAGTACTTCATGCCATGTGATCATTTCCTACATCCCCCATGATGCTTTGCCTGTTTATGAACAGCTGGAAAGAAATCCCTGCAGATGTATGTGTTTAAGGATCAATATTACAAGTCTAACACTAATAAGGTGATAGCCTGAAGTAACAAGCTGGAGTGTATTTGTATTAAAGGAAGGAGACCCACCATTGCTAGCTTATTTTATTTGTGCATTCTATTAATCTTTTTTATTAACAGACTTCGTCAAGACTGCCAATATATTTAGGACAAAGTACTCTATATTCCCGTCACTTTTATCAAGTTTAAATCCGTGTAATAAAATAACGCATACTGCTGGGGGACAGATATTTTCTCGGACAATGCAGAAACAAAGCCCTTACTGCCTCACTGCGCGTGTGGGAGAATATCTCGAGAGTTCCCGCGCACTCTCTGAATTTATCATACGCCACCCGTGGTGTATAATCTGGCTATATAACATTATCCGTTTTAAAGTTATTTTTAATGACATGTAGGAACTACTAAAACAGGGGCGCCCAAAGGGTAGATCACCAGATGTTTTAAAACTACAGCATCCATCATGTTGTGTCATTCTAAAAGCATCATAGGAGTTGTAGTGTCACAACATCTGGGGATCATCCAGTTAGAGTTTTGGCTTTCAGTGCTTAAACAAACATTCTGCATTTTTCTTTCAAGTAACCATGGGCTACCTTGATTATTAAAGGACCACTCTAGCCAGCCAGACCACTTCATCGTAATGAAGTGGTCTGGGTGCCTCGTCCCTATAGGGTTAACCCATTTTTTTTTATAAACCTAGCAGTTTCAGAGAAACTGCTATGTTTACCTATGGGTTAATCCAGCCTCTAGTGGCTGTCTCATTGACAGCCGCTAGAGGCGCTTCCGTGCTTCTCACTGTGAAAATCACAGTGAGAAGACGCAAGCGTCCCAAGGAAAGCATTGTAAATGCTTTCCTATAAGACCGTCTGAATGCGCGCGCAGCTGTTGCCGCGCATGCGCATTCAGCCGAAAGGGAGGATTGGATGCGGAGAGGAGGAGGAGAGCTCCTCGCCCGGCGCTGGAGAAAAGTAAGTTTTAACCCCTTTCCTCTCCCCAGAGCCCGGCGGGAGGGGGTCCCTGAGGTTGGGGGCACCCTCAGGGCACTATAGTGCCAGGAAAACAAGTATGTTTTCCTGGCACTATAGTGGTCCTTTAAGTCATCACGGATACACAGCAGAGGAAGCCAACTAACATTCTCCAATTGCTGTCAGTATGTGAAAAAAACCTCCTAAAAGGAAGATTTATTTTTGAAGAAAAACAAACAAACAAACAAACAAAGCTGAGCCAAATTGTGGGAATAAAGTCTATGGTTAAACAAACATGACAAACCATCTTTAAAGTATGCAAACTGAGCAACTTACTGCCACAGTATTTTAGTGGAACGTGTGGGGTAATTACCTGCTTCCGGAGTGTATGTGAAAGGCTGTACTTCATGAGATCGGCCTGCATTAGTAACCACAAACATCACCACTGACACAGGAGAAGTGATATTCTGGTCGTGGTAAGGAGGAACTTTTACAATTAGGTGATTCTGCAAAAAAGGGAAAACATTGAATAGCAAATATTTCACACTTTCCAGTAATTTGTAATCCCCAAAACTGGATGGAGCACCAAGCTCAAAGCATCAAAACCTTTTTACAGAACTGCAAGGTCATCAAAGAAACATTATTAGGATGGAAGGATCCATGGTTAAACAAAGGATTTTCCTGCGTGTGTCTTGTATTGTCTGTTCTACTTTCGTTTAAGTAATATATGTGTAGATTTCTAGGTTTGCATTGTTCACAAATACGTAGATTTTATCACTTAACATTAGAGTGGAAACGGTTGATGCATTTTAATAAAGGCTAATAAAACGCAGGTTTGAAAGCCAGTGTGTACAGTTACACACACCACATACTTCGTAACCATCATTACACAAGGCATCCTGCTCAGTGATTCACACTGCAAAGGTTAACAAACGAAAATATTAAATGAAACATGGCATATAGAACTATTTATTCCTGGGGACAGTAATATCCTGAGCGGATACTGAATGATAAAATATATACCTGGTGGAATAACTCCATGTCAATTTCAGCTTCTGCTTTCCATGAATTGTCATCTAAAAACAGGAAACGTGGAGCTGATGAGATTGCGATATCAGTGATACTGGGGTAATCTGCATGGCTACGTTGCAGTGTAAAACTACAGAGTCAAACTGATCACTTGGGCTACAGGGGGACGTTACAAACCTGCAAGGTTTTCCTGGAATATTACTTTGGCTCCTTTCAAGAAGTTTTTTCCAATCACGAAGACCTCCTCTTCCCCTTTCGCAGAGCAACTATGCAAGCTCTTCTTGAGGATCTCCGGCACTCCTGCTGGCTGAGCTAGAGAGCAAAACAAATCAAAAGGACTTTACAAAGAGTTCTATTACCAAAATGGTTTCATTGGATCTTACAGTGTGCCTCGAATATAAATAGGACAATGTACCATTTTATTGCAAACCGAATGAAATGACCTACTCCATGTCATGTTAAACCTTTTCATCTTTCTTTCAATGAGAGATTTCTACCATGAGCTCTTGTCATTCTTGCTTTGATACAATGGGCAATTTCCATCACTCTGCACATAAACAAACCCTTTTCCACTGTCTATTGGAAGCACAGGTTGGTGTGGTCAGTAACACTCCATGAAGTACTGCAATTTCAGACTCATTTATGAGAAATACATATGAAATGACAACGCAACAATTTCTTTGACAATGAATGTAGCGCAATCAAGTTATATTAGTAATACGGGAGATTAAAATAAGCCACAGTGGGTGGCTTGCCCAGGTATTACCTAGTGGTCTGTCTACAATATGCTACATGTTCTGTTACTTAACATGTAAAATGGGCACAGCATACTCTCAGCAATGCCGTTTTGCCAGTGTTTTTTCTCTTCTTCGTTTTTTCCGAAGCCTCGGCTATCAGTATTTAATTAACTGCCAGCAGTTAATCCGATCTGTTTCTACTCACTGCTGCAAAAAAACATTCCCTACATATACACCTGAAACATGAAAGCGAGACACCGCAGAGAAACAAAAAGCAAATAACAGAATGGATCAAATGGCACTTACTGCAAAGGATGGGGGATGATGAGGTTTGTAGTGTTAATACAGAGCCATCTTTACGGGAAATGTTTACACGAAACACTAGCCTGGCACGAGTGCTCTTCTTCTTGGATCCAGCCAGTCCAATCCGTGCCTCGACGTCAGCATTTCTCAACTTCAGGATTCCAACACAATCCACCCTGCACAAACAGAAAATGGAGTAAGGGGCTGCACACTCAGACGAAAAGTAGATATCCCACCGGTGCAACCAAAGACAATTGTGGATATAAAATAAATAAAGGGTACGACACTTCAGCGGAAATTACAGACTTTAATCAGGAATCACTTTGTATCTGTGTCCTGATTAAGATCTGCATTTCCAGCTGAAGTGCCCTGATCCTTCTTTCTCGCTCTCTCTCTTTTTTTTTTTTATATATAATGAAAGAAATTGAAAGTGCTTTTGGTCACTGACAATAAAAAAGAAAAAGAGAAGTGCTTTATATGAAGCCACTTAAAAAAAATAATTACCATACTCTCTGCCATTTCATGCTCGGCATAAGTACCCAGTGAAGCAAACAGACTGTATGTGCGCCTGGTAAAGCAGACAGCCTCTGTACACAACCACTCAGTAGAGCAGGCAGACTGTGTAAACCCAGTACAGTCAGCAGTATCAGTGTATAAGCACCCAGTACAGTCAGCAGTATCAGTGTATAAGCACCCAGTACAGTCGGCAGTATCAATGTATAAGCACCCAGTACAGTCGGCAGTATCAATGTATAAGCACCCAGTACAGTCGGCAGTATCAGTGTATAAGCACCCAGTACAGTCGGCAGTATCAGTGTATAAGCACCCAGTACAGTCGGCAGTATCAGTGTATAAGCACCCAGTACAGTCGGCAGTATCAGTGTATAAGCACCCAGTACAGTCGGCAGTATCAATGTATAAGCACCCAGTACAGTCGGCAGTATCAGTGTATAAGCACCCAGTACAGTCGGCAGTATCAGTGTATAAGCACCCAGTACAGTCGGCAGTATCAGTGTATAAGTACCCAGTACAGTCGGCAGTATCAGTGTATAAGCACCCAGTACAGTCGGCAGTATCAGTGTATAAGCACCCAGTACAGTCGGCAGTATCAGTGTATAAGCACCCAGTACAGTCGGCAGTATCAGTGTATAAGCACCCAGTACAGTCGGCAGTATCAATGTATAAGCACCCAGTACAGTCGGCAGTATCAATGTATAAGCACCCAGTACAGTCGGCAGTATCAGTGTATAAGCACCCAGTACAGTTGGCAGTATCAGTGTATAAGCACCCAGTACAGATGGCAGTATCAGTGTATAACCACCCAGTACAGTCGGCAGTATCAGTGTATAACCACCCAGTACAGATGGCAGTATCAATGTATAACCACCCAGTACAGATGGCAGTATCAGTGTATAAGCACCCAGTACAGTCGGCAGTATCAGTGTATAAGCACCCAGTACAGTCGGCAGTATCAGTGTATAAGCACTCAGTACAGATGGCAGTATCAGTGTATAAGCACCCAGTACAGTCTGCAGTATCAGTGTAAAAGCACCCAGTACAGTCTGCAGTATCAGTGTAAAAGCACCCAGTACAGTCGGCAGTATCAATGTATAAGCACCCAGTACAGTCGGCAGTTTCAGTGTATAAGCGCCCAGTACAGTCGGCAGTATCAGTGTATAAGCACCCAGTACAGATGGCAGTATCAGTGTATAAGCACCCAGTACAGATGGCAGTATCAATGTATAAGCACCCAGTACAGTCGGCAGTATCAGTGTATAAGCACCCAGTACAGTCGGCAGTATCAGTGTATAAGCACCCAGTACAGTCGGCAGTATCAGTGTATAAGCACCCAGTACAGTCGGCAGTATCAGTGTATAAGCGCCCAGTACAGTCGGCAGTATCAGTATATAAGCACCCAGTACAGTCGGCAGTATCAGTGTATAAGCGCCCAGTACAGTCGGCAGTATCAGTATATAAGCACCCAGTACAGATGGCAGTATCAGTGTATAAGCACCCAGCAGAGCATACAGCACAACATATGAAGCAATCAAGGTGAAAGTTTTCCATTTTGTGCAGATATTCAGGAAGGCATGCATTCTTTCCATGGCCCAGTGAAGACAGAATGTTGTATTTCTGCATTTTAGATGAAAGCCCTGATAAGGGAGTTTGTGCTGCATGCACACTGGGCAGACGACAAGCCCTTGTCAGTAAGAAGCAGAGTGCCCTGTGCTCTACTGGTCCTGAGGGCAGGCGCGGATCATTTACTTACGCTAGAGTCATCATGTTGCTGGGGTCGAGCATGACTTCAATGACAGTGGTGCCCTCTATATCCACTTCCTTGCAGGGAGTCGTGTTTCTCCCAGTCACCCTGCAGGCTTGGTAGAATCCATGCGGCTTCACTCTGCCTGAATCATTACCCACAAACACTTGTAGGACCACAGGCTCATTGTGACCTTCCAGCTGAAACAGAAGGATCAGAGGAAGAGCTCATTTGGCTTGAATTGAACATCAGAAAAAGAAGTCGAGCTGGGAGATGGATAAACTTTCGAAATCATCTAATTTGGATTAAAAATTTACACTTCACCCAATGTCTATAAATGTATTCCTGTCACCTTCTGTAATAAGGCTGCAGACAGCATGAGGCAGTGTTCAATTTAAAAAAAAAAACTGTTATTACTTAGTAATTAAAATAATATGCTATAATATTAAAGTATTCTAATCCGCAAATTACAAGGAATGCAACCTTAAAGAAACACTCCAATCACCACAACCACTAACGCTCCCTTAAAGAAACACTCCAATCACCACAACCACTAACGCTCCCTTAAAGAAACACTCCAATCACCACAACCACTAACGCTACCTTAAAGAAACACTCCAATCACCACAACCACTACAGCTTATCATGCAGTCTATTGTAGATGTTGCGTGTTAAAGCACTTGGGAGCTAGATTCTATAAGACAAGATAACTTTACAAATTAGCATGTTTTCCCATGGAAGTCAATGGGTGAGTTTTTTTTCTACCAACAGTTCCGTTTATCTCTGGTTACAGAATCACAAACTGAAGAGGTGTGATTTTGGTGTAAGGAAATCCCGTTTGTCAGACCACCTGAAAACTGTTTGACAAATAGGAAAAGAAACCCACCCACACAAGCAAATAAACCACAGCCTCCGAGCACCATAGCCACTACAATAAGTGCAAGAGATCATGTCTGCGTAGCAGTGCAATGGTTTCAGAATGCAGGTACATCATTATGCTAGCATCAAACATCTGCAAGTGGTTCAAATCAAGGAATGACCCAGATTAAAATCTCAAATGAAGGCTAGAACCATATTGCAATCAGCCGATCACTAATTCAAAGTAACTACGTCAATGGGTTCCCACCCAATTTCAACTTGGTCTGTAAGCATGTTAATCTGTGTTACTACCATATGACCATCACATGGTGTAATCAGATCTCTACATTCTACAACCAAGATGAAGCTGAAAAGAAAACCTACAGGGACCCTGTAGGCACTATAAACCTTTTTATTTAACTGAACTGATTATATAGTGTTTGAAGTCACTATTCCTCTATTCAGTGTTAAAACTTGAACGGTACTGGGACGAAAGCGTAGGCCCTATTGCTACATTATTTTTTTTATTGATACAATAAAGCTGCTTAGTTACCTACTACTCTGAGTCCTGGCTGGTTCCTGTTTGACAGTAGTGACTACAAATCCTAGAAGGAGATTACAGGCCCCCACTTCCATCGGGGGAAGCACCTTTAATTTTAACGCCTGTGAGTGCAATTTATCACAGTGTGTGTATTAATATCCAGCTGTATTGCACGATTTTCCATTTACTTGTCTGTTTCTAGGTTTCCTTAGCCGTATCCCGTTTTTTGTATATATCTTGCTTGTGTAAAGACCACTATTTGGGAAGTGATCTGTGGGAGGCTGGATTTATCCCTGATTATCACTTGAAAAAGCCCATTGTAGGTGAAACGTACTGTGGACCTATTTTATCACTGTTTTTGTTTAAATAAACATTTTGGTCATTTTTACAACCAATATTTGTTCCATATACTTTTTTTCCCTTTTTTTTACTGGCATCCAGTTTTTATCTTTCCAGTGAGGGCCTCACCAAGTATCCCAGGTGAGGATTATACCACCTATGCTGATTACACTGAGCGGGCTATTTGCTCAAGTAAATGTGAGTACAACCTATTTATTTTCACTCCTGTTTGAATATATTTTAGACAGAGAGCACTATCTTTGCACTTTTTTATTTTCACATATACCCTGCTGATAAGACATGTGCTGGTCAATATTTTGAACCAATATCCCTGAAGTGGGGGATCAAATCCACTGCAAGCGCTTTATATTAGAGCTGGTTTTAGCTCTATCCCATGTGAGTAGGCCATTTGGATTTCTTTTAATTCAAGCTTTTATCTTATTTTATACATATTGCACTATTGGAGTTTTTTCTTCTCTTTTAGGTTGGTGGATTCTGAACACTTGGAAGATATGCTAACCTGAAGATACACGCAAACCCTTACAGACTTATTCATTCTATTATATTTTATCCTGGACTTGTTGTTTGTTCTTTATATTTACATGATTTTAAACTATTATACGGACAGTGTATAATTTGTTTTATTTCATTTATTTCACTTAAAGCTATTCTGATTCCAAATCCCGTGGTGCACCCTATTGTTCTGTATTTCTATCTTTCCTTTTGGGTTTTTTGGAGATACTAACTCATTTAGGTGTGCTGCCTTCCCTACCCAAAACACAGAGCTATTCCACTATTTGTTTTTCCGTTTTCTAACACTAAATAACAGCCTGGCCCTGATTGGAGGTGTGGCTAAGACAGAGATTATACACTTCCTTCAAGTTCTACCAATTCCTACCAGAAATGGGTGGTGTGATAGGCTGAAAGAGGTCAGCTGACACTTTCAGATATGCACAGATACCCTTTGCTGATCAGATAATTGCTTCCTCATTACACCGAGCAGCACAGAGATGATGGTCTGCTGGAGAATCTTGTTTAGCATTAAAGTGATTTAACTCCTAAATAGCATAGAACTGAGCATTGAGACTTCAGAGAAGTGATCTATACACAAAAACTACTTAATTAACCTAAAGTTGTTTTGGGGACTATAGTGTCCCTTTATAACATTAAAAATGGTTTAAGGACAGTGATAAGGAACTGCCGACATTATAACCACTTAAATGAGATGCGACAGCCTCGGTGCTTACAGTGTACCATTAATACTGAATTTTAACTGCAACATGTATTGCATAGATTGTAAACAATGCATGTTATGTGTATGGAACATACAATGCTTGGCTCCAGGTAGGTTTTCCCATTTTAGGGTTTCTATATTAATGTAAAGTGGCTCAGACTGTCCATTCTCTATTGCCGTTACCTTTACAGCAGGAAATCCTTGCTGGGTCCGGTCCTTCACTGACCCCCGGCTCCCCTCGGTCAGATACCTGGCTCGATGCTGAGTCTCCGGTTGTACCACTATCTTAAGCTCCTTTCCCTCGCTTTTACTTGGGTGCTGCTCACATAATAGCAAACTTTTCTTACCTCCTTTCTGATTCTCCAAAGATCTGAAGGCAAAAACATGGCAGACAATTTTACTTTTCCTATGCCACTAACCAGTGCAGCAAAAATATAATATAATATATATTGTATTAACTACCTCAATTATTCCCTTTTTATTATAAATCTTGCCAAACAGACACATGTCAAAGTTAAAGTCTCCTTCAATGTTATTTAAAGATCTTTATTTAAGTAATCCAGGAGATATTGCATTCCAAATTAGGGTGTCTGGTATTAAGGTAAAAACATCAAAACTGCTAAGTAATTCCAGCAACACAGCACCGAGTTGAAGAAGGAAATCTGATTTAATATTTCATTTACAGAACCTTAAAACTTTTTTCCAGTGTCTCACCAAACGTATACATGAAATCAGAAAGAAATAGAAGAAATAGCCTGAAGCTGCCTAGCTGGATTTTCTTATGAGATTATTAAGAAGCAATGCACAGACATGAAGCAGGATTTACAGAGTGCTTAAAGCACAGTCTTAAGATAAAACAGTTAAAACCAATGGCTTTGCTAACAGGACAAGCAGTGTGATATTCATGTATACACAAACTAGCTGCACTGGAGTTAGCTGGTCAGATTGTGCTCTGCAGAACATACAGGAGGCACGGTGTGAGGCCAACAGCCAGTAAAGGCAAGGATTATCGGAGTGCTGATATTAAACAAGGAATATATGGCATGATATAAGAGGCAGATTGAGTAAACACTGATACCAACCCATTGCCGGTCTGGGAGTTGCCTTTGCTGTCTGAGGCAAGCTGTGAGAGCACATAGTGTGGAGCTTTGGCACTGTCTGCATCAAACACGTCCATATTGGAATCCCTTCGTTTGGACCCAGGCCTTTGTTTCGGGTTGCGTTTCCGGGACTTACGCGGGACCTCAGTGTTGTCGTTGTAAGAGTGAGTGCTCATGTTGCTGAAGTTGGAGGCAGAATCTTCTGTCCACATGCTGCTGCTCTGCTCGGACTCCACAACAACGCCATCATCTTGACAGGACATCCGACTGCTATCAAGCAGGTCTTCGGGTGGTGGTGAAATGTTTAGGACCGTCCATCTCAAAGGCATGGACTGCTGCCGGCCCGTATTACTGGCTAAGAGCTGGTCACTTACCCCTGGTTTACTTACCCCCACGGTGGATTGCATAGCTTTGGTATCGGTGAGTGAGGTAGAGAAAATAGAAGGGCTGGATGTGGTGGTAAAGGAACTGCGAGCATCGCCCATGGAGCAAGTAGAGGAAGAGGAGGCATCTGCAGTGTACAATCCAAGAGTAAATACACACATTTTCACCTGCACTGGCTAGCAGTCCCAACGGAATTAAAGGCGATTTTAATATCGGATTGAGTTTTGTTCCCACAAAAAGTTTGCAATCTGGCATTCTAATACTTTTATCAATATAACAGCCCTATGTTAGCACAGACCAGTTAAAAATAACAAAAACTGTAAGGGCTGTGCTGTTTTTAGAATGGTTACTTTAAACTTTTATTTAAAAATTTAAATTTTTTTTTTTTTTTTTTAATTTGTCAGGCTGCAAGTGAAAAAAAAAATCTACGTTTCACCGCCTCAATTTCATGTAGGATTTATTTCAGCCAATCGAAATGTAAACTACATATATATTAATCCCATTAGAAGGCGTGCCTGTTGTCAAAATTTAGTGCCAATTATAAACATTTCAATATTTCAATATATTTTTAAAATTTATTTTAAGTGGGACTGTCTGTAGCCACAAAATATTAAAATAAGTTTCTAACCTATGAAGCAGAGAACTACAGGTCATTTTTAATGCAGACACTCCCTGCTTCAGAGGCAAATCCTGGAATAAAAATATGAGAAAATAAATGAGAAACAGCTGCTAGTTATTCCAGATATAAAACCATAATTAACAAAAAAAAAATAGGGAATAAAACAAACTTATTTTAGAGCAAAATAGAACTGATATAGTCTGCTTTCCAATATGATTGAAATCCATTCTGAGTGATTAAAAGTGATGCAATTTGAGAGGGGGGGGAGTTGTAAGTTCTCATCGCTATTAGTAAGGAAGACAAGACTAGACTGACCATAACCACTTTATTGACAGAGGAGACAGCAAAGATCAGCGCATTATTTAGATCGGGAAGTTCTATATGAGCTGACACTGATAAATCTTCCTCCTAAGTGATCTGTAGGACGTGAATAAGCAGTTTAAAAACAACAGTTTTACAACATTTAGAATGTTTGAGCGTGAATGTGTATTTACACACATATGAGTGGAGAAATTGTATTTTAAAAATGAAGTTTTTGCAAATACTGAATGGATCCTGAAGCCTAATTTTCTTCCCAGACTTGGCAAAGTAATCATATATCAGATGTCCAACACACGATACTCCGGGATTCAATATCTGGCCAGCCACTGTCCTATATGCGTTGCAGATCTTCATTCATTCATGGCTTATAAAACAAAGATTCATTTGTGCGCTAGAAGTAATCATATAAGGAACTATATAGAATTTGGGGTGTAAGCCAAGGCCTGAGCTCCAGACTTTTAAAACAGGATAACTGCATTTAAAAACCTGTACTAAATAGTGTTGGCCACCCAGATCTTGAAACTACATTTGGCATGAAAGGTAAATTGTGACAATAAAATATATGATCCACAAAAAATTGATAATATTTACCATGGACCCAATCTGCATGTTTTGGATTTAAAACCTCAATGAGTTTATGGTCAGCTAAAATAAAATGCATTATATCAGTTCCATTTCACACAGAGTTTGTGCACTTGACTAAAAACTGCAGCTGAAATTAAAATATTCAGTGACTTTCAAAAGGCATTCACATTTAATGAAAATGATATCTTATGGTGTGTGTGTGCTGTGCTTCGTTTATGGGCATGCATTAACCCTTTGAATGCCAAGGGGAGGGGTGAAACACATTGCAAGTCATTGGCATTACCTGAAAATGCACTGTCCCAACCCTCTGGCACACGGAGGGTTAATAAAAATGCTTTTACTGATTAATCTATAAGGAGATCAAGTGTTATATATGTATTATAGTTACACATACATATGACAATCTATGCAAATTGTATCTACTTTGAGGCAGCTTTGCAGCCACTTTGTTCTTAGGTGTGTGTTTGACAAGGACATTGTCATCATGGTAAAATATTCTGTATACACAGATCCCCTTCTCTAAAACTAATACAGCCAGGAGATATGACGATTCAATTATAGCTAAAACAATACAAATATTTGGGGTCACAGGACTTCTATTTATGTGGATTTATATAGCAAGCCCTGCATCCACTTTACTGTAGAGATTTAGTATCTACCCCTCTACCAGTAACTTATAAGAGGAGGGCTTCAGTTGTATTAAAATTGGTAAGTTTAGAAAGTACAATTCCTGTGTTTCTGTAAAATGTAAACTGCATGAGCATTACACAGAGGGAAAGGCTTCTCTGACGGAGAGTCTCTTACCATACAGCCAACACTGGTGATTATACAGCCAATGAATGGTGACCTGTTAGAAATGCTAGAAAACAAGTCTGACCTCAGTTTTGGAATCCTACGCCTTCAATATTTCCAAAACACATATTAATTCAGACAGCCAAGAAAAAATGGCTGGGTTTCTGCATCCTGCTGTTTCAATTTGTGATATTTCCAGAATAATATTTATGCCATGTCATTTTAGAAAGCTTGCAGAACATTTTCACTGTGTCCCTTTAAACGAGCACGAGGTTTACAAAGGTTTTTCAGGGTGTATACCCTATAGCAGGATCATATATGCTTTACTGTAATTAGTCGGCAAGATTTTTTCAGATTCTCCCGAGGTTTACGCAGCTAATTAGTAATATCACCACCACACATTGACAACTTTAGGGAAATTAGAGATGGATTTTAAGAGTTTGTAAACAGGAAAATTATTGAGACAGTAATCGTTGGCCACTACTAACCTAATTTATGTCCCAGGTAAAACAAAAAAGTTAGTGTACTCATAATGTATTCAGATTTAACAGCATATATATATATATATATTTCTATTATATAGTTAGTCATTGTGTACACACAGTGTATTATATTGTTGAGCGAGTAGTTTAATATGCCAGTAGATATAGATTTTTTAGAGCACTGTGAAATATGGTTATTCATTAGAAATAAAACTAATATGAATAATGCACACTAGAGTCATTTGTAAGCCTGGAAAGTGCCTCATTTTCGAACAAAGTGACTGCAGAGCTGTGCTCAAAGATGTCATGTGGAATCCAGTGTTTGTTTAAATGTTGCAAAGTTAAAAACAAAAAAAACATTAAACATTTTGTTACAATCATTAGCAATCCACTAGTTAAAACTTGTATTAACAAAAAAAATAAATAAATAAAAACAAAACAAAGAAACAAAAAACATACAAAGAGAATACAAGTGAAAATGAAAAATAAAAAGTCTTAGGAAGAAGTCTGAAAAAAAGACCGACCTAGACCCTGGGGTGAGTTTGGATGGGTTTAGTGTCTCTGGCAATATGTGTCTTCACTACTGATAGACAGACACTGTCACATAACCCACCACACGATGCCTGCCTCTGAGTGGCCGAGCTAGAATGCAAGTTAACTGTATTAATAGAGAAAACAGCTAGCATCCCAGCAAATAGCAAAAAAGCAATTGAACCATCACATGGAAATTGTACATTCATTCAGATATGGTGTTCACATGCTCAACCTGATCCCTGGAATAACCTCTCTGGCCCATGCCGGAGCAATGTGTCTACAAAGAAGCATTAGTGGCAAGGACCCTTAAGTTGCCTCAGATTTAAAGAAATACCCTGGGAGACTTGGTAAAGGAGGCTGCAGTTGTGGCGGTAATTACGGTTACATCCCTCAGTTAGGGACTTTTCTTCCATTCCAAGCACCATAACAGCTACAGCAAAAACAGTTTGGCATCACTCGGAGACTCCAGAGCGCTGTAGTGGCTATGGTGCTTAGAGTAACAGTGTAAGCCAGAGAGGACCAAGATGGGGCCATGAATGAAGATTTTACTAACAGGTTATTCATTAGTGCATTTCATGTACTATACGAAACATAGCTAAAATGGACGTTCCCCGTTTGGGCTAAAAGCGATTATTCATGGTGAATAGCCCGGTATATATTAAACTGAGGTTTGGTAGACACTGGTCTATTTCTAGGGTGGAGAAGGAACCCTGTAAGCATGGCACATATCGATAACGCTAACTGAAAATAATGAGGGCATTCTAGGTTGGCTACCTCTGTATTAGACAATGATTTATTCCCTGTGTTACTGACCGTAATCAACATAATTACAAAACACAGGCTAAACAGGTGCTGTACGTGCACTGGAAATGTGTATGTTTACTATACTGTGTGACACAAGAGGCTTTAATCACAACAAGATACTAAAATTGGACAGATTTTAGCCTACATTTCACACTTCTCAATTTAATTTTTAGTATACAAAGAGAAGTCACATCAAATGTATAATTGTATTTTCTAAGCCCACCACCTGTGTGTTGTATTTAACAGAGCCCTACGGATGCTGACAGGCAGTGAGGTTGGGGAGATTGAAATCACACTGAGCAGGGATAATGTAATCACTCTGTATGTAGTTATGGAGTATTGTCTAGATTGGGGAAGTTTAGTAATCCAGGATACTTTATTGTACAGGTGTCAACGTATAAATTCTGGAAACTTGCCCAAATCTTTTATACAAATTTCTTTAAACAGGAAAATCATCGCTAGCTGCAGAAGCAGAAAGAAAACCTCTATCCTTGGACAGAGACATAGAATTACATTTATAAAAAACAATAAATCCCTGCTCGTTTTTATAAGGGAGACTGAAGGGCTGAAACAGGATGCTTGTTTTACTAAATCGGTTTAAAGTGAGGAACATGTCCCTATTAGTGATGTGAATCCATTTCTCTTATTAGCCTGGATTTCAAGCTGTAATCTTTGCACTTTCAGTGATAAGCCCATGCGATAAGGCCAGCCTTTAATTACCCACACAAACTGCAGCCAATATAAACAGATACTGTGTGTGAGTGCTTTTAACAGAGTACTTTCAGGCAACAGGCATTTTATTCTATTTCATTAATAAGCCCAATTGTAGAACATAACGTTAGCAAGCAACTGATTAGACATGTCAATCTGTGGGTTTAATACAATCGTTACAGTTTTACACCGTTATAGTTAATTAAAATGTAATACATCTAAAAAAAAGGCTACCATTCATTAAACTGGGAAGTGTGTAGAAATAATGTGGGATTAACATGTTTATTCCAAAATAACTGAGCTGGAAAAGCTGTATATCTTCAGATTCAGTTATTCTGTTCTAAAACTCACAACTCCCATCGTACCTCTTCACAATTCATAATGTAATGAAAACGATTGTATTTGCAACAAATGCGATAAATTTACTGCTTCTAAAAGATATGACGGGTCTGAAGAATGGGCAGTGCTGCAAAGTGCTACAAATGGCATACGTCCGATCAGAGAAAGACATGATTGCGTTTTGACAGATTACCAAGATTGGAGTACAATTAAATGGCTCCAAAATTCAATGTGTGCAGGACAAAATGAACACACTTAATAGCACTTTTATTTATCGGAAAGAGCGTGCGTCTATATACACACTCCAGATGCCATGGATGAAATGTTAAATCATATGGTTTGTTGACTGGGGCTCAGGTAATTTCACAATATACAAGCCCAGGATCTATTAATACTGCATAAACCAGCCTTGCATGAGACATGTTAATGAAACTGATAACTGATTAGTGTAATTGATAATTAACACTTCCAAATTAAATATCATGAATTATCCATTAAACTAAAATAATAAAAGTATAGAAACATAAAAAACAGAATTCTCGGGTAATACGGAATTCTTTTATTGGGGGAGGGATTCTTTCGTGCTGATGTTATATTATCGCCACTGCTGCCACCCAAGAGAAGTGGAAGCTTGAGCGCATGGCTTTATTTTGTGTGAATGACCAAATCACGGCTAGAAACTGCTGAGCTCCTGTAATTTAGAATTAATTAGAATCACGGTAACAAATAATGACAATAAAACAATAACACTGAATCTGAAAGAAAATCTGGGGGCAAACTGGAATCTGTTAACTGGACTTTGAAACGTTCTGATTACCGAGATTTGAGGAGCCCAAACTAACTTTGACAGCACTGCTCATTTTAGCCAACCGCTTTAAATACAGAAAAATCTGGAAAAAAAAATGTTACCTAATCAAACATAAATAATGTAATACGTACCAGCAGCGATGACACCTGGCGGAGGCGATCCTGCCTCACCTCCACTTGTCTGACTCATTGGGGCCACAGAGGTGTCTCGAGATGGAGGTAACCGGAGCTCTTTTGGGAGAAGGTCATAAACAGATTCTACAAAAGAAGAGGAGATACAAATGAAAACACACACACACAAAAATAAATACATTTAAATAATGCAGAACCAAAATAGAGGTGACAGGTGAATTCACATAAAAAATTGAAGAAAAAAAAAATATCAGTTTTGATAACAAAACAAACAAGTGTTCCTAAAACCATATTGTTCCTCTACCTATAGGTGGCCACTCCCCAGAGTATTTAAAAATTAATTTGACATTCCTTACTTCCCGCAGCACACTGGCCTCCGTGGCTGAGATCATCAATGTTGATCATCTCAACCAATCCAATGCTTTCCCATTGGGAGGTTGTGTTACACACACAGAATAAAACCACTCTGTGCCAGTCAAATAGTCTCAACGAGACCATCAGATTGAAATAAATAGAGTTTTACAGTTTAGTATGAGGACACTCTAGATATTGTGGACTACATCTCTTATAATGCTGGCAAAGCATCAGGGGTGGTGTAGTCCACAACATCTGGAGGGCTCAAGGTTGCCTACCTCAAGTCTAGTGTGACAGCCACTAGTGGTACTTTACCCTGCACTGTATACATTGCTGTTCCTGCAGAATTGCAGTGTCTTCAGTGGCAGCATTAAATTGTCCGGTCCTGGTACCCACACCATTCAATTTTACATTAACAGCAATCACAGATGCAATCGACTTGAATGAGTAAAATTCGGACAGACAATGTGATCACACGGTCCAAAAAGCTCTACATAGCTTGCTTTCAGCAACAAAGGTATGTGTATTTATAGATGTGTGTTTGTTAAGGCCAATTAATTAGTCTGTAATTGTAGGAGTGGTCAATCTGTTAATTATGTGTCATTATTCTTGCAGAAAGCTGGTCATTATAACCACAACATTCTCTCCCTTTTATTTTTCCCCTACTCTTTTTCAGCTTCTACGGGTCATCCTCTCAAAGGGCTGCTTACTCCGATTATATAGAACAATGTAGGCCAGGACACACCTGGTGGTTTATTCAGTAGGTAGTTTTAGTATAAAGTACAGAACAAAAACGTTTCGGCTCCTTGGAGCCTTTGTCAAGTCTAACTCCAAGGAGCTGAAACGTTTTTGTTCTGTACTTTATAATAAAACCACCAGGTGTGTCCTGGCCTACATTGTTCTACTGAATCTTTCCTGGGTTTGTGGCCCTGCCCGTCTGGAGCACCCTGATGGGAGTACTCCCAGGATAGTGCGTGCATATACTCTCTACCTTTACTTACTCAAATTATAGCAACACAACAACAACAAAAAAATGTATGTATATATTTTTTTCTTTCAAATCCTATGCTACTGCTGGTCAGGCGCTAAAATGTACTTGCAATTACAAGCATGGAGGGTGCATGGCACACTAAGGGTGACTTTTCACTCGCCGATAGATAGTGGTGAATGTAAATTATCAGGCACATGTATTTAAATTTCAGTTAGCAATTAATTGTATGAAAAGAAGAAGCTCAACTTGGTATACAATTAGACATTATTGGGGGTGTGCGTAGACACATGTAAAAACAAGCGGTGAAAGAGTATAATAAAAATAAATAAAAATATATAAAACACATAGGGTGGAGTGTGCAGTAAGGGATCTCCTTATCCCCATTGCTAGTCCAGAAACTGTACTGAACAGTGAACACAAATATTTATTCTGTAAAATATAACCACCCTTCCCATACTCACAAATAATGCAATATAAATAAAACATCTTAGTTTCTACGCAATTAATCTACTCAGCGCTTCCAAGGACACCGCTTTTTGAACAGTAAGCTCTAACATCCCATTAAAATCTTTACTTATCTGATCATTTCCAAAGCATTAAAAACTTGGACTTTATTAAAAACATATTTGCGTAAAGCGTAGCAAGGGGTCACGAGGTGAACCAAGGCTTGGAAATGAAAGTCCCATAGGATTTATAATGCTTCTAATATCAGTTCTCTCGGACAGAACTGCGCACACAATCACAACCCTATAAATAGCTCAACTTTTCCCCTCTCCAATGGTCATCAGAGGGCTTCTGGCAAGGAAGAAGTTAATGTGAACATAGCATCCCTTTAAAAAAAAAAAATTCCAAGCTTATGTGATTTTGCAATATGCAATTTTTTTTCACAAACATCAATAAAAGAGGGATCTGATTGGCGACATGCCATGTTGGTAATGGGAGGTTAAAAACATAGAATGTGACCTATTGTACGAAGTTGCGTTTGGTAACCTTGAGAAGTGCAATCGGAGAAAAGCTCATATGAGGACTCAGCATTGTGGGCCCTTACTAGAACATCAGCTGCAGATCCCAAACTTTCAAAGTGTTTAAAAGGCAGTAAAATGGAACATGTACGTCTTATTTTATTAGAAGTTACATTAATAATCTCACAGTGAAGGTCACACTTTTGCAGCATTCTGCTTAGCTCAGATTCTTCTGCATCGCTGATGACATCACCCAGGAAGAAGCGAATACTTAACAGCCAATAACAGTACCCTCGTATTATTCTATGGAATAATTACTGGCCGTGTGTGTGTATGATGTGAATTTCTCTGTAAAGACTGGGAAGTGACGATCTACAATAATACAACCAAGGTTTTTTTCCTAAATGTCAGATCGTATTACAATTCACTAGTAGGATAAATAACTGAAATTAAACACTCTCGCTCTTACAAGAGATGTTTATCCAGACTAAATCTACATGTTTCCGATACTGCGACTATATAAAAGTAAAAACGCAAACAGCTCAAAGAAAATATTTAAACTATTCTCACGGCAAGACCGTATCATAAACAGCAACAACCAGTTATGTCAACTCTTTATGACCCACAATGAATGAATTAAAGAGCAGTTGTAAATAGTTTTCAAAGTCTGTACTGAATGGCATAAAAAGTTACAGTGTTGGTAAAACCGGATTCTTAGTGACCTCTGGGCTGGAGGGTAAAGCTATTCTGTGAGAGAGAAGACCTCGCTGTAAGAAGAATGAACATTATAGAGAATGATTAACTAGCCCGGCTTACCTCTCTAACACTGTACTTCACTACCCCCATATTCTCTCTCCATGTACCGCTTCTCATTTCTAGCAGCCATCAATGTGCAGTATGTATCAGAGAGCTCCACAGCAATAAAACTCACAGTAATGTGCAGTGTGTATCACAGAGCTCTATATAATAAAACTCACAGTAATATGCTGTGTGTATCAGAGCTCCGCAGCAATAAAACTCACAGTAATGAATACAAGTGTATGAAAGAGCTCCATAACAATAAAACTTCGAACTAATCATAGCGTTATCAGATGTATATATTAAACTATTGTGATTAATGAGCAAGCTCTGAAAGGCCTCCTATAACAATCCACTCCTAGAAACATCTGCCATTTTTTTCAGAAGAACCCTCCCTGGTTTATGCCTCATTTATAACATACCTTTGCGGGTGTTTGGCATCTTCCCCAATTAAATTCTCAAATGACATCATATCCTAGCAGTCTGGGCAAATGCTCTAAGACTACCTGTCCATAACCTTTAAATCTCCCCCATTGCTCCCTCCTGCCTCAGGTCCCCTTCATAACCTTTAGATTGTAAGCTCACAAGCCATTTATCTTGGTACTTTGCTTAAAAGGGCTGGTTTTAAGCTCATGGACAGGCTCCTCAATTCCTTTTTGTATTAGATTGTCCATTTTTCCTGATTGTTCAGCGCTACGGAGTATGTTGGAGCTTTATAAATGCAGGGGGCACAGCACTGCAGTCAGTTTATCTATCCTCTCTGCCCACATCTGCATGTATAGGATCCATAGCTTTATTATTTAACACACCTGGTACTGTAATACATTAATTATAATTATGGATTTACACACAGATACCAGAATCGTGTTACACCTTTTTCATTATACATTTATTTTTTGGGGGAGGGAGGGGTATAGATGTTCAATTTATTTTTATTTTAGATTCTGTAAAGGAATAAAGGAGTTTCTTTTATTCCAATAATAAGACATTTTAGGATATTGTAATATTCATTTTGGGGGGGGGATCGGCATCACAGAACTAATGGCTTCTAAAATGAAAAAAAAAAAACCTTTCTTGGTGATGATCCAGTGACAGCACCCATGATAACACTAGCAATCAAACAGCAAACTAGATTTAAAGCATGGAGCACATGATGAATTCCATATGAAAGTAACAGACTAGAGTTTCTCAATTGATGGAACTTCGTGCAATGTTTCCCAGTCTGCTGGAGAGATCAGTCTAGGATTACAGAGAGCGTAAACCCCACTACTCTGGAGAAGGTATTTTCCAGGAAGTTAAAATTAACCAGTAACACTAGCAGTCTAGAACCGTCAATCGCACCAGGGAGATGATAAAATGAAGTAATACAGCAGCTATTTCTACGTCAGTCTATATTCAGACCATGGAACATTTACACCAGGGAACACACAAACAAAAAACAATCTGGATTTAAACCTTCATATAATACTGAAATACTACTACACCAACTTGTTTAGTTGGTCTATTTAGATAATCTACATTACATTTATTTAAAACAGACATGTACTATCAGCTGTTGGGCTACCAAGCAGTGTGAGAACAAGTAATATCTGGTAGGAGGCAAATGTAAAGTGTCCATTTAATGACTCTGGTATCTCTAGGGGAGGATGACGAAGCAGTGTGATAGGGTACCAGTAACTTGACACAGTTCAGAACTGCATGTAGATATTAAAGGGACACTATAGTCACCTGAACAACTTTAGCTTAATGAAGCAGTTTTGGTGTATAGAACATGCCCCTGCAGCCTCACTGCTCAATCCTCTGCCATTTAGGAGTTAAATCCCTTTGTTTATGAACCCTAGTCACACCTCCCTGCATGTGACTTGCACAGCCTTCCATAAACACTTCCTGTAAAGAGAGCCCTATTTAGGCTTTCTTTATTGCAAGTTCTGTTTAATCAAGATTTTCTTATCCCCTGCTATGTTAATAGCTTGATAGACCCTGCAAGAGCCTCCTGTATGTGATTAAAGTTTAATTTAGAGATTGAGATACAATTAGTTAAGGTAAATTACATGTGTTTGAAAGTGAAACCAGATTTTTTTCATGCAGGCTCTGTCAATCATAGCCAGGGGAGGTGTGGCTAGGGCTGCATAAACAGAAACAAAGTGATTTAACTTCTAAATGACAGTGAATTGAGCAGTGACATTGCAGGGGAATGATCTATACACTAAAACTAAAAGCTTTATTTAGCTAAAGTAATTTAGGTGACTATAGTGTTCCTTTAATGACTATTTGATGATTATACTCCCACCAGAGAGTCTGAGGATTCCTGTAACTTAGCAAGACATTGGATGTCCATACTCTGCTCCTGCCTCTTGACTTGGCGAGTATCGTATTGGACTGGAATCTGATTGGTGAGAGGATAATGAATAAATCATTGATTTTTTTAAAAACCTGTGTAATCTAGTTGAATGGGTCTCACAGCAAATCAAGGACTCGGCACGATACGTTTGCTTCAGACAGACTAGGGACTAAGACACACATTACAATATAAGGCTCATGTAGAGCCTGTCTCCGGTGAAAGATAAAGATTTTTAGGAAATGTTTAACGTTTTTAACAAGTTACATGAAGTGTAGGATTTACAGACTAACAGATTCAGCAGCTGACAGAGGCTACAAGTTCCCAGTTCACTGATACTTCTTTTATAGACTGCAAAAGTCTGACTTTAAATTTCCGACAGAAAAACCGAAGATGTGAACTCAAGATTTAACAGGTGCTCCAACGGGTGCATTAACTGTATGAGCCATCTCACAGGCTGGGATGCAGCAATCTTCATGGTGAGAGTGGCATGCCTAGGCTGTTACCTTTGTTCTCAGCGGAGTCATTTTACAGGACATTCCAAGGCTATACAATATTAATCTTTCAGTTTCAGACTATTCTCTGCCATTCCTTCAAGATTTCCAGGTACAGATTACTAACTGACGTGCAGGCGATCAATACAATTTACAAACACTGATTGCTTTGACTTGACAAACTCAGACTCGTAGTGTGTCGGCACCAGAGATACAATGCAGGGGACATATCCATATTTTAATTGTGCTCATTTGTTTAAAAAATACAGCATTAAACTGGAAAAAGTCTTCTACCGGGGAAAGAAAAATGCAACAAATATCAATGTCAACTAACAAAGTGGCAGCCATATGTAATGTTCAATAATCTATGTCATAAACGTGTATTGCAGACCAACCCCAACAATTATCTGGCCAACCCTAGAAGGCAATGTTAGCAAAGAACAAGAGGGCAGCAGAGCCTAGAGCCCAGAACTGTTGCAAAACATGTGGCATGCTTTGAATAACTTCTGCTCATATTTTCTTGCTATTTATGTAAATCTGCAGATGCTTCCCATGATTCCTCCTGTCCCTGAACGTTCTCTGTACTTCAGGCATCTGCAGAATCTGCCTTGACTTCAGTGGATTTGCAGGGGATAGGAAAATAAGGAAACATTCAATTTGCATGAAATGTGCTGCCTGACCTTGGGGGAAAGTGTCCAGAATTTAATTTCTCTCTTAGTCTGGTTTCTCTTCACACTGTATTATGTTACTCTACCAACCTGTCTGTGAAAAATCAATCCTACAAAATTATAATGAGCCATTTGTTTACCATAACCTATGATATCGCCACCATAAAAACATGGCCTGACTTGCCACTAATTCACTCACCACAGTTTTGCCTAGAAGAGGATTATTGGAATTACAACCCAAAACAGGTTATCCCCAGTACAGGTAGATTTAACAATGAAGATATGAGTGCAGGTTATCGCATTGGTTCAAGACAGACATAGTTTAAATGTGTTTTCCTGTATGTAACTACCAACATATTCAAAGCACGGCACACAGCAATGTAGAAAACAAATATATAAAGGAGACTTTGAGAACCCTGGCTGCAATCACAACCTGTAGCAGAACTGGCAGGTTTGACCAGGCCTGGATTTGCCACAAGGCCATTGAAGCCACGGGCTTAGATGGCAAGGGGGATAGGGGCAGCACCTACCCCTATAAGCTGTCATTTTGCTATGCACTTGCCCCACCCCCTTTTTCTTTTAATCTAGTACTGATTGAGTCAACAAACGCCATGTCAATCAGCGTGGCCCCAGGTCTGCCTGCTATAATTAGCCCCCATGACCGAGCCACAGTGGCAAACAAGACCATGGTAGTGGCGGCCACTCCCGGGGTTCACTGTTGCATTCTCCCTGCATGGTGACATCACATTCCCCACTCTCTCCTCACACGCAGAGCGCTGTGAAGCAGCATGCAGACTGAAAGGACTGTCAATCTATCAGGTATGCTGAACAGGGACTACTGGAGAGGCACAAGGGTGGGAGGACAAGAGCAGAGGGTGTATCGTAGCTGTGAATGTGAGTGTATGTGTCTAATTGTATTATTGTGTGTGACCGTGTCGGAGTTTGTGAGTGACATAAGTCTGTGAGTGTATCTGTGTCACTTTAAAGGTATGTCTCCATATGTGAGGGTTTTCTTGGTCTACCGGATTGTGTATCTGTATGCCTATATTTACACCCACACAGCCTTTATCCCAACACTACAGCTGCTATCTACCTAATTCCTCCCAAACCCACACTACAGCCCATAACCCCTGCAAACATACACTATAACTCTAATTTACCACAATCTACATCACCATTTCTCTCCCACAAATACTGCAACCCCTATCCCCTTAAAAACACAAAGCCTTAATCCTCTTAAACACACACACACTAGAGCCCCTATCCACATTCAGCCTCCATTTACTTGCGCACACACATATACTACATTGCAAACAGCCCAAACCACACACTAAAGCAGGATAGCACCACATACAATTCTGAAACAAGCAATGCCACAAGTAGCTACTCCCACAAATGCAACACAACAACCACCTGCACACACGCAACCCCACAAAGGGCATTCCAACTAACATACAAAACCACACATATACACACCCATGCAACTACCTACAGTTACATTCATCATTTAATTTTACCCCAAACTAGTCACATTCACCAATCAAATTAAAGGCGCCAAACTTATCACATTTACCCATCCAATCACAGTGGTTCTCAAATCAGAGCTTGGAGACTATGTAAGAAATCGGCAAAATAGACCTTAAACAGGCTTGGAAATTGTGGTGGGAAGTTGCGCAGTGAATCACGAACCATTGGTTTGAGACTGTGGTGAGAATTATCCCAGTAGATCATAGACAAAGTTTCTAGATTGTGGTGGTTAAGTTGGCCAATAAGTCACCAACCAGGATGGGCAGACTCTATTCCAATAATCAAGGAGATTCCCAGTGAAGCACTGAGCGATATAGCAGAAACAATCACAGTGATGGCTAGTTTTTCAGGAAGTGAAATAAATTCCAGATGTCCACACAGCTTTGTGGTTAGTAGAATCAGTTTAACCATGAAATGGTATACCTGTAAACAAACTAAGTCCATTCCCTTAATGCATTAACTTGCTAATGGCATTGGCACGAGCACGGTAAGATTGGTAAGAGTAAAAAAAGGACACCAGACAGGCAAGTGTGGAACAGCAAAGCCAATAGTACCACAAACTGTGCACCAGATCTGTTTGCGAGGTTTGTTGTGAGAGTAGGCCAACAGGGAGGAGGAGATTTCTTCATTCAGCAAAATGGGCACCATACCAGGCATGCAGAAACACAGGGATTACAGCCAAAATGCATAGTGCTGCAGGGTACCAACTAGGATCTATCACACTGAACAAAAAAAAAAAAAAAAATAATAACTGCGATTAGTTGCCGTTTTTTAAAATTGATTTATTTCTTCTTTAACAGATTGAGAATGAAAAAAAAAAATACCAAACAAACAAAAAAAAAAACCAACAACAAATGGAGATTTAGCAGTTATTTTAAAAATGTATTTCCTTTAATGATAAATGTTGTAATCTTTGTAAAGTGCAGTGCACACTGTAATGCAGTGGTTCTATAGCAGATTGATATTTCCCTTAATTGAGTAGCTGGATGTAGGTGATTAAATCGTGAAAGACCAGCTGAGGAAGCAGGTGATAGATACATGGCTGTAACAGATAACCAACAAGGAAGAATCTTGATGGCATGAAACTGTCTCTAAGTGCAGCTCGTATTTGGATATGTGAGTTGTGTTTATCAGACTACCATCTAATCACTAACTTGTTATTTACCTGTTAATTACTACGCTATTAAACACAGGGCTGGCTGCAACTTGCAAGACTAGTCAGCTACACATGGCAGAGTTCCTGTGCGTTTCACATGCAGAGAATCGATTTAATAGGATTACATCACAAGATGGAAGTTATGACCTATTCTAGGAGTCAGATTGCCATACACCTTTGTGGGCAACATCCATTCCAAGGTCCCTTATTACCGGTCACAGAGCCTGCTGGTTCGCCTGATGCTTGTGCCACTCCTGCCTCTGTCCCCTGTATCTTTAATCTACTCTGGCATTTGGCCTGATTGTGACCACTGCAAATCGAGGCCCTTACATAGCAAATCCTTCCCAGGTCCATTAAACAATACAAATGTGCATATGTCATCACATGACATCCATTAACCAATTACTGACCTCCTAGGGCTATATACGCTCCTTTTGATTATTTCTCTGTGCTCAGTCGTGGTTTGTCTAGGGGTTATCGAGAGAGCATTGCTATTTCTCAATATTTTGACTTTGGCTTGTTTATGCACTATTCTCCTTTCTCTAACCTTGAACCTTGGCTTGTCTTATCGATTTTTGTACTCTCTGTGTTCCTGAACTGGGCCGGTCTATTACTTTTCTTTTAACGTGGAGTACTGCCACTCTGAAGCCCAGTAATACAGTTTACTATTCAGGTTTATTGTTAGATTTTATTTGTTCACATAAGCTGTGCGTGTGGAGTATAGTCTTTCCAGACATAGCCTTTGATTACATCATTATTTTTGGGAGATGGCCATATCAAACCAGCAGTCTCCAGCTTTTGATGAACTGATCAATCATTATTTGATCTAAGCTTTTGGTGAGGATCAGAGTGTACAGTTACAGTACAGCACAGCTAGTGAGGTACATTTCAGCCATGCCGAGATCTCTCACTGGTTACACACTGCTGATAAGGGGCCTATTGAAAGATGCTGTTGGCTGTACGTACAATTCATGTTTTCACACTGGTTCCTACATGTTCTCTCTACAAATGAATTATCTGCACAGCGCTATTTATCCATCACCTGGCAAAATGTACAAATGAGAGCAGTCTAGTAAAAATAGCCAATGTGGTAAACTTCCCTGCTTGCGCAGACCAAACAAAGAGAGGAGAATTAATGAAGAACGGAGCTGAAAAGGAAAGGTGCCGTTCATTTACAAAAAGTGTCCAAAACTCCTCTATTTTGGCCCCAGCTAATAATACTATTTTCCATAATTTAGAGTTATTACTTGACATTCCTTTTTTAGGCCAATATTTGTGTTCTCTTACATAAATAATTAAAACAAATGCTTGCCCAGTGTTAACACATACACCATTTCTACTGACAGTGTACTATGTATATAGGACTGTGATACTGTACTATTGGAGTCTCTATGTTCTCACGCAGTAGTAAACAGTACAACCGTTATGGGAACACACTGTAACTTTGCTGATATTTCATCATGCAGTTTCCCTGAGGTTAATTACATATATAAACAATTTACCTTAATGCATTGTGTCCTATTCTGCATCAGTTTTTGAAAATGTTAAATAAATTATATATATCTCCACATACATGCACATCCATCAAATATTAATGGGTGACTAAAGGTAGGAATTATCTTCGAGACACAAACAGACAAAAACAGCCTTTTTGGTGGTGACAGGAATAGTGAAATGATGGTACATTCACTGTACATTCACAGCAGACCCTGCTATTATCACTAATGGTTGCTAGAGGATACTGCCACCTACTCCTTCTAGGACAGGGGTAGGCAACCTTTTAGCAGCACTGTGCCGAAATAGGATTGTGATGTCCCGTAGCGTGTCGGTCCGATTTCTTTAAATTGAGGTGTGTATGCTGCCATATTCTGCTTGTGTTATTTATACTGCAGTTGCTTTGTATCGTTGTATTTGTGCGTATATGAGCTATTATATTGTATATGTTTACAAGTAGTTTGTGGTGCTGTGTATGATACCTATGAATGTGTATGGGGGCTGCTTGTGGAATTGTGTGTGGATGGATATGTTATATTGTGTATTTGGTAGTGTGTGTATGTGTGGGGCTGTTTGGGGTATGGCATGTGAGAGGCTGCACGTGGGGTTGTGTGCATGCATGTTGATTGTTGGTGGTGTTGTGTTTGTGTGGACTGTGTGTGTGTGTGTTTGTATTATTTGTATGAGGGGAGGGTTATTCTGCAGCTCTGAGGCTTCCCTGGGTTTTAGTGGAGACCAGGCTGGCCAGGTACAGCTCAAGGACAGAAGCTGCAACAGGAAGCTGTGGGCTGTTCTACTCCAGTGTGGATTCCCATTTACAAGTGCTGGGAGGAAGTGATCTGAGATCACTTCCTCTACGTGCTGCAATGCATAAATGGAGGATTGTCCTTCACCACCTTTCCGTATTAGCAGATATCTGAAGTTTCACTGGGACTCCTGACAGGCCAGAGCCTGTTTGGCTCTTGTAGCCTTGAGCGCCGTGCAAAGACACCTCGAGTGCTGTGCATGGCACTAGTGCCGTAGGTTGCCTACCCCTGTTCTAGGATAAACCAGTGATTGATAAAGCTGTGAATGATTTAGTGTTACATTTGGCTGGTTAAGCTTTATGAGAATTGCTGTCCACAACAGTGGTTATGCTGCAGATAGATCATCACGGGTATGCAGCACAAGGATTTGATGGCCTAGGTCTGGATTCATTTCTGTACCCCATGGACGTTAATCAGCCAGGGATTCTGCTCCCTATCAAGGTACTTCATTCCCATAAGTCTAACAGTCAGGGGGTCCATGAACTGGGCCTTTTCACATAAGCAAGTATATTTCTTTTTTGGCAATCTTTATTTAGTTTTTTTGTAAATGACACAGAAAGGAGAAATCAATGGTATCAGAGATCATAAGAGGTTCTGCAAAGACCAATTGTTTTCTTATTTATAGGTATACACACACACACATACACAATCTACCAAAAAAAAAACAAGACTGCCTAGGCATCCTGAACTCTAATGAAACTATATGCGGCAATCTCTACTGGTCATGAAAACTGTTACATCGCCCACTTGAGGGAAATCAGGCCATTTTCCAAAGCCAACCAAGTATCCGAGGAATGCAGAGCAAGACTGTATGCCAAAAACAAGCAAAAATTAACAATGCCGTAACTGCTTCCAACAAACCACAACAGGTAGGAAAGGGTTAAACGAGCAGCATTGCTTATCGGTGAAGTGAAATAGAAGCTGTGCCAACTGCAGCCAGCCAGACGCTAAATAGACATTCAATTAACTCTCACACAGCAGACCTGGGATTAGGCTGCTCAGATCTAAAGCTAAAAGCAGCTACTTTCTATCAGTATTGGTATACATGTTTAGCATGCCAATAAGAGGAAAAGAACACTATCTGTTAATCATCGATTTAGGGAAACTGGCATGAAGTAAAATGCTTTGGACTGTCATCTCCACATATAAAATGGTAAATTGTGATATTCCTCCAATGGGCAATAAGTTATTTATAATGATCCAAACAGTTACAAGTGTCTACAGGGGGCGTGGCTTGGAGCCTGAACTGCATGGACACACGTTTGTGAAGCTCCCGAAATTCAGGTGCCTAGGAGCCAACAATAAGCGGTCTACTGAGCAATAACAGACTCAAGCAGTGAGTTCCCAACTACACCATGTCTCAGAGGCAAAAGAACAAGGCAACTAAGACGGAACGAGCCTCCTTCTTTCTAACTAGACCTTCTACCCAGAAGGCGCAGGAAAGGCCGGAGCCCTCCTAAAGATGGCTCATATCAGGAACCCTGATATGCCGGAACTGTATAAGGACAACAAAGTCTTCGCGGAGCTCTCAGCCGCAACACTCCTCTTCCGGAAGAGTATTTCACCCATTACGACAATCCTCAGAGCACAGAATGTCAACTACCGCTGGAGGTACCCAGCGAAGCTACTAGTGTACCACCGTGACAGCCTTCATGCGGTGCCAACAGTGGTGGTGGGCATAAAAAGGCTGAAAGAATGGGGCCTACCAGTACCAAAAGCTGCACAGGCGAAGCCCTCTCAGGTCCCTAGGATGTCCCCAGAGTGGACTGCTACCTAACGTCTAAGACTGACTGGAGAACGGGCTTAAGGGCTTCCGACAGAGCTACTACCCACACTTGAGTATCCTTCATATGTTTTTTCTGTTTCTTATAATATGTTAAATCGGGTTTAGTGTGCAGAGTTATATGCCCGCCTTGTGGCCATAGGGATAGGTAGGTAGGGTAGTTAATGGTGGGTCTGGGGCACTGGGGGGATGTGGATGGGTTGTCATGTGTTGCAGGATATGCCCATTACCTCAAAGTTAACGGGAAACAAGAGGGGGACTAACCTACAAACTGTTATTTCCTATAAAAAGAATAAAACACAAAAAATACATTTAAAAAAATACATATACATTTTTTTTTCAATAACTGAAATACAAAAAAATAAACTAGAATAATAAAAAAAAAAAAAAAGAGGCACCACAGCATATAAATACCATACCTAATTCTGTGACATGGATAATTATTAGGCCCCTTGGGGGCCAATTGAGCCTGTTAGACTGCCATAAACACATAGCCGTGACTTCCAACCTTAATAAAGCCCACCCTACTGTGGAGTTAGCTAGAAATTTGAAAGAACTGTATGCCTGGTTGACAGAGTTGAATTCTGAAAAGACCAAATTTTTCCTGTATAAACTACAGGCAAATGTATATCACAACAAAGTACATGTACACAAAGATTGCCCACCTCACAGGGGAAGACTGCCATAAAAAACTAAACCCCAGTGACATATGCCACGAATTTGCAAATTTCTACTCGAAATGTTATAATCTCAAACATGATGATAGGGTGTCTAATCCTACGGAGAGGTCGATCTTCAACTATCTGGCGAAAATCTGTCTCCCCAGCTTACCATAACTTAGGCGGAGGGATTGAGATAACCGATCTCTCGTGGGGAAATCATCGCCGCGATCAAAGGGCTACCCCTCAGGAAAATCACCAGGGGCAGACGGCCTGCCCAACTCTTATTACAAGAGGTACGCAGCGGTTTTAGCTCCCCACCTGCTAAAGGTTTTTCATACAGCCACGGCTACAGGAACCCTCCCGCTGGAAATGTTGCTTGCTACTATTGTCACCATACCGAAACCAGACAAGTCCCCAGATGAGTGCAAAAAAAAAAAAAAAAACTATCGCCCCATCTCCCTACTCAATTCAGATGCCAAACTATACGCAAAAATCTTGGCCAACAGACCTGGCACCATACTACCATCCCTCATTGCGGATGACCAAACAGGATTTGTTCTGGGGAGGCAAGGATTGGACAACACCAAAAAAACTTTCACTGATTCTGGAGCACCTCCGGGGAACCAGCCGGGGGTCATTTCTCTTATGACTTTAATACAGGACTACGGCCATCAGTCCTATTACTCCCTAAACACCTCTAAAACCCAGGCACTAGGATTAGGGATTCCCGCACTAGACATGGAAGGGCTCAGACAAAAATAACTATTTGAATGGAGGAGAGATAGTATAAAATACCTGGGATTGAGGTTAACAAAAAAGGTTTCCGACCTCTGCTAAGGGAACTATATTAAAGTCTGGAATGACTGCAAAAAACTCTTGCTCAGTGGAAGACAATGTTTCCGAGCGAGCGGATAGTAGCTCTCAAAATGTCAATACTTCCGTTACTACAATGTTTTCCGCACTCTTCCACTGTCCTCCCCACACTCCTACTTTAAAAACATTCAAGCGAACATGACAAAATTTATTTGGGTGGGGGGCAGTCCCAGAGTAGCAATGAAACTTCTGAACGCCCCACTTCATGAAGGGGTGTTAGCGGTTCCCCAGGTAAAAACATACTATTATGCAATGATCCTGGCCTTGGCCTTACCGTATTTTCCAGATCAACCTCCGCCTCAGTGGGTAGTCTTGGAGAGAGCATTAGTTCAACTTGACCTTCCTAGTAAAATCGGTCGTTGCCTCGTTAGCTTTGACCACCCCTTCAAGACACACCTTCACAAGTAAAACTCACTATGCAGGTATAGGATAGACACAGATCCATATTGAGCAAATCCGGCCTAGTGTCTTTAGCAACCCCTACATTGGCCCTTCCGTATTGCATCCCTACCTTCCATGCAAAGCCGTGGCATGAGAGGGTAGTTCCTCACCTCTACCAATTCTATTCCCAGAAACATATCCTAACCTTCTCTGCACTCCAAGCTACATACGATCTCCCAGAGACCACCCACTTTTCCTACATGCAAGTGCGTTAATTTTTAAAGCACATTAATTAAATTAATATTAATAGGAGATTGAAATCCCTTTGCAAAGCTATTTCCATGTGCTACAAACTGCTACTAGAGTTCTTGCCGTTCCCTGACTTCAAGACTACCATATGACTGGCTATCAACTTAGACTGTGTGGTCACTAAACTACAATGGGAAACCATCTTTAATTCCTCCAAAAAGCATGTTAAATCCACTACCCTTATGGAGCAACAGCGGAAAATGGTGTACAGGTGGTACATGGCACCAGGGCAGATACACAATAGTATTCCCTAATAGCTCGCTGCTGTGTTGGAGATGTAAACGAGAGAACAGTACAGTATTACACATTTGATGGCAGTGTCCAATAACTGTAAAGTTTTGGGAATCGGTCCATGCCCTCTTGATAGAGATCAGAGATTTTTCGCTGCCTTTTCACCCACTTACTTATCTGTTGCTGCACATTCTGGTTGGCGTGCCTAAATATAACCAAAAACTGATCCATCACGTGTTGCTCACAGCACAACGGTTGATAGCCAGGGCCTGGAAGTCCTCATACCCACCATCAATAACCCCTCTATTAGGGGAATTAGATAAACAACACATATATGAACACTGCTTTAGTAATGTCTGCCACCTCACACACATGGCACTGGCGGCATGGGATAAGTGGAGATGGGTGCACCCTGATCAATAATGTAGATCTAGACACTTGTCCAACTGTCAGGGAGAGATCCACTTGTTATGGGAGCACCAGAACGGGATACAAATTCAGTATGAGGGCTGTGTTCTGGAGTCTAGGACTGAACACCCGTGGGAGGCAATGAGTAGAGTAGGAAATGCTTTATTACAGAAACGGTGCAATGCTATCTAGAAGGAGTGTACGTCTGCCCGCTCCCCCACTACAGTACAACTTAATATATCGTGTCTAAAGATGGTGCACATGCATCACAGTACGATTGAACATTAAATGTGATTGTACAACTGCTGGTACTTGTTTATTCCCCTTCTTCTTTCTGTAGCCTTTCTTTTCTTCTTCTGTACCCTCACCCCTTTTCCTTTGAAAATGAATTAAAATAGTCAAAAAAAGGTTTTAAAGTGTCTACGGACAGATGATATATCGGCTCCTAACATTCATTTCTACTTCAACATGGCTCCTTCTAAACCTAGACGCTCCAACAGAAGGCGAACATGGGATCACCTGAGCGTCTCATTATGATATATATCCCTACCTGCAATATTACAGACCAACGTGGGATCACCTGTCCGTCTCGTTAGGATATATCTCTGTACTGGCAATATTACAGGTTAACATGGAATATCCTGGCCGTCTTGTTATGATATCTATATTTATACCCTACCTGCAATACTATAGACTAACATGGGATCACCTGACCGTCTTATCATGATACACATCACTACCTGCAATACTACAGACTAACATGGGATTACCTGGCCGTCTCATCATGACACACATCATTACCTGTAATACTACAGACTAACATGGGATCACCTGGCCATCTCATTAGGATATATATCCCTACATGCAATACTACAGACTAACATGGGATCACCTGGCCATCTCATTAGGATATATATCCCTACATGCAATACTACAGACTAACATGGGATCACCTGGCCATCTCATTAGGATATATATCCCTACCTACAATACTAGAGACTAACATGGGATCCCCTGGCCATCTTATTATGATATATATCCCTACCTGCAATACTACAGACTAACATGCGGTCCCCTGGCCGTCTCATTAGGATATATATCCCTACCTCCAATACTACATACTAACATGGGATCACCTGTCCATCTCATTAGGATATATATCCCTACCTGCAATACTACATACTAACATGGGATCACCTGTCCATCTCATTAGGATATATATCCCTACCTGCAATACTACAGACTAACATGGGATCCCCTGGCCGTCTCATTAGGATATATATCCCTACCTGCAATACTACAGACTAATATGGAATCCCCTGGCCATCTCATTATGATATTTATCCCTAACTGCAATACTAGAAACTAACATGGGATCCCCTGGCCGTCTCATTAGGATATATATCCCTACCTGCAATACTACATACTAACATGGGATCCCCTGGCCGTCTCATTCGGATATATATCCCTACCTGCAATACTACAGACTAACATGGAATCCCCTGGCCATCTCATTATGATATTTATCCCTAACTGCAATACTAGAGACTAACATGGGATCCCCTGGCCGTCTCATTAGGATATATATCCCTACCTGCAATACTACATACTAACATGGGATCACCTGCCCATCTCATTAGGATATATATCCCTACCTGCAATACTACAGACTAACATGGGATCACCTGCCCATCTCATTAGGATATATATCCCTACCTCCAATACTACATACTAACATGGGATCACCTGCCCATCTCATTAGGATATATATCCCTACCTCCAATACTACATACTAACATGGGATCACCTGTCCATCTCATTAGGATATATATCCCTACCTCCAATACTACATACTAACATGGGATCACCTGCCCATCTCATTAGGATATATATCCCTACCTGCAATACTACAGACTAACATGGGATCACCTGTCCATCTCATTAGGATATACATCCTTACCTCCAATACTACATACTAACATGGGATCACCTGTCCATCTCATTAGGATATATATCCCTACCTGCAATACTACAGACTAACATGGGATCACCTGTCCATCTCATTAGGATATTTATCCCTACCTGCAATACTAGAGACTAACATGGGATCACCTGTCCATCTCAGGATACATATCCCTACCTCCAATACTACATACTAACATGGGATCACCTGCCCATCTCATTAGGATATATATCCCTACCTGCAATACTACATACTAACATGGGATCACCTGTCCATCTCATTAGGATATATATCCCTACCTCCAATACTACATACTAACATGGGATCACCTGTCCATATCATTAGGATTTATATCCCTACCTCCAATACTACATACTAACATGGGATCACCTGTCCATCTCATTAGGATATATATCCCTACCTGCAATACTACATACTAACATGGGATCACCTGTCCATCTCATTATGATATTTATCCCTAACTGCAATACTAGAGACTAACATGGGATCCCCTAGCCGTGTCATTAGGATATATATCCGTACCTGCAATACTACAGACTAACATGGGGTCCCCTGGCCGTCTCATTAGGATACATATCCCTACCTGCAATACTAGAGACTAACATGGGGTCCCCTGTCCATCTCAGGATACATATCCCTACCTCCAATACTACAGACTAACATGGGATCACCTGCCCATCTCATTAGGATATATATCCCTACCTCCAATACTACATACTAACATGGGATCACCTGCCCATCTCATTAGGATATATATCCCTACCTCCAATACTACATACTAACATGGGATCACCTGTCCATCTCATTAGGATATATATCCCTACCTCCAATACTACATACTAACATGGGATCACCTGCCCATCTCATTAGGATATATATCCCTACCTGCAATACTACAGACTAACATGGGATCACCTGTCCATCTCATTAGGATATACATCCTTACCTCCAATACTACATACTAACATGGGATCACCTGTCCATCTCATTAGGATATATATCCCTACCTGCAATACTACAGACTAACATGGGATCACCTGTCCATCTCATTAGGATATTTATCCCTACCTGCAATACTAGAGACTAACATGGGATCACCTGTCCATCTCAGGATACATATCCCTACCTCCAATACTACATACTAACATGGGATCACCTGCCCATCTCATTAGGATATATATCCCTACCTGCAATACTACATACTAACATGGGATCACCTGTCCATCTCATTAGGATATATATCCCTACCTCCAATACTACATACTAACATGGGATCACCTGTCCATATCATTAGGATTTATATCCCTACCTCCAATACTACATACTAACATGGGATCACCTGTCCATCTCATTAGGATATATATCCCTACCTGCAATACTACATACTAACATGGGATCACCTGTCCATCTCATTATGATATTTATCCCTAACTGCAATACTAGAGACTAACATGGGATCCCCTAGCCGTGTCATTAGGATATATATCCGTACCTGCAATACTACAGACTAACATGGGGTCCCCTGGCCGTCTCATTAGGATACATATCCCTACCTGCAATACTAGAGACTAACATGGGGTCCCCTGTCCGTGTCATTAGGATATATATCCCTAACTGCAATACTAGAGACTAACATGGGATCCCCTGGCCATCTCATTAGGATATATATCCCTACCTGCAATACTACAGACTAACAGGAGATCCCCTGGCCGTCTCATTAGGATATATATCCCTACCTGCAATACTACAGACCAACATGGGATCCCCTGTCCATCTCATTAGGATATATATCCCTACCTGCAATACTACAGACTAACATGGGGTCCCCTGGCTGTCTCATTAGGATATATATCCCTACCTGCAATACTACAGACTAACATGGGATCCCCTGGCCATCTCATTAGGATATTTATCCCTACCTGCAATACTAGCACTTCTTACTACTCCCCAATACATGGAATACCTACATGAACCTGAATCAGTGAAGCTAAATTATCGATAATACGTTTAAAGACAGGAAAAGTTGTTGGATTTTGTAATTTAGAAACTAGTGTCATATTTAAAAAAATAAATAAAAATCAAGGGATGGTGTCAGCCATGTTTTTCAGCCAGCTTTAGAAGGGGGGAAATAAATGGTGTAATAATCCTTCAAACTGGCTTCCTTAACCAGCATACACACAGATACATTTGTGTTGGATTATATTGCGGAGTAAAAAGCAGTACAAGTGGCTAAAACACAATGAGAAACAGAAAGTGCAGACCCTTTGTGACCAAATACTATGTTACAATCAAGTTAGGATGTCACATGAAGATTGTAACAAAAACTTAACAATCAGGGGTTCTAAAACAAGCGAACATAATATTTTAATTTTAATAAGCTAAGCAATGTCAGTATGGGCAGTTTGTAAAAATTGATTTGTCAAATAGTGTTTTTAACCTACATGTGTTCTACATCTCACACACTTTGCAATCCAATAATGTACTGTTGCCAATTCACAGAAATAATAAAGAACCTCAAACAGTTACAGAATTAAATGCCCCATAATATATACAAGCAATATAGCAGGCAGCACAAGGCCAATGACTATGATGCCGGTACAGAAACCTTAAATCGCTCAAACAGGCAATTTTCGTACAAAAGAACAGTATTTTCTGAGTTGAAACTTAAGTAAACTTGTGCTGGTGGAACACAGCCAGTATCAAGCTTAGAGAAAGCTCTGCTTTAGATGTGAATGGGGGCCTTCATAATCCCTACAGAGCATTTCAATGATGCACTCCCTACCGAAATCAACCAACTAAAACAGCTCATTTAACTTCCCCAAATAACATGCTTACTCACTGCTAAATACAGCCACACCAGAATACTAGACAGTAAGAAGATAGAATTGATCAAAAAACAAATTCTGATATATACACGCGTCCATACACAACAGAAAGACAGACTGACAAAGTTGTCTTTGAGCTTAGACTGACAATTCAAACTACTTATTGTGGCTTTTTAGCTTCGTATATAAATGTATACTTTGCTTTGGCTGAGGTCATGATAACTACACATTAATCCAGCGGGTCAAAAGAGCAGGAATATAAATGAACAAACCCCACTAACCTGGTAGAAAAAAGGGATGCACCATAAAGTGGTAGCAAAAACAACTTGTTTACAAATGAGAATAATAGGTGCAAAAATTAAATAATGAAGGTTATTTACAAAGAACAATTCAGATGTAAAATTCTTACACTGTCGCAATGACCAAAGGAAACCAGTAGGATGATTCACTACTAAAGCAATCAGTACGAACAATCACCAAGGAAACCAATAGAAAGTTCCTGCTGATTGCTCTACGGCTAATACAATCACCATGGGAACCAATGGAATGTTCCTGCTGATTGATCTACAGCTGATACAATCACCATGGGAACCAATGGAATGTTCCCGCTGATTGCTCTACAGCTGATACAATCACCATGGAAACCAATGGAATGTTCCTGCTGATTGCTCTACAGCTGATACAATCACCATGGAAACCAATGGAATGTTCCCGCTGATTGCTCTACAGCTAATACAATCACCATGGAAACAAATGGAATGTTCCCGCTGATTGCTCTACAGCTGATACAATCACCATGGAAACAAATGAAATGTTCCCGCTGATTGCTCTACAGCTGATACAATCACCATGGGAACCAATGGAATGTTCCTGCTGATTGCTCCACAGCTGATACAATCACCATGGAAACCAATGAAATGTTCCTGCTGATTGCTCTACAGCTGAAACAATCACCATGGAAACCAATGGAATGTTCCCGCTGATTGCTCTACAGCTGATAAAATTACCATGGGAACCAATGGAATGTTCCTGATTACTCTACAGCTGATACAATCACCATGGGAACCAATGGAATGTTCCCGCTGATTCCTCTACAGCTGAAACAATCACCATGGAAACCAATGGAATGTTCCTGCTGATTGCTCTACAGCTGATACAATCACCATGGAAACCAATTAAATGTTCCCGCTGATTGCTCTACAGCTGAAACAATCACCATGGAAACCAATGGAATCTTGCTGATTGCTGGTCTACAATTGGATCAACCACCATATAAAAGTGCCAGCTGATAGTTCCACAATCAGCAATTGGTTTAATGGCTTAATATAAATAACCATTGAGTCCTGCATATCTGATGTCTGTGTATGTGGGGGGTATTTAAATAATAAACAATACTAACATTAACGAACTAACAGTTTCAATATTTTCTCCCAGGTATACTTGAAAACAACAATAGGTCTGATGTGACAAACTACAAGGGCCAGTTGGAAAGATTGAGGATTAGCCCATGGCTACAAACACACAGCTCCTAAATCCTGGAGTCTGCTTAGCTGCAATAGACACAATTCACATAACCTTGTGTGCTAAAACCATACCTGTGCATGGTAACAGATATGTCTATTCCAGTTTGAAAATTAAATCCAAGCCCGGGAGCAGTCATTTCACATAATCACAAATAATCAACCTCATTAACAATGGCAACTATAACCACTGTACATATCTTATAATGACAGTGTTACTTGCACCACGCTGTGCAGCATTTTAAAAACCTATACCCTGTGCTAAACTTTTTTTAACCTGTCCATCTTAAATTAAAAGAGCTAAAGCCAGCCTAGACAGAAAGCATTCATCTCTAACAGTTAAAAAACCAAAGTGGTGTTAAACAGCTTATTTTCTGCCAACCTCAAGTGCTTACTGGCTGTTAAACAGATGTAAAAAAATAAATAAATAAATAAATAAAAATAATAAGTGATACAATTCCACTTTTGCATAATCCACTATATTATGTCGTGAATATAGATAGAAACATACAAACATGGGCGGCATAGATTTCCTCATCTGTGACAGATAAGAAGAAGATTCTGCTTCTCACGTGAGAAGCATTCCTGTTTTGCTAAAGTCCACATGCATCTCAATCTCATTAAAATACTTACCAGCAGGTTCATACTGACACAAAAAGACTATTTCCCAGTTGCACTTGTAGTGACCATTTCAAATATAAACAAGAAAATACACTAAGTCCACAAAGCAATGGGAATGTAGCATCATGCAGACATATTTAATAGATTAACGCTTACTGATCAATGAAATGCAGCACACATAATACAAACAGATCTGCTTATCTCCTGGTCCCTAAGGGGCTCACAGTGCCCACACAAATACCACAAAGGTCTGATCTCCCTTGGTAGCTAAGAATTCCTCACTGGCTAAGCTTCTAAGTCACTTTAATTACTTTGAGAGGGGTGGGGGGGACGACAAGGTGATATACAATTTCAAAAGTTCAGATCTACAGAATAAAAAGGAGTTACTAAGAAACACAAAAATACCACCCAAATCTTTATGAGATCACAGAAGACAAGGGAATAGAACAAGGTACATCATGACACTTCACCTACATTATTACTGCTAGTAGAGCTTGGCTGTTTACATCAACTTTACTAAAAATATGTGACTACTAGGAAATAGTTACCATATAGAGGCACTCATCCCATCCCACATTAAAAAACAAAATATGGACATATCACTGTCTAATGGAAATACCTTTCTTAATTAAAAATGGAACATTTTAAAATCTCTTACTATCTGCACATCACACAGATCACAAAAAACTACAGCACATAGTTTAACATAAAAGTTTCTCTTGCTATGGGAATGCCAGCATAGGCACCCAGACTACTTCACCTCAACGAAGTGGTCTGTGTGCACTGCCCCTGGCATTTTGATCCCATAATGTAAAAACAATCGACCATTTTGAACTCACTGCCATGTTTACACTACAGGGCTAAACACACATCTAGTGGCTGTTACATTCAATCATTTTATAAGGACATTGGATATTAAATCAATGCTTCTCAGAGCAGCACTGGGATCAATGCTTTTCTAGAAGAATGAATGAAGGAAGGAGCATGGAAGACCGTCTCTAGAGGTGTGCTAACCATGCAATGAAAATACTGCTGTTGCTGCAAAACACCAATGTTTAAACAGACAGGAGCACTGCACCTAGACCACTTAATCGAGACGTGTGGTCTGGATTACTATAGCCACTTTATTTATTACTGGCATTTATAAAGTGCCAACATATTCCGCAGCGCAGTACAATTGGGAAAACAATACAATATAAACAGACCAACACAAAAGGTAAATGGCCCTGCCCGCAAGCTTACAATCGAAAAGATTTTAAGGTGTTGTATGCACAAATCAATGAAAATTAACAAGACTTGACAGAGCATTAAAAAAATATGATGGTAAAATGGAAGCAAGTATACAGGGAAAAATTTTGTTATTTTTTAAATTCATTTTTTGCACAGTGAGAGTCAAGGAAGTTTTCTGAATTGCCACCTCGACAGCAGACCGCGGATGTTGCAAAGGAGGTGACTGATTTGATACGTTCCAGTAGTAAGGGGATAATAGGGAGAATGAACTAGGAAGGGGCACTCTGAGGACGAGTAATGGTGAGTGGAGATATTTTAAAAACATACTACTGGCAGATCGGAAACCAGTAGAGTGTCTCTAGAAAAGGAAGGCGTGAGCAGACAGTGAAAGATGTATGGGGAAACAACCACATATTCCATTTAATATAGATGAAATTATTGTTGTGGCAAGTGCATATTAGATATTACAGACAATACAACATCAGGCGGAACAAGATTTGGGAAATAAATTAAAACAGAGAATAAATTGGTGTATGGCACAACTCTGTCATTGTCTTTTTTCACCTGTAAACTGGCTTGAAGTTCATTAAACAATGAATAGTATTGAATACCAAATTCCAAGGTTTAGACAAAAAGTGCATTTTGGAGAACAATTCTCTGCTGTAGTCCCAGCTTTTTTGTTCTGGCCATGTTTTTCAACTCTTGTTTATCCTGTGTTTGTAGAATAAACCGCATTATAATCACATTTAAATGTGAAAGCCGTTTAGATTGTGGTGCCTTTAAAAGGTGGTAGTGACGATGAGCAAATGAAGCACGGAGATTGAATATTCAGTAATAGCCTCTATGCTGGAGACTGCATTTTTAAAGGCTGCTAAGAGACTTTGGAGTTTAAACCTACGTCAGACCAGCTTATAATGGGTTTGTGAGCTAGCAGGGAAGCCTGTGACTGGATTAATATCTTGCAAATACTAATACAGTTTGGCCTGAGCTGTTTGACATTAAAATAGCAGCTTAAAATCACATGCGAGCCGATAAAATGATTTCTTTGGACGAGGTTGATAGGTCCAGTATACACAGTGTGCCCAAAAATAACTCTGAACCTTGACTTGGCATCCACATCAGCTAACCTGCCAAATAGATTCTAGAAGTTGGCATTCATTTCAACAATCAAATTCTGTCACTTAGCAGGGAAACCACTGGACCTGGTCACTGATTCAAATTACAACACATTAAGATGTCTTGACATGGACCTAACAAAACAAAAGGACAATATCCCTTCTGTTGTGTGCAATCACTGGGTACATTTGAGAATTCCCCAACCTCTTCAGTGACAAGCCCTAGTATACCAAGCTGTAGGCTGGCATAAACAGAATCTTGACTGGACAGGAAAATAATTGTAAGAGCCTGCTGGTACCCAAAGAGTTAAAGGGCAACAAGACTTGCTGCTTGTTAAGCTTCCAAGACTTTCTTAAAAACTGTCACCAACATAACTCCTCCTCAAACAAAGCAAGGACAGCCAGAGGAAATGACCTTGAAAACGTGGGGTAGGTTGCATGGAAACAGATATGCAGGCGTATACAAGAATTGCTCCCCCCCCTCACCCCCCCACCTGAAACACCAGTTTGGCATATTTAAAGAAACCAGTTTGAAAAATGCACTGGTATAAAATGGGGGGGGGGGAGCTTATCACCAGCTTCAGCAGGAAAATGCACCTTTTAGATCAAATAAGAAAACCATCTGCAACCCTTAGGGGAAATCAACAAATGGGTACTGGCTAGGGGTATGAAACCAGGGTAATGGTCAACTTCAAGGAAACCGGAAATTAAGAATTTTAAACAAGAAATATTAAAAGGTGATAGATTGCCTCTAGTAAATACTTCTCACAGTGCCAACACTACTTTTCAAAAAAAGGAAACAAGTTTTACCAATGACCCTCTACAGCAGTGATGGCAATTATCAGCTAAGGATATGTTTGTGGATTACATTCCCAGTGGTACTCAGTCAATACAGAAAGCAGAATCTGTGTGCAAACATTTAGTTCGAAGAGCTTGCAATCTAACAAGTATACAAATTCCATTGCTACTTGGCATTATGTGTGTGTTTGCCCATGACTATACTAATTGTCTAGTTCTAAACTTCAGCTTGAAGACGATGTATACATGCTATATAGTACACACATTATAAGCAAGACGAAAACATCTTCCATCAAGTACACAAAATACCAAGGTTTCAGGATTTGTGTGTACAATGCACATCTTCAATCAAAAAGAAACTCTTATGTGGGTACAAGTAGTACGAAGACCCATACGTGCCCTCAGTAGATGACATAACGCATGCATATTGCCAATCCCCACAGCTCCAGTGCCTGTGCCCCACCATGAAGACCCACCGCTCCAGCGCCCATGCTTAGCAATGAATCCTAACAGCTACAGTGCCCAAGCAACCTACTTTCTAGTTTCTACCCTACACTTTGTGTCACTATACCTTATACTCTATAGCATGTAAGCTAATTGAGCATGGATCTCCGACATGTCTGGTTACAAATACGTGTCTGTAAGTGCACCCATTGTGCTTTATAAATTGTAATAATAATAATAATAATAATAATAATAATCATCAAGACCTACAGCTTCTGCACACAGACATAATCCCACAGCTCCTTTTCCCCACGATAGAACCTGAAAACTCACATGCTCAAACCCAGTGAAGGCACCCAACTGCTCTGGCATCCATCCGTGTTTGAATCCATAGCTCCTGATCTCAGCGAAGCAAATGTCACAGCTCTTGTACCTACTATCTACCGCACAGCTGAAGCAACTGTGCCAGTAAAGAATCTGAGTGTTTTCCCACTACAAAAGATGCATATACAGTGCAAATAATGGATAACAACACGTTTGAATCTTTAGAAAACAAAAAACATCTGTCACCTGTAAATAGAATCTCGCAGTAATGAGATGTAAACATTCAAAGTCATATTATTACCAGGACCTGTCACTAACAGGAAAAGAGCTTCTCATCTTCCTACAACACCCTGAGCATGCCCAGTGCCAGGACATACTGCCAATGGCCTTTACATTGCCCAGATATCAATAGCAGGCTAGATTGCAAGCTCTTGGGACAATGTGTGAGCAGACATTGGCAATCCAAGCCAAGTCCCAGCGTCCTGCATGGCATCCACTATAAGATCCCCAGCAACCAGCTCCCAGAATCCTCCGCGGCAACCACTGTCTGCAGGAGCCCCAGCTCCTAGAATCCTCCGCAGACACCACTGTCTGCAGGAGCCCCAGCAACCAGCTCCCAGAATCCTCCGCGGCAACCACTGTCTACAGGAGCCCCAGCTCCCAGAATCCTCCGCGGCAACCACTGTCTGCAGGAGCCCCAGCAACCAGCTCCCAGAATCCTCCGCGGCAACCACTGCGGGAGCCCCAGCAACCAGCTCCCAGAACCCTTTGCGGCAACCACTGTCTGCAGGAGCCTCAGCAACCAGCTCCCAGAACCCTTTGCGGCAACCACTGTCTGCAGGATCCCAACAACCAGCTCCCGGAACCCTTTGCGGCAACCAATGTCTGCAGGAGCCCCAGCAACCAGCTCCCAGAACCCTTTGCGGCAACCACTGTCTGCAGGAGCCCCAGCAACCAGCTCCCAGAACCCTTTGCGGCAACCACTGTCTGCAGGAGCCCCAGCAACCAGCTCCCAGAACCCTTTGCGGCAACCACTGTCTGCAGGAGCCCCAGCAACCAGCTCCCAGAATCCTTTGCGGCAACCACTGTCTGCAGGAGCCCCGGCTCCCAGAATCCTTTGCGGTAAGCACTGTCTGCGTTAGCCCTAGGTACCATCTCCCAGAACCCTTTGCGCTGAGCACTGTCTGCGTTAGCCCTAGGTACCATCTCCCAGAATCCTTTGCGCTGAGCACTGTCTGCGTTAGCCCCAGGTACCATCTCCCAGAACCCTTTGCGTTGAGCACTGTCTGCGTCAGCTCTAGGTACCATTTCCCAGAACCCTTTGCGTTGAGCACTGTCTGCGTTAGCCCCAGGTACCATCTCCCAGAACCCTTTGCGCTGAGCACTGTCTGCGGTAGCCCCAGCTCCCAGAACCCTTTGCGGTAAGCACTGTCTGCGGTAGCCCCAGCTCCCAGAACCCTTTGCGCTGAGCGCTGTCTGCGTTAGCCCCAGGTACCATCTCCCAGAACCCTTTGCGCTGAGCACTGTCTGCGTTAGCCCCAGGTACCATCTCCCAGAATCCTTTGCGCTGAGCACTGTCTGCGTTAGCCCCAGGTACCATCTCCCAGAACCCTTTGCGGTGAGCACTGTCTGCGTTAGCCCCAGGTACCATCTCCCAGAACCCCTGGGCTGAGCACTGTCTGCGTTAGCCCCAGGTACCATCTGCCAGAATCCTTTGCGCTGAGCACTGTCTGCGTTAGCCCAGGTACCATCTCCCAGAACCCTTTGCTTTGCGCTGAGCACTGTCTGCGTTAGCCCCAGGTACCATCTCCCAGAACCCTTTGCGCTGAGCACTGTCTGCGTTAGCCCCAGGTACCATCTCCCAGAACCCTTTGCGCTGAGCACTGTCTGCGTTAGCCCCAGGTACCATCTCCCAGAACCCTTTGCGCTGAGCACTGTCTGCGTTAGCCCCAGGTACCATCTCCCAGAACCCTTTGCGGTAAGCACTGTCTGCGGTAGCCCCAGCTCCCAGAACCCTTTGCGCTGAGCGCTGTCTGCGTTAGCCCCAGGTACCATCTCCCAGAACCCTTTGCGCTGAGCACTGTCTGCGTTAGCCCCAGGTACCATCTCCCAGAACCCTTTGCGCTGAGCACTGTCTGCGTTAGCCCCAGGTACCATCTCCCAGAATTCTTTGCGCTGAGCACTGTCTGCGTTAGCCCCAGGTACCATCTCCCAGAACCCTTTGCGCTGAGCACTGTCTGCGTTAGCCCCAGGTACCATCTCCCAGAATTCTTTGCGCTGAGCACTGTCTGCGTTAGCCCCAGGTACCATCTCCCAGAACCCTTTGCGGTAAGCACTGTCTGCGTTAGCCCCAGGTACCATCTCCCAGAACCCTTTGCGCTGAGCACTGTCTGCGTTAGCCCCAGGTACCATCTCCCAGAACTCTTTGCGCTGAGCACTGTCTGCGTTAGCCCCAGCTCCCAGAACCCTTTGCGGTGAGCGCTGTCTGCGGTAGCCCCAGCTCCCAGAACCCTTTGCAGTGAGCACTGTCTGCGGTAGCCCCAGCTCCCAGAACCCTTTGCGGTGAGCACTGTCTGCGGTAGCCCCAGCTCCCAGAACCCTTTGCGGTGAGCGCTGTCTGCGGTAGCCCCAGCTCCCAGAACCCTTTGCAGTGAGCACTGTCTGCGGTAGCCCCAGCTCCCAGAACCCTTTGCGGTGAGCACTGTCTGCGGTAGCCCCAGCTCCCAGAACCCTTTGCGGTGAGCACTGTCTGCGGTAGCCCCAGCTCCCAGAACCCTTTGCGGTGAGCGCTGTGCGCAGCCCTGGGCCCCGGTCTCCCCCCGCAGCCTGGCTGTAACCCCGCAGCCTGCCTCCCCCGCCCCCCGCGGCCCCCTCACCTCGGGAGTAGAGGGATTTCGGGGAGTCCAGGTCCAGGTCGGCGCTGAGCAGGGAGATGAAGTCGGAGGGCATGGCCGCTCGGGCCAGCGGGAGGTGCGGGAGGGCAGCTCGGTGTCCCCGGTCCAGGCTCCGGTCTCCTCACTCTGACAGGAATCTACGGCACGCCCCCTACTGCCCGGACACTGCGCATGCGCGGACTCGGGCCCGGGGAGGTCGGGGCCTGCGCCTCACACAGCGAGTGACGGTAACTAAGGGGCCGGACCTGAGCGTTTCCACGCTGGTCACTGTTACCATGGGCGTGGCCGTGAGCTAAACTGTGGGCGGGGTCCGCGGTGACGGAGAGCTGACGGTGAGGGGGGCGGGGCCGGCTGGCCATATGATAGACAGGTCACATCAACCACGGGGCGCACGTGCTGCTGGCACACTACCTGAGCCAGCTCAGCCAATCAGCAGCGGGCACCATGTGAGCGGGAGCAGGTGGCTGACAGAGGTCACGTGATAGCCCCCAGGCAGAGAGAACAGCAATTAACCCTTTCATGGGCCACACCCCAGGACAACAACACCTATCAGCCGGCACATACCGGGACAACAACACCTATCAGCCGGCACATACCCGGGACAACAACACCTATCAGCCGAAATGCCTTACGGATATCTCATTCTGTGTATTGTAAAGCTAAATAAAGTGTTTATGGTCACTTATTTGTGACAATCATCTTTTTATAATGTTGTTATCACCAGGTAATTTGTACCAGGTGGGGATCATACCACCAACGCTGACATCAGAGAGCGGTTCACCTGCTCTAGACACCTGTGAGTATTATTTTATTTGTTTATCACCGATATTTTATACAGTGATCAGTTGTTTCTTTTTACCCCTCTCCTGAATGTTGGACATTCCCTTGACGGAAAGAACTTACTGCATATCCCGTAAGCGGGGATTATACCACTGTACGCCCTCCACGCTAGAGCTAGTTTGAGCTCTCAGAAATGTGAGTTTACTACCATCTTTCCCATATTGGTGAATATATTGGATTGTACATACTGCACTATTGGTCCCTTCTACTTTCATATAAATTGATTTACCTGGTGGAAAAAGACCCTGAGGACACTATTTATGATTAAACACGTTACCCAAGGTTTGATCTGAGTGCAATCCGTCCATTTGGACTTTTTCACTATTATTTATTGTTTATTTGGACTTTTTTTAATCTCCCAATATTAGATTTGGCACAGCCCTTATTTCTTTTTCTGTAATTTTTTTTTCTCTGTATTTGAAAAGGTCTGAGGGATTTCCATTTTTAGGGTTCCTGCCCTATTGTTAATTAGCTATTACGCTTTGTTGTATACCTGCCTAGTGCCCTATTTAAGAGGGATAGTCCCTATATGATAATAATATTGCTCCCAAATCCCTCTGTCCCCCCTTTCTAGTGTGTCTGAGTGTATAACAGAGCTCCAAAGCAATAATACTCTCAGTAATGTGTTTCAGTGTATAACAGATCTCCACAGCAATAATACTCCCAGTAATGTGTCTGGGTGTATAACAGAGCTCCAAAGCAATAATACTCTCAGTACTGTGAGTGTATCACAGAGCTCCAAAGCAATAATACTCTCAGTACTGTGTCTGAGTGTATAACAGAGCTCCACAGCAATAATACTCCCAGTAATGTGTCTGAGTGTATAACAGAGCTCCACAGCAATAATACTCCCAGTAATGTGTCTGAGTGTATAACAGAGCTCCACAGCAATAATACTCCCAGTAATGTGTCTGAGTGTATAACAGAGCTCCACAGCAAAAATACTCCCAGTAATGGGAAGGAGACAATTGTACAGGTTCTAAATAAAACAAACCTTAGAATTTGAGATGCATAATTTACCTCTGCACCCTCCGTTATCATATCTCATGTTGTTCAGAAGAAACACACAAATTTGTGTACAATAATAATCCCATGTACAGGTTTTATAAGGTTTTGGGAAATCACAGGGTTAAATATCGGGCTTTTCAATTTTTGCCCATTGAAATTTGCCATATTGGTTTGCTGGGCCTATGTTGGCTTTTAGACCTTATGGCAACCCAGGAATTAAAATTAACTCCATCGTGGCATAGCATTTGCAAAAGTAGACCGCTAAGGTTATTCAATATGGGGTATGACCAGTATTTTTTTTCATAGCCACTTACTTACAAACCCTGGCCATAGTTAGTGTTCATATTTGGGTTTGTTTGTTTATTTTTTAGCATTTTTCCACACAAAAATTGTACTTTCACTGATTATATCATCTTTACGTTTTACTGTTTTTAAAAAAACCATTTGTATTCAGTGAAGTCTCACAAGTCCAAAAGTAACCCCCATGTACATGTTTTATGGTGTTTTGGAAAGTTAAAGGGTTAAATATAAGGCTTGTAGATGAAATTCTCTGGACTTTCTGCCTGGGTTGTCAGACAGGTCCCTCTATTTGTAATTAATAAAATCACATAATTATGTAACAATATTAATAACCCTGCAATGTCAACATTGCAGTTTCTCTAAAACTGTATTTTACATTGTAGGATTAAAGGGACAGTGACACTTCAACCAGACCATGTCAATGAGAAATAGTGTTCCTTTAAGTAATGACTACGGTTGAGCTGGATCCAACACTGTGGGAAAGCCATGCAATTTTTCCAAAGGTATGTCTGGATCAATTGTGTCTTCCTGTAATAATAATAATAATAATAATAAAAAAAATATATATATATATATATTTGGGCAGTGCATGAAAAGTGCTGTCCAGTAGGATGGAGAATTCCTTAGCTAGGAAACCCATTACTCTGACCAAGCAGGTTTCTTTCTTTAAAGAGACACTCCAGGCACCCAGACCACATCTGCTTATTGGAGTAGTCTGGATGCCAACTCCTATCACCCTTAACCCTGCAACTGTAATTATGGCATTTTTTTATAAACTGCAATAATTACCTTGCAGGGTTAAGTCCTCCTCTAGTGGCTATCAGACAGCCACTAGAGGGACTTCTGGGGTGTTAAAACACGAAAAGTGTGTTAACCCCTTAAGGAGACATGACGTGTGACATATCATGATTCCCTTTTATTCCAGAAGTTTGGTCCTTAAGGGGTTAAACTACGCTGGACTTCCTCACGCTTCAGGTTACCCTTTTTTCCATGCAACCCTCTGTTTTCATTTCAATTCATATTGAAAAAATGAGTAAATGACATCACAACCCAGTTAAGTCCATGTATAACCAGGGCTCTGTAAGCTGACTGACAGATGCAAAAGGTGGAGCTTCTAGCATTGATTGACAAGGAGCCACCTTTAAAGGGTAACTCAAAGCAAAAATCCCTGTTTTCATAAAACACCCTTCTTATCCTGGTTCCCTGGAAGTGGTCATGGTGCTTGTAGTAACTCTTTAAGGTGGAAGAATCATGCAGGCTTAGATTGCTATCAGTCAGTATAGAGGTAGGAAACGTTCTGCACTCCAAAATGTCATGGATTATATCTCTATGTATGCTTTGCTGGCAATATGTAAGGGTATAATGGGAGATGTAGTTCACAATAAAGGTTGCCTACCCCGGTGTAGGTTAAAGGCTGACTCTGTAGGTATTTCTGGTCACAGATATCTCCGCTCACTCCTAATTTGTAGATAAAGATTTCTGTAGGTCAAACCCTCTCTCCATACCATCACCTTGTTACTGATATCTATCTATCTATCTATCCAAAATATATATATATATATATATATATATATATATATATCTATCTCTCTCTCTCTCTCTCTCTCTCTCTCTCTCTCTCTCATATACTCGGCAGTGACGTACGTAACATGGCACGTCTATCAAAGGCTTTATTATTCAACTTGTTACAAAACATTTGTATTTTAGTATCCAAAATGAAAAGATACAATAATTGCCAAGAGGAAGACTAGGCACATCCTGCTGCATCCTCTCCGCTCAATGAAGGGATTAATAGAGCTCAGAGGAACTCCAAAGTCAAGCGTGATCAATCTTAACCGCTTCAGGACCAAACTTCTGGAATAAAAGGGAATCATGACATGTCATGTGTCCTTAAGGGGTTAAAGGGACAGCCAAATCACTTCACGCGTGGCTTAGATTTAGCAGTTTTTGCATCTATTATTTACTGTCAGACATAGCGACTTGATTCTTCGGAGTAGCACAGATTCAGTCCTTTAATCTACTTTAGCTCCGATGTCAGCAAGCAAAGTATGCAGCCACTAGACAGCTGGGTATACATCCAATGCTTCTTTAGAAGATGCATCTGATTGGACAAAAGTATTCAGAATTGATGACATCATCGAAGGAGGTACAGGCTGCAGTGAGGATTCACACACAGAAAAACAAAACTGTATTCCTAACATAATTGTGCCCTCTGACTCCCCTTAACCCCCCTCCCCTCCTTCCCCCAGGTAAATAAAGGGTTGAAGGAAACTTTTTTACACTTACCCAATTCCAGTGCCAATGTCCCTTGGGTCATGCACCTCCTCCACTGACCTCAGCTAAAGGGGGGAGAGGGGAGGATGGGCTAATGCGCATGATTGTGAGCACCACATGTGCATTTAGCCTTTTTCATAGGAACGCACTTCCTCAGGCAAAGTGTCAGGACTGCAGCATTGTTTCAAACTCTGTGAAACTGCAGGAAGCACCTCTAGTGGCGGTCAGGTAGAAAGCAACTAGAGGCAGTCTAAAGACTGCAATGTAAACATTGACGTTTCTCTAAAATTGCAATGTTTTGTAATACAGTGTTAAGGGAACAGGGACACTGCACCAAGACCACCTCAATAAAATGGAGTGGTCTGGTGCCCATAGTGTCCCACTAAACCTATAAAGAATTACTTTACTGTGCATTGTGCATAAATCAGGGAAATGTGGTTATAAATGATAGTGAACCCTTTCATAACTCAAGCAGCACGTTATTATTATACAAAGTTACTTATCCAGTTTCAGATACATCACATATTGACAATGCTATTAATGATCTCACATGTGCAGCAGAGGTCAGAACTGAACATCCTACTAACACCAGCAGCTTGTAGGATTACAGGAACACTACAAATGTGTATTCCTAACAACAACTACAGGAGAACCTACCCTGCCCCCCTCAGATTGGAGATAAAGGTAGTTTACTTACCTTTTCTCCTTTGTTGCACTGATCTTGCTGCGGACGGTCTCGCCTCCATGGCTGAGGTAACCAATCTTGACGATCTCAGCCAATCCAATGCTTTCTCGTAGGAAAGCATTGGGAGGTTATTGCGCATCCGGGGACTAAACCCCACGTTGCACCAATGAGTATCTCCCATTAGAGATCCATAGAATCAATGCATCTCTAAGTGGAACATTCAGTGCCTCCATGCAGCACTGACATAGGAAGCACCTCTAGTGGCCGTCTGAGTGTCTGCACCTAGAGGTGTTACTAGGCAGCACTGTTAACACTGCTGTTTCTATGAAAATATAGTGTTTTCATTGCTCAGCCAGCCTACAGAAACATGCTATAGACAGTGGTGTATCCTGGTTTTGTGCTGCCCTAGGCAGGACAAAACTCAGGTGCCCCCCCGCGCCAGCCCCCCCCCAAGCCTTCTAAATACACACACACACACACACACATTCACTGACAGATACACATACACTCGCTAACAGAAACACATACACACACACTAACAGACACACACACACTCACAGACACACACACACTAACAAACACACACTCACAGGCAAACACACACACTAAGACACACACACTCACTAGCAGACACACACACACTAACAGACAAACACAGTCAGACACACACATACACACTAACAGAAACACAGTCAGACACACACTAACAGACACACACTCACTCATTAGCAGACACACACTAGCAAACAAACACACACACATTAACAGACACACTCACAGATATATACACACACTCACTCACATCAACACTTTTTTACTTACCCCACCCCCCCAACCTCCTTACCTTTGGGAATGCTGGGGGGGTCCCTCTCTCCCTGGTGGTCCAGTGGCTGATGGTCGGGCGGGCGGGCGGCTGGCGAGGGAGCACTTCCTCTGAGCTGACTGCTCAGCTCCCTCGCGCGCCGCAGAGTGAGGCTGGGAGCCGGGTTGATGATGTCATATCCCGGCTCCCAGCCTTACTCTGCGGCGCGCGAGGGAGCTGAGTAGACCGCTCAGAGGAAGAGCTCCCTCGCCAGCCGCCCGCCCATCAGCCAGCGCCGCCTGCCCGCTCGGCATGTCTGTTAGCCGCGAGGCTAACAAGGCATTTGCCCAGGGCATTTGGGGGCGGCGTTTTTTGCCGCCCAAGGCTATAGACGCCAGAACCAGTATGTTAGGTGTAGGCGTTCTGTGGACTATAGTGTTGTTTAATCTTGTTGGCACTTACCTTTCTGGGCAGTGAAAACATGTGCAAAAGACTTTTAAAGGGACACTCCATCACTAAAGCACTTCAGTTTGCTGAAATACTTTTTTTTGTTAGCAGGGTGTAATTTTATACAAAAAGTACGAATTTTAAATAGACATTGACACTTTTATAAATGGATCTTGCTACACGCCCTGGCTGCCGGTCCTGTTAGGTCCAGCTGAGACATTCTCTGTATGGTAGAGAGGTCCACCTGAGGCATTCTCTGTATGGTAGAGACGTCCAGCTGAGACATTCTCTGTATGGTAGAAATGTCCAGCTGAGACATTCTCTGTATGGTAGAGAGGTCCAGCTGAGACATTCTCTGTATGGTAGAAAGGTCCAGCTGAGACATTATCTGTATGGTAGAGAGGCCAAGCTGAGACATTCTCTGTATGGTAGAAATGTCCAGCTGATACATTCTCTGTATGGTAGAAATGTCCAGCTGATACATTCTCTGTATGGTAGAGAGGTCCAACTGAGACATTCTCTGTATGGTAGAGAGGTCCAGCTGAGACATTCTCTGTATGGTAGAGAGGTCCAGCTGAGACATTCTCTGTATGGTAGAGAGGTCCAGCTGAGACATTCTCTGTATGGTAGAGAGGTCCAGCTGAGACATTCTCTGTATGGTAGAGAGGTCCAGCTGAGACATTCTCTGTACGTGGGTGGATCTGGTAAGACTGGTTCTGTATGCTGAAAAGAGGATGACACGTAGATTAAGTAAAACTCTCTTTCATTGGAGACCCATTTGAAAATGGTCAACTGGAACAATGGGTCTTCTGGACAAAACCTGCTATAAAGAAGTAATTAATGGGAGTACTGAGCTGTAGCGGAAGAGATGAAAGGAAATAGTAGGGATAAAATAATAAAATCAAAGAACTCATTATGTAGGTTTTATACTTAGTGCTGGCTCTCTACGTACATGTAAAGGAGCCAGGTAGCAGGATCACTCATGGCTCTTTTTGTAATGTGTGTGTTTATTTTTTATTCCCTAACAGAAGCAAAACAGATACTTTGAAGGCTCTTAGAACAGATCAAAAGCTTCTGTTTCCAGTACTTTTAGAAATAGGGGACCATAGTGCTGTCTTAGAAAGCTGTAAGAGACGTTCATTAGATAATTGCCAGAGGTGACCATTACTAGTTTCTGTGCGCCAATGAAATCCCCAAAGAAACTTTTTCATCTGTCATAAGATCTAGTATCCACAGCCTCTCCTGATTGGCTGCACACATCCAAGCTGATCAGCTGTGTGCAACAATGTGTGTTAATTGCACATGTTTTGTATACATCTCTCATTGACGTGCGCAGCATTCTGTATTGGGGCGTTAAAGGAAACGTTACCAGATACACTTTGCTTTAAAAAAATTACTAATTTTAAAAATGTGAATTTTTGCTCTAATTGAACAATATATATATATATATATGTGTGTGTAGAAATAGTCATGCGATCCCAAACTCATGCAAAAATCGCCCTGGAATTTAAACCTGGAAAAGAGAGGGCAATTTGGCGCTATATTAGGGTGTGCACTTATTGCGTATGCCATTGATATAAATAACTAACCGCAAAATAAAAATAAAAAGCCTGTATAAAAACATAGTTTTCTGCATTAATATTGTTCTACTGGAATAAAACGAATTCTTGAGATATAGCCATTATACACTTCTAATAAACTGATTGAAAACGTTACGGCAAACATAATCTGATAAAACAGTACATACTATGAATGGTTAGATAGTAACAAATTCTTCTTTTTATTAGCAAACATATAAAATCACTCCCACATTTATGGCATTTGGAGGGCTAATGAAGATTTTTCTAGAATCATTTCCTACGGGGTTCTAGAACTTGCTGAATGTCATGTCTTGCAGAGCCCATGTTTGAACCAGTCCTTACCTCTCAGTCGACCTCTTGCGATAACACCACCATGTTGCCATCGGTTTGCGAACCGCGGTGCAGAGGAGACGATGTCCTCGGAGACAGAGCACATGACACCACAAGGTAATATTCTTCCAGACACTTTTCAGTCAGTCAATCTAGCTTACGGCAAAGTTTGTGAATCAGTAACGCTCTTTACTTCATGCGATGGTCCAGGTTACGCCAACTCCTTAACATTCTCCTAACGATTGGCGACTAGCTTGCACACAATGGTAGTGTCCTTAGATCCGCTTGTTCCTCCTGATTGTGTGCAGCACACGTAGTAATCTCTGTCTGAATAGGTCACCGTGGAACAAGCTAATTCCCGCAGGAGCTAGGAGCTGTGGATCATTAAAGAGAATAACTCTCTTACTCCGCCTGAACCTGTCTGGCAGCTTACAGGCTGTGTCCTTCTAAGTTCAACAAGTTGGACCTTCTGCCTTTTGTCCTCGCTAAAAATTAACTCCTTGCACAATACTATTAGTGCCAAGAGCTGCTACCTAAATGTCAGATTTCGTGTCACCACAAGCAGACAGTAAATCACGATAATATGGCATCGACACACAAGCACTCCCACTTTCACCGTAACCTCTCTGCACATGAGAACACAGTGAAAGATATCAGTGCCAACCTGTATTTATGAATATGTGATGGTCATGTAGAAGGATGCAGTAACAGTTCACATTGACAGTGCTTTAATTGATTTTACTTGGCCAGCAATGCCCCTATTTCCTTCCTTTGAGCCAGGATTGGTGGTAGAAAACCTGCAGATCCACCTTTATTGGTAAACACAATACCTGTTAGGTGATGGGGTTTTTCAGATATATAGCAGCAGGTGCTGTGACAGGTAGCTTACTGCTAGCCTAGAGACTTTAGGGAGGGGTTATGCTAGCAGAAACCAAAAAAAAATTAAAGTGACACTCCAGGCACCAAAAGTGTTAGTATGTACCTGACACCGCTGGAACGTCACACACACAAAAAAAAACCTTCTTTTATCTTTTGCATACAATACAGACAAACATGTTGATGAGAGGTTGCACAAAACAAATTTGGATTTTTTTGGGCCAGGCCATATCCTGGTGTAATGAGCCCAAAAAAAACCTGCAGAATGATTTACAAAAGTTAATTAAAACATATTTTGAGAGGTATGTAATGTGGTTTTTGTATATATATATATATATATATATATATATATATATCAAAAAGTTTATTTTAACCCCTTAAGGACCAAACTTCTAGAATAAAAGTGAATCATGACATGTCACATATGTCATGTGTCCCTAAGTGGTTAAAAGGGGGGATTTAATGGAAAACTTCAAATTCAGTTTTACGTTTAAATCTATATAGCTATTTAAATTTCATTAAAACGTATGATTTTGTTGTGGCTTATATTAGCTGTAATAGCCAGTCCTTTTCCCTGTTTTGAGGATTGTATCCCCCTTTTGTTATTCTAATTCCTGCTTTTTTTTATCTTTAACACCCTTTTGTGGTCTCTAAGCCCCTAATTTGTCTCTTATTCCCCATTTTTAATGTATTTCCCCCTGTATTGTATTCCATTTTTACCATTCTTGTGTCTCTTACACAATTGTCTATTAACCTCTTGTGTCTCTTACTCCCATCAGACTTACATTACACACTGTCAGCACACACCATGGCCATTACATACTGCCAGCACACACCACATTCATTATATACATCTAGCACACAGCAAACGCAAATTACATAGAGCCAGCACATAAAACACATATTCCATCCAGCAACAAAAAGGTATGGATGCATGGGGGTGGCTAAATACATATAATATGATATTTGTGTTCATGTGTTCTCTGTGTGTGTGTCTGTATGTGTAATCTGTGCATATGTATTGTCTGTGTGTATATGTTAAGTGTGTCTGTATGTGTATTTGTCTGTCAATTGTGCCCCTGGCTATGTGTGTCTGTGTCAGTATTTGTATTTGTATGGGTATAATTGTGTGTATCTGTGTGTCTGTGCATCTGCATGTGTGTCATTGTGTGTGTCTGTATGTGTATCTGTGTGTCTGTGCATCTGCATGTGTGTCATTGCGTGTGTCTGTATGTGTATCTGTGTGTCTCTATTTGTATGTGTATTAGTTTGCCTGTATATCTGCGTGTGTGTTACTATTTGTTTGTCTGTGTGTTTGCATGTGTATTAGTGTGTGTTTGTAGCTATATGTGTGTCAGTGCGTATATCTGTGTGTCCGGATGTATCTGTGTGTCTGTATGTGTATCAGTGTGTGTGTGTGTGTGTGTGTTGGTGTATAAGTGTATGTGTATACATCTCAGCATTTAAACCCCAACACTAAACAAATTCACCCCTGCATTCAAACGTTAACAATACATACAGACACACCTCCACATTCAAAGGAAAACATTACACACAAGTAAGCTTTTAAATGGTAACAGTACATAAAAACACAAATACACAGCTATCCCCCAGCTGGCAAAGTATTGTAGGAGTTGTACGACAGACGGGGTTCTACCATTTTTTCCGTCCTTGCGATAGGGAGGCCCCAAAAAAGATTCTTGCACCAGAGTCCTCTCTACTTTAGTTCTGTCACTGACTACATGCATTACATACAGCCAGTACACCACACAGACACACATTGCATACAGTCAGCAACGCCACACATATTGCACATAGCCACTAAACACACACTAGGGGATGGGACAGTGAGCAAGACCTACATTTTTACAAATCAAATCTGAATGGCAAAAATGAAGCAAAAATAGCCAGTTGAGACTATAACTATGAGAATTATTCCAGATCAGTTATTACATTTTGCCCATGTTTTCCTATTTGGATGTAATTTGAGAAAATTAGGTAAATAACGCTGATGTCCAGATCTAAGCTGGGTCCCTAAATCTTCTGATTTGACATTATTTTGTGTCACAGGACAAGTAGATTGTCCTGACAGACACACCGATTGGGCCACTGTTTTAGTCCTTTGGACACGTAGATTTACAAAAAAAACATTTCTATAACCCAGGGAATGTAGGGGACAGGGAGTGCTGTCCTATGATATACGGTGTGTATCACTCAGTGCTGTCCTATGATATACGGTGTGTATCACTCAGTGCTGTCCTATGATATACAGTGTATCACTCAGTGCTGTCCTATGATATACAGTGTGTCACTCAGTGCTGACCTATGATATACAGTATCACTCAGTGCTATCCTATGATATACAGTGTATCACTCAGTGCTGGCCTATGATATACAGTGTATCACTCAGTGCTGACCTATGATATACAGTGTATCACTCAGTGCTGGCCTATGATATACAGTGTGTGTCACTCAGTGCTGTCCTATGATATACAGTGTGTCACTCAGTGCTGACCTATGATATACAGTGTATCACTCAGTGCTGTCCTATGATATACAGTGTGTCACTCAGTGCTGACCTATGATATACAGTGTATCACTCAGTGCTGTCCTATGATATACAGTGTGTCACTCAGTGCTGACCTATGATATACAGTGTGTCACTCAGTGCTGGCCTATGATATACAGTGTGTGTGTCACTCAGTGCTGTCCTATGATATACAGTGTGTCACTCAGTGCTGACCTATGATATACAGTGTATCACTCAGTGCTGTCCTATGATATACAGTGTGTCACTCAGTGCTGACCTATGATATACAGTGTGTCACTCAGTGCTGGCCTATGATATACAGTGTGTGTCACTCAGTGCTGTCCTATGATATACAGTGTGTCACTCAGTGCTGACCTATGATATACAGTGTATCACTCAGTGCTGGCCTATGATATACAGTGTGTGTCACTCAGTGCTGTCCTATGATATACAGTGTATCACTCAGTGCTGTCCTATGATATACAGTGTATACCTCAGTGTTGACCTATGATATTCAGTGTATCACTCAGTGTGACCTATGATATACAGTGTATCACTCAGTGTTGACCTATGATATACAGTGTATCACTCAGTGCTATCCTATGATACAGTGTATCACCTGCGCTGTCCTATGATATATACAGTGTGTCACCAGTGCTGACCTATGATATACAGTGTGTCACCAGTGCTGGCCTATGATATACAGGTGTGTCACCTGCGCTGGCTCATGATATACAAAGTGTGTGTCACCTAGTGCTGGTCCCATGATATACAGTGTGTCACCTTGTAGTGCTGACCTATGATATACAGTGTATCACCTAGTGCTGACCTATGATATACAGTGTGTCACTCAGTGCTGGCCTATGATATACAGTGTGTGTCACTCAGTGCTGGCCTATGATATACAGTGTGTGTCACTCAGTGCTGTCCTATGATATACAGTGTGTCACTCAGTGCTGACCTATGATATACAGTGTATCACTCAGTGCTGGCCTATGATATACGGTGTGTGTCACTCAGTGCTGTCCTATGATATACGGTGTGTGTCACTCAGTGCTGTCCTATGATATACAGTGTGTATCACTCAGTGCTGTCCTATGATATACAGTGTATCACTCAGTGTTGACCTATGATATACAGTGTATCACTCAGTGCTATCCTATGATATACAGTGTATCACTCAGTGCTGTCCTATGATATACAGTGTGTCACTCAGTGCTGACCTATGATATACAGTGTGTCACTCAGTGCTGGCCTATGATATACAGTGTGTATCACTCAGTGCTGTCCTATGATATACAGTGTGTCACTCAGTGCTGACCTATGATATACAGTGTGTCACTCAGTGCTGGCCTATGATATACAGTGTGTGTCACTCAGTGCTGTCCTATGATATACAGTGTGTCACTCAGTGCTGACCTATGATATACAGTGTATCACTCAGTGCTGGCCTATGATATACAGTGTGTGTCACTCAGTGCTGTCCTATGATATACAGTGTATCACTCAGTGTTGACCTATGATATACAGTGTATCACTCAGTGCTATCCTATGATATTCAGTGTATCACTCAGTGCTGTCCTATGATATACAGTGTGTGTCACTCAGTGCTGGCCTATGATATACAGTGTATCACTCAGTGCTGTGCTATGATATACAGTGTGTATCACTCAGTGCTGTCCTATGATATACAGTGTGTGTCACTCAGTGCTGTCCTATGATATACAGTGTGTGTCACTCAGTGCTGGCCTATGATATGCAGTGTATCACCCAGTGCCGTCCTATGATATACAGTGTGTGTCACTCAGTGCTGGCCTATGATATACGGTGTGTGTGTCACTCAGTGCTGTCCTATGATATACAGTGTGTCACTCAGTGCTGACCTATGATATACAGTGTGTATCACTCAGTGCTGTCCTATGATATACAGTGTGTATCACTCAGTGCTGTCCTATGATATACAGTGTGTATCACTCAGTGCTGTCCTATGATATACAGTGTGTATCACTCAGTGCTGTCCTATGATATACAGTGTGTGTCACTCAGTGCTGCCCTATGATATACAGCGTGTATCACTCAGTGCTGTCCTATGATATACAGTGTATCACTCAGTACTGTCCTATGATATACAGTGTGTATCACTCAGTGCTGTCCTATGATATACAGTGTGTATCACTCAGTGCTGTCCTATGATATACAGTGTGTATCACTCAGTGCTGCCTATGATATACAGTGTATCACTCAGTGCCTATGATATACAGTGTGTATC